ATGTAACCCTAAGAAGCGTTATGTTCAAGCAAGTCGTATGAACCGAAATCAAGGTTGGACGACCCACCTCACCCGAGTCGGAGTTAACAAAAACAATGGCGGCTTCCATGCCAATGACGGAGTTCCCTGCTGCGGCGAGGTCCCAGTCATTAAAGTCCCAGAAAACACTGGTCTGATCCACTCTGGCACGTGCTTGAATGGCTTCGTAGGGCTGAAAGGCCAGGGCAATCGTTAAACAGGACGATTGGGCAAAAGTCAAGATTACTTACGGAGACAAGATATGTGAAGTTGTCGGTACTTAAGTGCAGAAGCGCTTGAGAGATATTGTAATGCACGAAAACCGCCACTTACCCGGAACCCCAGCCCATCGCAAGAATGCCACTTGGATCGCCGCCCTGGTCGGTGTACTCGTTGGGACCCGAAGTTGGTGGAGCAGCATCACTGCCAACTAAGACGATGTTCTTCGGCTTGCACAGAGGGAGTGCGCCTTCATTCTTGAGGAGAACTGTACCAGCGGCACCAATCTCGCGTACAATTAGATAATGATCACTTTGCGCATTGACCTCTTGATTAAGAGGGTTGTAGAGGTCGAATGAAGAAACAGTAGTATTTGGGTAGCCTTCATCCTGGTGCAAGAAGTACCATGCAGCAATAATCCGTGTCGCCATATCATCAAGCCGCTGTATAGAGATAGTGTCGTTCAAGACGAAGTCCGTGAGATTCTGACCAAAGTAAGTAGTCCCCGAACCCAAGGTTATGTCTCCAGGCATCGTCAACTAGTGACATCAGATCAGTGTTCTGAGACATAATCGATACTGTACTTACATCAAGACCAGTGACAGCACCAAGGGTGTCCATCGTCGCAGACCAATCAGATTGGATGACTGGACAAGCTCATACAGCTCAGGGGCTATTGATCCAAAATATGGAATTTGACTCACAGCCTTGGAAGCCAAACTCGCGTTTCATTATGTCGTTGAGGGTCTTGTTGTTATTGCAAGCATAAGTGTCATTGACCAAGTCTGAATGTTTGGTCGAATGAGGCACTGACCATTCAATTTTGGGAGACACTCACTATAACTGCACATAATCGATGAGACACCCGCCATTACAGAACGCATAAAAGGATGAGCGTAAATTTCGTGCTGGGTACGATCATCGACATTGGAAGATTCCTGCGTGCGCTTCCATTCTTGTTCGCTAGATTATAAGGTTAGCCTAGTGAAATAACATGTTTGAATCGCACTTGTTGATGTAGTGCTTAGCAGTGGCCTGGACACCACCAGCTTGCAGGCCCAGGATCGTTTCATAGGCAGCTTCTCCAGATAGGAACGGGTCAGCGCCGAATCCCTCCCAGTTGCGTCCACCTTGAGCGATGCGGCCCATATTCATCATGGGTCCCAGAGCGACATTGACACCTTTCATTCGGTGTTCTTGACCCATTGCGAAGCCCCGGGCGCGCATGAGAGCACGATTCCATCTACATTACAATTCATTCGAGGTCTGACTTTCACATTTAAGACCTACGTAGATGCGGTGGTGATACCAGCAGGGAACGAAGTGACGAAGTCAGTATCCCGAACTCCAAGTGGTGAATCCTAGAGTAGAAGATATGCCAGCAGATTTAACACTCGTCAAAGATAAACCTATGGTGCACTAACTTGAAGACACAACCCAGGGAAGTCTCCAACAACAGGAGTGTTCCCGACACAGAGACCATTACCCCAGCCAATGCCTGTAGTAATGTTGACTTTTTGCTGGATAGTGAAGTTAGAGATCTGTACGCAAAATTAGATAATCATATATTATCAAGTGCATTTACTCCTCATACCATAGACATTGCCTTCGTGTAAGCGGCTGCCCAAGCCGGAGCAAAGTCAGGCACAACCACTGGGTCTGCGCTCACAGGAGGAGGATCTAAAGGATCGGTTGCAGGGAAAATTGGTGGATCTGGCGCGAGCGTTGGAGTTGGGAACGGACTGAAAGAGTAGTGTGAGATGGGCAAAGTTAAAGGACCAGTCTCAGTAGCAAGGTATGAAGTCATCAAGGACGTTGTTGACACAGATGTTGCGACACCACTAGTTGATATGTTCGCGCTGCTGATAGAGCTTGTGGCGCCCGTCGAGCTTGTGCTCGCGACGGGGGTACTGCTACTGAATGCAGAAGCAGAAGCAGTGGTTGGGATTGTGACCGAAGAACTCGACGCGACCACATACGACACAAGTAGCAACACGAAAGAAAGTGGCCTTGGACCCATCCTGGAGGACACCAACGGGGAAGGGATATCCAGATGAATTCGCTACCGACCTGCATCATTGCTGCTGCTGATTATAACTGACCCAGTGGTCTTGATGGGCTAAATTAGCTCTCCGCAATGAACGAACCTAATAATAATATGCACATTGTTTCGCATAAGCTTTACCCCAGATTCTAGGAAAATAATCACCTTTCCCCATAAATTTATCAGAGATCCGCTGCAAAAGCAGCACCTTTCAGAAATTTATCCTTCGCCTTCACGGCCGACTTACGACAATCTTGGGCTATGTATACCCCTTCATGGGAGAGGTTCTCCACATGACTCCAACCGCCGTCGAAACACCATGCGTTCTTTGATCCCTTGATCAATCGATCATGTCCTGCTGATTCTTTGTGTCCATTTCTCATTGAACTGCGTTATGGTCGGTTGTCTAAAAACATCATGCCGCTCTGTGGAACTGGGTCAGCTGCGCCATCGTACACCCATCGATATTCCGATCTAATCCCGGACAGCGCATCATTCTGCCGTGGGAACCGTCCATAGTTATACAGCTGGTGACGTTGCAATGATTTAATTAGAAATTCGAGCCTCGAGGTGTGGGATGCGAAACTCGGGAGATGACGCAACAAGCAGTATTTCGCACGACGCAATGATGACAACTCTCCGCATGGATGTTCGGGAATAACTGAAATCTAGGGATCACATGCTTAAACGTACTACGGCTTGGCGCACTTGCGGAGCATGGCTCATGTATCTTATGTGATCGAGTGCACGAGGATGTCAGACATAAGACAGGATCCTCGGGGTGCGTATACCTTCTCGTGCAGATCGTAGTCGCTGTCACATGGTAAGCTTCAAAAGTGATTACTAGTGTGCTGGCCCAATAATAAGAGACCGTGCTTACATGAGGCACACCATAGACATCTTGCCACATGCTTGAACGTTTGAACGATCACGGGACAGGTTCCGCGGGACCGCGTTACATTCAGCTTTGGCTATGAAATTTTGAAATTGGACAAGAGAACACGGGACGGCAAGTCCCATGGTAGCTCGTGCATTCTGCATATAATTCTGGGTAAGTGATATTATCTGTCAGTGTCTTGCCTCTGATAGTCAACTTCAGTCTAGGCAAATGATGACGTCTACCTCAAAGGCTTAACCTGGCTCTAGCTAGCTCAGAATCATTCTCAATTCCTCGACTAGCAGTACTTCCGCGAGTACTTCTTCCGCAACCACCAAGTCTATCTGTAATTGCCACTTGCGTGCCTCTGGAATGCCACTGAAATCTTCTGAAGTTCTGGCTGTATGAGGGCTACGTAGGGCTCTCGATCGAACTTGCATCGTAGCTGACTGCTTTATTTAGTGCGACATCAGATTTCCAGTTTCTGTCTTTTTTGTATTTCCCAATGTCAACTCCACGGCGAACCAGGTAAACCTACAATCGGTGCGCTTGTCAACGCTGGAATTCCCAAACTCGATCGATAGTTCCATGATCGAATGTGGATACAATCGCACCTTCGAGACCACTGCGCAGTGCGTAGGTAATGAATTCAAGGGCAATGGTACGAAGATCGCACTGTGATCGTCAGTAATGCTTGGTGCCACCAAGCATTAGATAGATCAGCGCTGACGGATCTGGTACGAATCATCCTTTGGTAGAATGACATCGGTGCATTGATCTATCGGGATTCGGTCCTGCCTGTGTCTTTGTTTTTGTGGAGTAACTCATAAAGCCACAATCTAGGAACGAATCTGGGCGTGGTACAGCCAACGAAGCTTAATGAAGGTGTCAAGCTCACATTCATGTGGCAGGTTGGCTCAAAACCTTATCTCTGTCAGAACCATTACGTGCGACAACCAATTTGCGGATGACTGTTGGGAGTACAGGCCTGAAGCACTCTTGTATCGTATGGTGAGGTTCGCTTGGAAATTACCGAATATTGCCATTTGAGTGCGATGCGTGGTCGGAAGAAGTATTATGCAGTATTACTTACCTGTTCTCACAGGGCGAAGCCATCATTATCACCGTTGTCCGCATCAACAATCAATATTCATGTTTTCATCGACGGGTGGTTGTTATACCAGCTGCCGACTCGCCATACATGTCTACACTCCAACCTTTGAAACGATCAGTGACTTTATGACGTCAAATGCGCGCCTATCCAGGTTCGGTGCCACAACGACAACTGCATATCTGGAAAAAGAATCGATATTTTGCAAGCGCATAAATGATAACGTTGATGAGCTATTAAAGCCCAGATGAAGAAGCACCCCGGAAGAATTATATAGTTACAGGGGTGATGAGCGAGGTATATTAGCCTTGGTTGGATATTCCGGCTAAGTAAAGTCACCATGCGCATCCCCACATCCATCGCAGTGCTCTGTACGCTCGTCGCGTATGCTACCGCACAGTGCATGGAATGCGCCTCACTCGTCATGTACAAAAACGTGACGTACAACCTCAAGGAGCAGTGTACAGTGCACAGCGGATACCATTGTTTGTGAGTGTCCCAAGTTATAAAACAAGCAATTCAGAGTAAAGAGGCTTACATGATGGCATGATATAGTTACAGAAGCAATGACACCGCAGGGGAATTCTGCGACTGTTATTACAATGTAGGTGCAATGCTTACTTCTGAACGTGCGCGTGTAACCTGTTGAACTGGACGCAGAAAACGGGAATAGTTGAGACCAACGAGTCGACATACTTCTGTCCCACAGGGTCTTCAAATTTCAGTGCAACATGCTCTGGCTGCCCAAGTTAATTTGGCCATGGTGGAGTCACGGTCCTACGGACTCGATTTGTCGGACTTTTCCCATAGCTTAGTCATTCAGCTACTAGTATTAGATGTTAACGTTGAAGTACCACAAAATCAACCAGTCGGTGCACATGCTAGTGGTGACATCTTTCGGTCCAACGGTCTACGATCTGACTCCTCATAAAGGTCATAGGCAAAGTTAGAATATTTAAAACTTGTATGTGGTCAAGGTCCAAGTCATTCGCCGTGCAGTACGCTTACTAGCTAAGATGATCACTGTTAGTTGCGTTCTCACTTTCCCTTTTTTTACAGTGGACTAGTGCTAGCGCGACCACTTTGATCAATGCATCTTCCATGGCGCCAGAAGCAGCAGCCATCAGAAGAGCAGACATCGCCCCTACCTTCTGAACAGCGCGGACTCGGAGCGCCCTGGTCTGCTACGAAAGACGCTTTCAAGACGCATCTAACCACCGCACAAGCAAACGCGAAAAGCACTCTTCAAGAGTACAACGCCAACGTCCAAAGCCGCCTCAGGGCCAAAGCATACGAGCTCGGATCACGTCCCGTTGCATATCTTGTTTTATCCGGCATCTTCCTGGGCTCTGTTTCGACGCTTGGCGTGACATTCGTGTACAGGCGGTATTTTAGGCGTTTGAGGACAGCCGAGTGGGTCACACCTGATGTACTTCGGCAGAAGAGATGGGTGAGGGGTGTCGTGACCAGGTGAGTTGAGTTATAACGCTATGCAGGCTTTGGGTTTGGCTGATTTGTGATGGGTGCGCCAAGTGTAGGGGATGGAGATAATTTCAGGCTGTATCATACCCCTGGCTTTGGGTGGAGGTGGCCACTTAAATTCAGGAGAGTACCAACTTTGAGCAAAGGTCCGTTTGTATCCCTTATGTTCTCATGGGGTATGTGCTCACTTACATGAATCAATAAGAGCTCAAAGAGCAAACGATCCACGTTCGTATTGCAGGTGTTGATGCACCCGAGGTGTGTTGGTTGTAGATGTAGGGCTCAAGAGAGTTCTGAACGAGACCACCCTGACTGAAGTGTTACTCGATTGTGTGCAGGGATCACACTTCGGTCGCCAAGCCCAGCCATACGCTGCAGAAGCTCTCGCGTGGTTGAAGGATACGATCGAGGGCAGGATAGTCTACTGTCAACTCGTGAGGCGTGACCAATATTCTCGTATTGTATGCGTTGACACTGCATCTCCATTCCACCAACTAACTGTCATTCACAAATAGGTATCTGTAGTCACTCTTCCGTCACCGTTTCTCCCAGGCTGGCTTGCCACGGGCCGGAGTCTTGCACTTGAGATGATCCGGGCAGGCACGGGCCTGACTTATGAACAAGCAGGTGCAGAGTATGGGAAGTATGGAAAGGATGAGTTCCTAAGAGTTGAGGCTGAGTCGCGGTAAGTTGTGACACTGATTCACATTTATTCGTTCCACTTTTGTGGCAGACAACCTCACACCCATTGTGTCCTCTCCAGAGCTGCGCGCAGAGGGATGTGGAAACACGGTACAGTGGAGGAAACCCCCGCACAGTATAAACGGCGTTACGCGCAGAGTGGGACGGATGCTGAGGCTCAGGCCCAAGGTACGCCGAAGGCGGAGCAAGAAAACTCGAAGGAGGGCGGGGTGAGAGGGATTTTGAAGAGACTTTGGCGCTGAAACAATTAAATACAAACTGAAAAATATACAACTGGGCGCCTTCCAAAGGCCACCGAAATAGCGTATAGTCTATGGCGAGTGTGCCTGTTTACATAAAAAACTACCACACCTAGTGGGATATGATTAAGTTCATTCCCAGGCAGGGGCGCGCATACTACGTGAACGGCAAACTCTGCAAGCGAATTTGGATCCCGATTAGCTGTTAGTGGATCGCGGTCGCGGGTGGTCTAGTCGCGTCCGATCACAGTGGCGCTTGCGAGCACTGCCTGTGACAGCATTTATTTATATGGTAAGAGATTACTCTGCTCCGCAGCAACTTTAGCGTGCACTGGTCATTTTTTTTTCCGTATATAAAGTTCCCTGCCCCTCAAGTAACGACTAGTCTACCAGTACACTGCACGACGCGAGTGATTACTAGTCTCAATCCCTCTCTGACGAACTTAATAGTCTTGTTGTACTTGCATCTTCACCATGAAATTCACGTCCGCCCTTGTGCTTTCGTTCATTGCCACTGCGCAAGCAGCGACATCACTTTCTAGCCCAATCCTGCCCAGCGGAATCCCAGCTACGTACGTGACTTTCTCTTCATGTCCATTTCCCATTTAAAAACAAAAATACTCATGTTATAACCCACTTATAGATCAAGCGGGCTGCCTTTGAGCACCCTTTCTCTTGACACCACAGCTTTTACTTCGTTTATTTCCTCTATCATCTCATCCGGCACTATCCCTGCTTCCCTTCCTACCACCATTCCTACTTCCCTTCCTACCACCCTTCCTACTTCCCTCGGAACTCTTCCCACTTCCCTCGGCACTCTTCCCACCATAACGGCTCCTTCATCCGGTGCATCCACATCAACTGCGACAAGTGCACCAGCTGCGACAACCTCTAGCGGTGCGGGACGAACAGAGGCGGGGCTGGGGCTGGGATTGGCTGCCGGAGCTGCTGCGGGATTGCTTGTGTTGTTCTAATTAATGAGTACATTTTTGGTGGTGACGCATGTACGTATTCGTGCGGGAAGATCACGTCCAGGGGTAAAAGTCGAAAGGTCTCACGTGTGCATGCGGGGCAACTGCGGACCTTTATTTATTTACCTGACGATATTGAAATAGACTTTTAACGGACGCGCCTGCCCTCGGGCTGTTTTCCTGGCCAGCTGTGCAAGTTAGTTCCTCTGACTCTAATCCTGTGTCGAAAAGGTACAGTGAGTCTGAGCACGGCAAGTCTGTCAGACTCTGGCCCAGTTTTATTCCTCGACCCTCGGCGTGTCAGCAACAGTTGCCGTCAACCTCCACGAAAAGAAGTTGCCTTGCAATTCTCTGTTGTCTATAAATCTAGCACTGGATACAGCGCTGTCTTCCATGGACTCTATTTCAACTCTTAATCTGAACCACCCGAAACACCACAAGACACGAGCTTCTGTATCTTCGCCAGTCGCAGAATCCCTACAAACCGCACTGACAGCGATATATTAGTCAATATTATCATTTTCAGCTACTGGGTGCCAGTCTTATCAAAGAACGCCATGACGGAGTCCTGTGAGGGCGGCGGGAACAGATGATCAACAACGCATACGAGGCGAGCAGGCGTCTGGAACCACTCATGATCGAACAGCATTACGTATGCTAAGGCAAGAACACTCTCACTGTTATGGTCGAGCCCGTCAGTTATTCAATCAAATTACTCTCGAAGAAGACGCTTACTGGTGACACGCTCGGGAAAACGAGAAGAATTGCCAGACGGTTTCCCGAAACGTATGCTTCTCATGTGACAAACTGTCCTTCGCCACTCCTGGCCTCGAGAGTGGAAATCAGAAACGTGGACCTATTCAGATCACATCGTACGCAAAGCGTATCCTTCTTGTTCAGTAAAGCCGGATGCATGTTCTCGTCTTCGTCGTTGCCAAGAGGTTTTGCGTATCCACCATGACACTGTCGATCAGACCATTACAGATCTGGCGGTATTTTATTCGATGGGGGAACCTTCCACATACGAAGGGCTCGGGTGGTTATGTAGCCCATGAGATTGGGATGGACGAGTGCGCAACTGATAACATATTTGTCGAAGCGTTGAATAATATATGTAGATCACATACATTAGCCTCTCGCAGTGCATCATCAAGAAACCTCCCCGTGTGTAAATGTGGCCGTCGGCGCAGCTGGTGACGAGACACTTTCCATCTGCAGAAAAGGTCGCAGAGCTTATGTTGTGTTCAGAGTGTTCCGATGCGTTGATTGGTTTCGGGGCTCCATAGTTGGCAGTGCACTAGGTCTTGTCGAAGCATGCTTGTGACTCAGAGGACTCAGAGATAGTAAATGGTATCGATGAAGTTTTGTCGGGATTTTCGCTCAATTCAAGAACAGTCGTCCACGAGCTCGAGGTTGTATACCCTCGAGTGTGTTTTGAGCAGTTCGTCGGCCAGGTTGCGCCTGTGACGCGGCACATGTGACGCAGCACTGTGACAAACACATCATGTCACTCGAACTGAATTCCAATGTTAATGACCAAATGCATATGAGTTGTCTGCTTGCGTACGCGGGCCCTAGCAAACCGCGTTGGTTGGTTTACTGCACCGTGTTGATTTGTCTCAGGATCTTTTCTGCGCTTCGGACATCCCACGCTGTGAATATTCCTTGCCAGGTTATGCTCACCACTGGCCCTCGCCTTCCGTATGGACTCCAGCACACCATTCCTCCACGACCTTTGTGCTCCTCTTCAAGTCCCAAACTCGAAATGACCCATTCCATTTACAGATGATATAATACTTCGCTGTCCATTGTGCAGGTGTAAGATGTAGGTAGGTGATGTCGTCATTTACCGGTAGGGCATTGTCGCTAAATTCTTGTGCTTTGCAGGTGCTGGATACCCCATGATTTTTGTTCCGGAATTCACTCAATGGGTGCGTGGTAATTTCAGCTCTTACCATCAATTACCTGATCACTTACTTAGATTCCAGATGTACTCGGTGGAACGAAAACTGCGACGGTGTGCCCACTTCCTTCATCTGCATTAACCCCCGCCATTGCGGTCCTACAATCCCGCAAGCCTGCATAGGCCAATATCTTCGTGTATATCCCCTCGCACCGCACTCCACTTGAAAGTTCAACTTGGCGCACCCCCCGCTTTTATTCTCAACGTCCAACCTGACCTTTTCACCTTCGTCGCCATACTAGCTAATTTGCGGTCTGGTTACCTTTCTCACATCTTACTAGTTTTTATCCAATCACTCATTTCCCTTCTCGGTGCTGTGGATTATCCAAACTTCAATGACTGGGTTGGCAAGCGTGAATTGCGTGTGCCAATGAGCTCGCCGGCGGCGGGAGGGATGCTCAAAAGCTTGCTTATGCGCAGGCAATCTTCCCAGGCATCAGGCATGGTGCCATCTCAAGTGTCGATGGACAATGACATTGGCGTCATGGCTTCATTTCCATTGAGCAGTCACGAGGCAGTCTATGGTGACACTAGCCAAGACGCAAGGAACGAAATTATCTTCTCGATCTAGTTGACGCGCATAGATCGTTTGAAAGACACGTACAGCCTCGACATCCGTTGTTCGAAAGGCAATCTTAATAGGAGCTACAAGTTCTTATGTCACCAATCAGAGAATGCATCGTGCTCCATTATGGGCGTGCCACCTGCTGCTCCAGCCACCTACACCCAACTTTCTTCCCCGAAGGAGGGAGTTACGATGGCAATAAACACAAGTGGAATTAAACCTAGACCAGAAGGCTACGGAAGAGAGGAAGTCTCGCTTATCTCGATCCTATGCATAGTGACAATCTCCATTCAAATATAATTGAGATATCTATCTGCATCATACACCATCTCTCGAGTGCTCACTTCATTCTCGACCCCTCTTCGTCCCCAGTATGCATGCGCGATGTCTGAATGATGACGTGCTCGGGGGTGAGGCTGCAGAAACATTGGTGGATGCATAGAATTGAGTGCTTGGCGGAAACGTGGTGTTTAATGCATGAGGATATGTCAGGTTCGAAGGTAGCAATATGATCATGCCGCTGGCTCCTACACTTGGCGGCGTCCAATGTTTATACCACCCAGCGAGAGGCTGGGACCCGACGCTAGAGGGCATCCGAGCATCATGTTTGACCTTGGGATGTTGTAGCCCGATATTAGAGGGAGTGTAAGCATACTGCCGCCCCTCAGGAGGCTGGAACCCAACACTAGAGGACATCCGGGCATCATGCTGGACCCCGGGATGCTGTAGCCCGACATTAGAGGGAGCCCAAGTATAATGCTGCGCCGCAGGAGGCTGCAATCCGACATTAGGTAGCTCTATGTGGCCCTGCGGCGAACTTGCAGGTGTCGACGTTTTGTTGATGGTGTGGTTTGTCTCTTCCGAGTCCCCAAAAAGGGAAGACTTTTCGCCAATGGTGTGGTCTGTCTCGTCGTCACCAAAAAGGGAAGACTGCTTGCTTGTGGAGTGATTAGAGTGAACTCTCTCATCATCCCCACGCGATTGAGCCCGTTCGGGTTGGTTGCCTTGTGGGTACTGAGGGCGGACGGGACGTGACAGCAGACACGGTTGAAGTTCAGGGGGGAGCGAGTGTGAGATATTCTCGGGCCACAAAGGATTCAACTTGTAATGATTGTCCTCCAAGTTGGCCCACTCCACGTCCATTGAAGACGATTCAAGTTCGTCATCTGACTCTGCGCTGTAAGTGCTTGTGGCATCCCAGTTCGGGATTGCGTGCAAACGGCCGATGATGGGTGAACTTGCGAGGTCTTGAGACGGTTTGTCATTCAACTCCGGGCTAGACTCCGGTGGAGGTGGTGATGGTGATGGTGGTGACGGTGGCGGTAGAGGTGAAGGTGGTGGTGGTGTTAGAGGCGAAGGTGGTGGTGGTGGTGATAGAGGTGAAGGTGGTGGTGGTGGTGGCTGTGAAGGTGGTGGTGAAGGTAGTGGTGGTGGCTGTGAAAGTGGCGGTGGTTGTGAAGGTGGTGGCGGTGAAGGTGAAGGCGGAGGCGGCGGCGGAGGCGGCGGAGGCAAAGATGAAGATGGTAGAGATTTGAAGGTTTTGAGTTGTTGTGTCAGTGAGTTATATGGCGGTTCTGGTAGTCCACCATGACCGTGACTCGAGCCTGGCTCGGGAACCTTAGTAGGGACATACTGCAGAAACCCGCCGTCTAAAATTCTGTAGGTTTGTCTTGCTCTCTTGATTTCGCGAGTCGCAGAGCCTCCGGAAACCAAACCCTTCGAAGCTGGGTCGAAGATCCTGAAACTGAGATCTGAGAATTTCGGTTTCTTGTCTAACAGCCATAGTTAGCGTGATCAGTTTCAAGTTGAAATGAAGAAAGAAACAGAACATACTTGCAGGCATGTCACACGACCTGAATTATTACCAGTGGGACTATGGTGAATCGCTGCCGGAGCGTGCAGACAAGGTGGTGGTTCTCCAACTGAAATCGTTCCAACATTCTCGGCATAGAGCAATATATAATATTGTACTGACCTCACGGAGCAGAGCATGATCTTTGACATAATCAATCCCCAAAAGGGAAATTCCTTCTTATGTCTTAGTTCACCCAATATATCTATTGGTCCCGACAATGCTGTTCGTTCGATGCATGCTTTCTTCTCACGGCTCTCTAGCTTATGTACTCGCTCTTACTTTCGCGCCCATCTGACCATGTATATCCCTATACATGATACATCCCTGATACATGTGCCAATCCTCGTGCCCCGGCAGGAGGCTCATCGTCAGAATGACCAGTTGTCCTCCCGGTATCTTCTATTTAATCGATCAAATCGCGCTGCGCAGGTGAGTCATGACCAGTTGACCATGGGTCTAGAATCCCACCCAAACTTATCATACTGATGAGAATACGTTTCACACCTCCAGAGCCGCCGCCGTGCTGAGGCAAGTGCCAAGCACATCACATCGCTACCTTAAGAGAGGAACTTCGGGACATGCCCCATCCAATGACTCACCATTTCAAATGAGTATTTGACTTGTACACGGAAAGACTAATGATGCGGAATGAAAGCTGCGACAGAGTGGGTGTTTCGTTCGATGAATATTCAAGTCAGGAGGGAGGTTGTTGTACAAATCTTCTACACGTGCGTCTTGCTTGCATAATCCTCTTGTGCAGTCACCGCAAACTTCACAGCTTCAGTACTGGCTGTGCAGATTAAGAACCCAACGCTTTTTTGGACAATATGGCCACTTCCTTCATCTGCGTTGAACCCTCTGCATTAAGGTCCTACGATTCCGCAAGCCTGCATTCCCGTGTTTCCCTAGGTCTGATTATGCAGACTCGATGCATCATGCTCTACAGGCCTTGTTCTCATCGTCCAACATGGATTTTTTGCCCTCATCATCATACTAGCTAATTCACAGTCTGGTCATCCTGGTCGTATCTTCCTAGTCTTCGCCTAATCAGTCATTTCCCTTCTCTTCCACATCTACGTCTACGTACTCGGAACAACATATCTGTGCAGTACCAAAGACACAAATTCAACGGTCTTCTTCCCAAATCCATCTTTCGATGACAACCTTTCAGCACGTTTACTTCTCGAATACGCTGTCAAAGAAGCTGCCGCCTCAGCATTCTTGACAGCTAGTCTTCAAAAGAAGACCTGAAGTTCAAACGATGAGACGAATCATCTCACCTTCAAATCTCCCTCTGCACTTGAGTTGCATCGCTAGTACAGACGCTCTTCGCCTTTAAGCAGAATTCCCGAAAGTAGCAGGGCAAGGCTGCCAGCGACACCAACGAGCACGACAACCTACACCTAAGCAACTACCTTACCAATACACAGCGGTTGGACACAGTTCTTAGCGATCGGATTCGTTGAGACAAGCGCGAACACCTCCCTTGGGACGCCCCTCGATACAACAAGGACATTACTGAACTGCTCGCGTCCTCCAGTTTGGGAAATCTACTTCGCAATTGCCCTCTTGTACAACGTACCTTTCTAGCCTTTGCCTTCCCAATCATCTTATTGTCCTAGTTCTATGTTTCCATGTTCGGACGAAGGTGTCTAAGTCCTGAACAGGTATATCTTTGGTCTTCAAGGAGAGCCTCCTTCACTAGGGATGCATCATCTTCGAGACTGTCTGCTGGTGCGACATCCCGTACGTTTTCCTCGATCAAGGTCATTGGTATCGACATCTCAAATTGATCTGACGATCAAACGGGAATACGCCATTCCCATCTTTATCATGGAGATTCGCTGATTTAAGCAGTGGGGTTCATGTACTGTACACCTCGACTTCGTTTTGTAGGGAACAAATTCAATTCTGCGTTACACCTCCTTGCCGCCCTCGTCTCAACGTCAACAAATCTGTGCACAATACACGTTTTCTTTGATCTACCAACCAGTGGGCTTTCCTCAGCTCTCAACGGCATACTTTTTGGCCCAAGCACAGTTGAACGATCTTCGGTGTGGGTGAGTGGACAGGTACCGGCAGCGGCACAAAGTGTCGAAGCAGTGGCAGTGGGAGGTGGTTGCTGTGATGATGATGGTGTGCTCTGGTTTGCTGCGTTGCGTTGCTGTGTGTATGGGTATATGGAGGCCGACATGAGTTAGTAGCTGGCTTCCTCTTATAATTTCTCTGCGTAAAAACCAGTCAACGATAAAAAAAAAAGAACAGTGGAAGAGAAAAAACACACAGGCTTTCCCGCTGTATATGGGACCTCGACTGCAGGTGGCTCGCGCATCTTGCTGTCTAATCTATCTCGGCTGCGCATCATGCCAGAGACGAGTCCAGCTGAGACTCTGAGGTCGGGATCTAGATTGGGCGCCACGCTCAGTTGACCCATGTCACATGTGGCTTGGAGCGGCGCCAAAAAGAGGAAAAGGAACCGAGGGTGCGTTGACATGGTGCTGGAGTGGGGGTGGCCCATGGGAATGATGAATGCACAACTGATGACAGATTTGTTAAAGCATCAGATAGAGATAGCATACATTAGCCTCTCACAGTGCATCGTCAAAAAAACGCTGAAGGTATTATCCGAGGAGCACCTGGAGCTGGTAGTGCCAGTGTAGCATAGCCCTGGGGGAGCAGATCCATCGTCAATGCCATCGAAAATAAAATGTATTTGAGCTTACAATATCTGACAGAAGGCCAGCTTCTTTGAGAATAGCAGAAGTGTAAATGTAGTCATTGGGCAACTAGCGATGAGAAACTTTCCATCTGCAGCAAAGGTCGCAGAGTTCAGGATGTCTTTATGGTAAAGTGGTATTGTGATGCGTTGACTGGCTTCGAGGTTCCATAGTCGCACTGTCTGGTCCCTATAGATTGATGTACTTGCGAGGATGCACTTATTGGGAGATAGCGAATGGCAAGCTGAAGCCGACCCGGTCCCGGAGTACTAGTCCAAGTGGCTGTGCCGAATTTCGTGATCTTGCTTCCACCGACAATAGGCGTTTTTTCATATCCGACTCGGAGGTCCATGCGAGCATAGCCAGGTTCTCATCGGGCCTTGAGCCTAGGGTCCTGACTGCACGTAAAAAAAAGTCCTCCTGTACACATTTTGAATAGTTCGTCTGTGCTGGCATCCCAAATTTTCAGCCTACCTTATGCCGTGGCTGCCATCGGGTGAGTAGCAGACTAGGCCGTAACGTTCATATAACATGAATGATCCACCGAAGAATCCGCTCCGCCACTCGCCTTCCGTCTGGACTGCAGCACAAAGAACTCACAGTCTCCGGATGCCCCGTCCATTCTTTGATCACCTTGTCGATATTCCACAACTTTACTGTACCATCCACACACCCGCTTGTTACGGTCTTACCATCCGGCGATAATGCTATGGCGTGCATTCCTCCCCAACCTGCGTACCGCTTTCCAAGCTTGAGCCCCAGTAGAAACCGCCCCATGCATCAAATGCATTGTCTAAGATGGACCATCAAGTCATTTTCCTTCGCCATTTCCGCAAACTATTCACTTTTCTTCTCGCACAAAATCAGTTCCTCCTGTATGGCTCGCTCAGCTTCACAATTCATAGGATATTCGTTTCTTTATCTCGTTGCCTTTAGAGTTGACTCGACTATCTCTCACAGTTCCCTGGTATGTCGCCCTTTCAATTGCTCGGCCTCGCTGCAGGCTGCAAGTCGGTCTAATCATGTCAGCCTTCAGGTTGAGTAAATTCGCAATGCATGACTGAGGCCACATCCAGTTCGAAATAGGCTCTCCACCCTGCCGCTCCGGTGGAATCACGGAGTTCTGCGTCAGGGATTTTCCTTCCATACGTCCGTATCCCAACCAGTCGCTGAAGTCGCAGCGGGGCGGAGATTCATTGTCACAAATATTATTATTTCTCATTGCCTTGTTGCTCGTGTGTCTTATAGCCCTTTTCTGCTGCCAAATTACGAGAATACGAGAAGGTCAGTGATACCCGGCACCCCAGCGGACAGCCAGAGTAAACTGGCGGGTCGCCGATTGGTTAATTTACTTACCCATGGCGTCGAATCTCAGGTGATCACCACCTGGACAATGTGTGTCTTATCGTTGTGTTCATGTGCGACCTTGTGAGATCGATTCCTCTCCCATAAGCATAGCATGAGGGTGCCGGGGCTGTCAATGGACACCTCTAAGCTTCAACCCCAGGGTTCAACGTCCAGATACGGGCCCATGGGGTCTGCCCCCTCAGTCTGGGTGTTATGACGCTCCAGAGCGAACTTTAAAGCAATTTTCTTGTTCATCAAAGACAGACAAAAGCAGAGACCGTAATACCGTGCCATCCAGTACACTTTGCACCATATCACATGTCAGACCGCCTCGAGTACAAACCAAGTCTACTTCGAATTCATCATCGCTCGGATGTGTGCTTCTCTCGTTGTGTTCACGACTTCAAACGAGAAGTGAAATGGTTCAGGGTGACTTCGGCAGAGTCAAGTCGCAGGTTATTGGATGCATACTGAGTCACTTACATAACTACACCAGTGGTGAACTCTGGCTTCACCTCAATCTTGTCTCCATTTGAGTCTTTGGCATGATCGATGCGCAAGACGGCGAGTATCGTAGCGAATGCAGTCCACAGACTATTCTCTGCAAACCAACGACCTGCCAAGGCCATTTGTCATCCTCGACACTGCTAAATCAGCCATGAATCAGCCTACCAGGACAAATACGCCTGCAAGGGTCAGTGGATGATTGAAGATGGTAGGAACGTTGGAAAATTTACCTGCCATGACCAAAGGCAAAATGGTTGACGAAAGGGTTCTTCAGCTTCCCATCGACAGTCAGATGGCGGCTAGGATCGAAGCGCGATGCATCGGGAAATATGTCTTCATCCCGAGACAGCGCCCTGAGCAATGCTCAGCTCAAACCAATACATGCACCCAAGCCCGACATACCACTGATTAACCATGACTATTGTACCTGGCCGAACTGCAGGTGAGTCAATGGCAACCTTGACTCTTACGACTTCGAACCTTTGGGTATAAAGTGCCCGTCGTAAACATCATCATTTGATGTCGCATGTGCGACGCCTGTGCAAGGGGTCAGCCATGCAAAGACAAAGCTATATTGCTGCCGACTAACCAAGGGGGGCGGGAGGATTCCATCTCAGGACCTCGCGAAGAATGGCATCAAGATAGGGCAATGACGCCCTGTCATCAAGGCACGGCATGCTGTCATGCCCCACAGCTTGGTCAATTTCTGCACGAGCACGGGATTGGACGTCAGGATGGAGCACCATAGCCAGCAGAAATGCCTGCAATACGGATGCAGTCTGCGAGACATCAAAGTAAGACTCAGAAATGTTTCAAGTAATTAAGTAGCGACTCACGGTTTCCATGCCAGCTAAGATGGCGTATTCCCGTCAATAGATGAACTCCGTTGGTGAAAACAAATTCCTACCCATGTATCCAATCAACGCAACAGCCTTCATAATTTCTTCGTCAGTGTCGTCGTGAGCTTGACTGAGAAAGTCAGCAACTAATGAGCGCGAGGCAATACCATCTGCCTTCATGCAAACAGATCAGGCGAAACTTTCATGCACAAGTCTGCGCGAACGTACTATCTGTGCCTTCACTTCATTAAAGGGCTCGTTCAAAAGTCGTTGACATAATTCTCTACAACGTCCCATCAGGGCAAATGCTCCACCAAAGCACCAGAGCGGCAACTTTTCGACTGCAACCTCATGCTGAATGTTCAAGATCATGTCGTCGACAGAGGCACTCACGGAAAGGAAAGGCTGTGAACATGGCAGCCTTCTCAGGAGAGACAATCTGTTTTGCAATATCAAGTATTTCATGCGCACGGGAAAGAAATGAGCCTTCATTAGCGAGATGTCCGTATGTCACGGTCATGATTAGGGATCCCGAGTACCTGTCACAAGGATTGATCGTTAACTGGATCATACGTCACAACGACATCCTTGGATTAGGTACGAACGCTTCAGTGTGTTGCTGCAGTGAGTCTCTAGTGACACCTAAGAGATCGATGACTAGTTCATTTGCATGGCGAGAGTATATCTCGTGGTACGAGATTGAAACTTCGGCGCTAAGGACTTGATGGTATAGCTTGCGATGTTGTCGTAAAGTCTCCCCATACGGAAGCATCACAGAATTGAAAGCCAGTCCAGCTCTGTATCGTCAGCGGATGAAGAACAAATTGAATGAAAACCGGCAATACATACAATTCACTGGTGCGAAGAATGGGACGGGTAGAGTAATTCGCAGAACGCTTTTCCCGCAACTCCTGGGCGATGGTTTCTGAGTTTATGATGATCATGTCGATCCCAAGTATACGGGAGCGGAAGATTTTTCCTACGATCAGGCATGAAGTTACATCCAGGAGCTTAGAAAAGAGCCTGGTCTACTACCAACCATATGTCTTTCCCCACGCAGTATATGTGAGCCAAGGGCGTTTAGTATCCAATTGCAGCGCGTTACCCAAAAATGGTAAGGGACGGGGACCAGGTAGCAGGGGGAAAGGGTAGACACGTCTGCGAGTCTGACGCAAAGCGACAAGCAGGGCAATAATGCACGATATCGCTAGAGTGAAGAGCATGGGAAGGGATTGTGGTCGAGCGCAAGGCATGCTGCAAGTTATTAGTTCGTCTTATCATATTTGCAGCTTGCTTCTTCGTGTGGAAAAGTTCATCAATTGAGTGACACCATTAGTTACGATAGCTAGTAAATACATCACGTACCCTCACATAGCTCAAGCTCAAGAGGAGGCTTTACTAGTTGACCTCTGACTTGAGAATTATGTAAGTTATCTATTAATATTGGCGTTGCAGAAAGTCTCTGTTCATTATGGTGATCACGCAATCAGCTGCGTCTGAATCGGTACTGGTAGCGCCACTGTACAGTGGCCCCATACTGTCACATGTCGGGCCCGCGCCCGACAACACACTCCGGGACCCTAACGCCAATTGAAGTAGGTTGCCAACAGTGCCAATTAATAATGCCCCGCTCATCGAGTGACAGCCCGCCCGTGGTAAAGATCTTGCCATAAGGTGAGTAGCAAACCGTGTTCATGGATTGCCCTGTGTTGACTGGTCCCAAGATAGTTTCTGCGTTCTGGGCATGAATATTCCTTCCTGCGTTCTGCTCAGCACTCGCTCTCCGTCTGGACTCCCACACACACAATGCACCTATGTACTCGCTCTCACTTTCGCCTCCATCTGACCATGTATATCCCTATACATGATACATCCCTGGTACATGTGCCAATCCTCGTGCCTCGGCAGGAGGCTCATCGTCAGAATGACCAGTGGTCCTTCCGGCATGTTTTATTTATTCGATCACATCGCGCTGCGCAGGTGAGTCATGACCGTGCGTCTAGAATCCCACCCAAACTTATCCTATCATATCATACTGATGAGAATACGTTTTACACCTCCAGAGCCGCCACCGTGCTGAGGCAAGTGTCAAGCCCACTGCTACCTTGGGAGAGGAACTTCGGGACACGACCCATCGAATGACTCACCATTCCGGATGAGTATTTGACTTGTACACGAAAAGACTAATGCGGAATGAAAGCTGCGACGGAGTGGGTGTTTCGTTCGATGAATATTCAAGTCAGGAGGGAGGTTGTTGTACAAATCTTCTACACGTGCGTCTTGCTTGCATAATCCTCTTGTGCAGTCACCGCAAACTTCACAGCTTCAGTACTGGCGGTGCAGATTAAGAGCCCAACACTTTTTTGGGCAATATGGCCACTTCCTTCATCTGCGTTGAACCCTCTGCATCATGGTCCTACAATTCCGCAAGCCTGCATTCCCGTGTTTCCCTAGGTCCGATTATGCAGACTTGACGCATCATGCTCTATGGTCCTTGTTCTCAACGTCCAACATGGATTTTTTTACCCTCATCATCATACTAGCTAATTCGCAGTCTGGTCATCCTGGTCATATTTTCCTAGTCTTGGCCTAATCAGTCATTTCCCTTCTCTTCCACGTCGACGTCTACATACTCGGAACAACATGTTTGTGCAGTACCAAAGACACACATTCAACGGTCTTCTTCCCAAATCCATCTCTCGACGACAACCTTTCAGCACGTTTACTTCTCGAATACGCTGTCAAAGAAGCTGCTGCCTCAGCATTCTCGACAGCTAGTCTTCAAAAGAAGACCTGAAGTTCAAATGATGAGACGAATCATCTCACCTTCAAATCTCCAAGTACATCATCTGCGCTCATGTCTTTGATACTCAAGTTGCATTGCTAGTACAGACGCTCTTCGCCTTTCAGCAGAATTCCCGAAAGTAGCAGGGAAAGGCTGCCAGCGACACCGACGAGCACGATAACCTACACTTAAGTAACTACCTTACCAATACACAGCGGTTAGACACAGTTCTCAGCGATCAGATTCGTTGAGACAAGCGCGAACACCTCCCTTGGGACGCCCCTCGATACAAACAAGGACATTACTGAACTGCTTGCGTCCTCCAGTTTGGGCAATCTACATCGCAATTGTCCTCTTGTACAATGTACCTTCCTAGCCTTTGCCTTCTGAATTATCTTATTGTCCTAGTTCTATGTTTCCATGTTCAGACGAAGGTGCCATCGAAAATAAAATGTATATACGAGCAAGTGAATATTCAGATACTGGAGTCTCTAACGCACTCACTTATTCGGGAAGTGATGACTCAGCCACATGGTTACGTCGGCGGTAAGTCGACTCTCCTTAGTGCCTTACCATCAAACATCAAATTACCAAATCTTGGTTTTGTAATCTCCCGCCGCTATATCGGCCTATTCACAGGCCCCAGGTGAGCATCACACAGCCCTGACATATAACGGCAGATTCACACGCACGCAGCAGGCCCCTAACGTTTAACCACAATGCCTATCAATATCGTCGGTTTCGTAGTTAGAGCAATCATCTTTATCTATTGCACGGGAATCCTTGTGATGATAGCGGTGATGGATATCCTTGGCTCAGGGTTCAGTAGGGCACGAACCGTTGTTGGGGTTATGGTCTCTACCTGGAGTCTTGCGCTTGTACTATCTGTTTTTCCCACGACACGGGAAGAAGTTAGGGACCGGCAAGAAAGACTGATCGGTCCTGTCCAATTTCTGTCCTTTTTTTTCACTCTCTTTTGGGGTGTATGGTTTGGTAAGTGATATCTAGGATTCAGGAATTTAAACTAAAGTTTTCAGACCCGTGGTCCGATGAATCAATATCCGCAGGTCTATTTGTAGGCGTCTCTCGACACACGGTTATACTTCTCGGCCACCCCATATTCACCCTCTCAATCGGATTCTTCGCGGATCTCAATTTGCATCTTATTGAACTTGAAGGGGATCCTGTGAGTACAGCATGCTATTTGTAAGTTTTATTTTTATTCATCACTCGTCATAAAACTAATTATCTATATTGAAGCCTTAGCCTACTAGGACTAATTCACCCTCCTTGTAGCCACATTCCACTAGCCCCAAATCACACGGTGGCGAACCCTGAAACTCCCACGCAAAACAGTCACATTGTCACAGCGCTCCATTGCGCCAGTTGGTTTTTATTATATGTCGTTTTGTATGCTACATTATTGTCCCTACACACATACATTACAACAGCCTGAGGATGGTACTTAATTTAATGCGCTGTTGGCTATTAATATTGGTGTTGCAGAAAGTCTCTGTTCATTACAGTGATCACGCAATCAGCTGCGTCTGACTCTGAATCGGTACTGGTAGCGCCACTGTATAGTGGCCCCATACTGTCACACATTGGGCCCGCGCCCGACAACACACTCCAGGACCCTAACGCCAATTGAAGTAGGTTGCCAACAGTGCCAATCAATAATGCCCCGCTCATCGAGTGATGGCCCGCCCGTGGCAAGGATCTTGCCATAAGGTGAGTAGCAAGCCGTGTTCATGGATTGCCCTGTGTTGACTGGTCCCAAGATAGTTTCTGCGTTCTGGGCATGAATATTCCTTCCTGTGTTCTGCTCAGCACTCGCTCTCCGTCTGGACTCCAACACACATAATCACCTACTCTGTATGCCGCCCTGTCACACCTTGCCCGTGTCGATGTTCCACAACTTCACTGTACCATCCTCACATCCACTTGCCGCCTGGCGAAAATGCTATGATGCGCACTCTTTCATCTTTCTCCTCCCATTCCTCGACCTGCATGCCCGTCCCAAGTCCCAGACTTGAAGTGACCCATCCCGTGAATAGTTGGCGATGACTTGCTGCCCAGTAGACAGGTGTCAGTTGTGGCTGATCTCGTTATTTGCTTTGACCTTTCGGTCAGGAATTGTCGCTGAATTGTCGTGCTTCGCAGGGGCTCGATGTCCATCATTTTGGTTTCGGGATTCACTCAATGGGTGCGTCAGCTCTTATCATCAATTACCGCACGAATTCAACAGTTACTCAGAAACCAGATGTACTCGACTAAAGACGAACGCGAGAAGCTGGTCGACGGAGTGGGTGTTTCGTTCGATAGAGATTCAAGTCAGGAGGGAGGTCGTTGTTGGAGTCTCGTGTTCGCTTCACAGCTCCAGCACTGGCTGTGCAGATGAAGCACTCGACGCTCTGCTTCCACAACATGCCCACTTCCTTCATCCCTTGCCATCGCGGTCCTACGATTCCGCAAGCCTGCATTCCTGTGTTTCTCTAGGCTAATACAATTCCGTAGGCGTTTTATTGACTGGGTTGACCAGCGTGAAAGCCCTGCGCCATCGAATTCGTCGCTGGCCGGAGGGAGGTTCAAAAGCTTACTTATGTGCGGTCAATCCTTCCAGGTGTCAGGTGTGGTGTCGTTCCAGACATCGATGGACAATGTCATTACATTAGTGCCGTGGCTTCATTTCCATTGAGTACTTGCGAGGCAATCTATGGTGACACTAGCGAAGACGCAAGGAATGAAGCTAGCTTCTTGATCTAATTGACACACATAGATCTTTTGAAAAACAGGTGCAGCATCTGCTGCTTGAAAGGTAATCTCGCTGAGAGCCACAAGCTTTTGCATCATCGATCAGAGAGTGCGACTTCCTCTCTTGCGTAGCTAGATTTCATTCTACATGGTGGCGAGCATTGTCATACATATATAAGTACAATGATGGAATGTAGGAGATGCATAGAATGAAGATAGGATATATCAAAAGACGTACGAAATCTGTCATCCGTCTTCCTTAATATCGACTCTTCGTGTACTGAATAGACATACCAATTCATCGTAAGAACCGAATCCACTATTTGGACTGCTTTTCGGTGACATCGGTGTGCGATGACATCCCAGCTGCCAATGGTGTGCCCTCTGTTGTTTTGCTGGGTTGGGGCGCGTCAGTATTGGGAGATCAAGAATCTGACTTGGAGCCCAGTGGGGTTGTCTTCTTTCTCGCATGATAGTTCCTCTACGTGAAAATGAGACAGTGGAAAAAACTTAATACGAGGAAGAAAAACATACAGGCTGCATGGAACACTCGAGTACACCAGAGTTTGGCATTGGAACTGTCTTAGCATCTATCTCTGTGGCCTTTCCTGCAGGATAGTGAGTATCATTATGAATGACTTGGGTGGACATCGCAGCGAACCTTCGGCTTCAGCCTTCCTCTTAGCTTGAGCCTCCCGTTCCTCTCTGATCTTTCTAAGGCGAGCGAGATTTGACTTTGCTTCGTCGGTCTTTCCAGCAACATTTAGCTACAGTGACTCAAACTGGCCTTGCAGTAGCGATGCTTGGCTTCTTGTTTCTCCTTCGCCTCCCTGAGAAATAGACAGTCAGTGACATTATTTCCGAGACATGGATACTCACCTTTCTCTACAAGTTAGCTCTCGAGGTGCGCCAAGATCAGATATATTCATCTTCTTCTCGACATGGTTGGGATTTATGAGATTTGCATTTGTGTCACTCTCTCCCTCCGCTTGTTGTTGTTTCTGGTCCACTTGTTTCTTCTTGAGCGCCTTTCGCTCAGAGCGACTTAGCTTAGGCTGTGCGACACTGCCGCTGGCCCCTTCTTCTTCTTCTTCCTCCTCCTCTTCCTTTAATTTGTTTGAGTCGGTCTCGCCCTCTCGATCACGAGGAGCCCTGATCAGGACAAACTATTGAACCGAATTCCATAATTATCTCCCATGAAAAACTCACCATCGTCTATCAAGCAGTACAGCAACTCCGTTCTCGTCTATTTCGAGGTGTTTGCTAAGTTAAACAATGCTATTCAACGTTGACGATGGGATGACAACGGTGGGCAAATTGCACCTGAAATTCCTCCCTCCGCCACGCTTGGTCTTAAATTTGCCTGTTCGATAAGGATTCAAGAAACTAATCTCTAATCCAGTCAGAATTGACTGTTACCTGTGCCTCTGACCATCTTATCCTCTTGGGTGTGATGCATCAAGAGATCAGAAGAATCACTCTCAGGCGGATAAGATAGATAACAATACTCGCCAAATGAACTTAGGAAAAGCTTATGTCAGCAGCTCCACTTTGCGCTCAGCCGGTTTTTGCATATTGATAGGACGTACCCTGGTCTCGGTTCTTCATCAAATATTGCCTTCTTTGAAACAGGTTTCTTGGACATGTGATCTTCGTCATCCGATTCCTGTGGGTGCGCCTTCTTCTTCTTTGTATCTTCTTTCATAACCGAATGAGGTTTCTTGACAGTATTGTCTTCGGGATCAGGTTTCGATACCGCAACGGAGTTAGATAAAAGCAAAGATTTAGCGCTTTGGGATTTGGACACTAGGCTTCTTGAGAGGTTGTTTCACATCTCCGCTAACATCGTCATCAGGTGCACTGCGCTCGGGCGACTTCTTCATGGGGATATCAACGGTCAGAGATCCATAAATTTTGGTTTTCAACAAATTTGGAGACTCCTCATCGACTTCCGTGACCGTCCGCTTTGAACATTTCGGTACCCGAGAAGCACATGTTGGCCTTGTTGTTAAATGAAGATGTTGAGACGATGTTTGCAGCATTTCATACATGTATAAAGACGTCACCTTCATGTGTTCCTTGCGAATGTATGTACGTTGTTTGGCTTGTACCCGATTAAGTGGAGCATCTTTGGCAGAAGGCCATTTGTGAGTAAACTTCGGAACCGCCCAGGGCTCAATGGCTGCAGGTTTATTGTCAGGTATGGGCGCATCCTCATCGTCGGGTTCGATTGTGACAATGACAAGCCTGCGTTTAGAGTGTGTCTTTGGTCGAGGGACTTCTACCAGGGTGCCTTCGTCGTCTGATCAAGGCGCCTCTGCCTTGGTTTTGACTTTAGGTATGTCGGGTGGCTTTTCCTTTGGCATCCGCATCTTGCGGTTTGATGATTCAGGAGCAGCGTAGATATCTGGATGAATGATCGTCTACATATGCAAATAAATAATGACGATGAACGTGCCATAATCATTGGTTTGATATTTGGTTTTCGGCGGTTGGGAGCAGGTTTGATTTTGGTTGTTTCTGCTTCTGAGACATCGTTGCCTGACAAGTAATATGGGAAATAATCTGAACAGAGTGGAAGAGAAGCTGACCGTCAGTAGCTTTGACCTTGCGAGTAGTAGGACTTGCTTTCTTCTTTGTCTTCACCTTCGAGATTTTACCTCCGGACTCAGTAGAGGGACCTGCACAATGATCGACCGATGACGTTGCGCGTGAAGGAATGATACGCACCTGCCGCAGTGTTTCTACTGACCAAGCCCGCTGGCGCCTCCGTATCTTGTTCATTGTTACAACAATACTATAAACAGTTCACACTTAAGCTTGAGCCTCTACCAACTTGAATACGATGGGCGCAGTGAACGACTGGTGCATGCCTATTGAGATGCGGTGAGGGATTTCCAATGTTGTATGTCGTCATAGTACTCATTGGCGCCTGATGGGTAACATATTTGTAGGGTTGACATGCGCAGCTTTAGTTGACCTCCGACTTGAGAATTAAGTTCCTGCTGAACGAGGAGTCACATGCTGCCACTGGCAGGCGACCCGTGACAATGCGAGCTGTACTGCCGCCTGCACACAAAGGGCCATGTTGAAATAGTAACGCTACGTGCAAGATGTCCATACTCACCAGTGCACCTCAGGCTCTAGCAAAAATGATATCAAACTCTGATAAGAACGGATAAGACTGCATTATCTATTAGCGTTGCAGAAAGTCTCTGTTCAGTACGGTGATTACGCAATCCAATTTGTTATTTCCCGTCACGTAGTACTGACTGGAGCAAACTCGGAACACTGGTTAGTTACTCAGTGGTCCCAGTAGCGCCACTGTGCAGTGGCCCCATACTGTCACAATTTGGGCCCGACAACGCACTCTGGGACCCCAACGTCAATAGAAGTAGGCTGCCAACAGTGCCAATCAATAATACCCCACTCATCGAGTGACAGCCTGCCCGTGGCAAAGATCTTGCCGCATCAGGTGAGGAGCAAACCGTGTTCATGGATTGCCCTGTGTTGATTTGTCCCAAGATAGTTTCTGCGTTCTGGACATCGCACACTATGAATATTCCTTCCCAGGTTCCGCTCAGCACTCGCTCTCCATCTGGACTCCAACGCACATAATGCACCTACTCTGTATGCCGCCCCGTCACACCTCGCCCGTGCCGATGTTCCACAACTTCACTGCACCATCCTCACACACGCTTGCCACCCGGTGAAAATGCTATGACGCGCACTCTTTCGTCTGTCTCCTCCCATTCCTCGACCTGCATACCTGTCTCCAAGTCCTAGACTCGAAGTGACCCATCCCGTAAATAGTTGGTGATGACTTTCTGCTCACTGGATAGGCGCAAGATGTGGCTGATGATGTTATTTGCTTTAACCTTTGGGTCAGGAATCGTCGCTAGATTCTTGTGCTTCAAAGGGACTCGATGCCCATCATTTTGGTTTCGGAATTCACTTAACGAGTGCATCAGCTCTTACCATCAATTACTGCACGAATTCAACAGTTACTCAGAAACCAGATGTACTCGACTAAAGACGAGTGCGAGAAGTTGGTCGACGGAGTGGGTGTTTCGTTCGATAAAGATTCAAGTCAGGAGGGAGGTCGTTGTTCAAGTCTCGTGTTCGCTTCACAGCTCCAGCACTGGCTGTGCAGATGAAGCACTCGACGCTCTGCTCCCACAACATGCCCACTTCCTTCATCCCTCGCCATCGCGGTCCTACGATTCCGCAAGCCTGCATTCCTGTGTTTCTCTAGGCTAATACAATTCTGTAGGCGTTTTATTGACCGGGTTGACAAGCGTGAAAGGCCTGTACCATCGAGCTCGTCGCTGGCCGGAGGGAAGTTCAAAAGCTTGCTCATGTGCAGTCAATCCTCCCAGGTGTTAGGCGTGGTGCCATTCCAGGCATCGATGGACAATGCCATTACATTGGTGCCGTGGCTTCATTTTCACTGGGCACTTGCGAGGCAATCTATGGTGACACTAGCGAAGACGCAAGGAATGAAGTTAGCTTCTCGATCTAATTAACACACATAGATCCTTTGAAAGACACGTGCAGCCATATGCTGCTTGAAAGGTAATCTTGCTGAGAGCTACAAGTTTTTGTATCATCATTCGGAGTGCGACTTCCTCCCTTGCGTAGCTTTCTGGTCTAGATTTCATTCCACTTGTGTTTGTTATCTTTGTAACTCCTTCCTTTATTTCATGCTGGTCTTTATCATATGCGTAGTGACAATCTCCATTCAAATATAACACTGAAATATCTATCTATCTACATCATACACCATCTTTCGAGTGCTCAAGTCATTTTCGGCCCTTCTTCGCCCCCAGTATGCATGCACCATGCCTGCGCGATGACGTGCTCGTGGTTGAGGCTGTAGAAGCATTGACAGATGGAGAGGATTGAGTGTTTGGCGGAAACGTGGCATAGGGATATGTCATGTTTGAAGGCAGCAATATGATCATGCCGCCGGCCGGCGGCATCCGATGATTATGCCACCCAGCGAGAGGCTGGAACGCGACGCCAGAGGGCATCCGAGTATCATGCTGGACCTTGGGATGCTGTGGCCCGATATTAGAGGGAGTGCGAGCATGATGCTCCCCCGCAGGAGGTTGGAACCCGACACTAGAGGGCACCCGAGTATTATGTTGGACCCCAGGATGCTGTAGCCCGACATTAGAGGGCATCCGAGCATCATGCTGAACCCCGGGATGTAGCATCCCAGTATTAGAGGGTATCCAAGCATGATGCCGCCCCGTAGGAGGCTGGAGCCTGACACTAGAGGACATCCGGGCATCATGCTGGACCCCAGGATGTTGTAGCCCGACATTAGAGGGAGCCCGAGTATAATGCTGCCCCGCAGGAGACTGCAATTCAACATTAGGCAACACTGTGCGGTCCCGTGGCAAACTTGCAGGTATCGGCGTTTTGTCGATGGTGCGGTTGGTCTCATCCGAGCCCCCCAAAAGGGAAGACTTTTCGCCGATAGTGTGGTCTGTCTCGTCGTCGCCAAAACGGGAAGATTGATCGCTGATGGAGTGATTGGAGTGAACTCTCTTATCATTCCCACGTGATTGAGCTTGACTTTGGCTGCCTTGTAGGCGCTGAGTGCAAACTGGACGTGACAGCAGACACGTTCGGAGTTTGGGGGGGAACGATTGTGAAATACTCTCAGGCCACAAAGGGTTCAACTTTCGATGGTTGTCCTCCAAGTTACCCCACTCCACGTCCATCAGAGACGGTTCAAGTTCGTCATCTGACTCTGCGCTGTAAGTGCTCGTGGCGTCCCAGTTCGGGATTGCGTGCAAACGGCCGATGATGGGTGAACCAGCGAGGTCTTGAGATGGTTGGTCATCTAACTCCGTGCTAGACTCCGGTGGAGGTGGTGATGGTGGTGGCGGAGGTGGTGGTGATGGTGATGGTGACGGTAGAGGTGAAGTTGATGGTGGTGGTAGTAGCGGTGAAGGTGGTAGCGGAGATGGTGGAGATGGAGGTGGAGGTGGAGGAGGTTGGAACGATGCAAGTTGGTATGTCAGTGGGTGAGCACATGACGGCTCTGGTAGGCCACCATGATCATCACTCGAGCCTGGCTCGGAAACATTAGGGACATAATGCAGAAATCCGCCTCTCTCTAAAATTTTGAGGGGTTTTTTTGGTTTCTTGGGTTTGGGAGGCGCGGCGACCCCGGCAACCAAACCGTTTGAAGCTGGGTCGAAGAACTTGAAAGTGAGATCTGAGAACGTCAGGTTCTTGTCTAACACGCATGGTTAGCTTGAAATGAGAAGGAAAAACAGAACATACCTGCGGGCATGTGACACAACTTCAAGTTGAACTGCCAGTGGGTGTTCGGACTATGGTGAATCGCTGTCGCAGCGTGCAGACAAGGTGGTATCCCAAATGAAGTCGTTCCAACATTCTCGGCATAGAGAAATATATAATATTGTGAGTTAGTAATAGCGTGTAACAGCAGACGAGCCTCGACTCGACTTTACTGTGACCTCGCGGAGCAGAGCATGATCTTTGACATAACGTCCCCAAAGGGTAATGCTTCTTATGTCTTAGTTGCGCATTGAAACTTATTAGGTATCATTTTTCACTTGAATGCATACCCAATTAATATATTGGTCCTAATAACACTCATCACAGCTTACTCGCTCTTACTTTCACTATCATCTGACCATGTATATCCCCATCCACGATACACGCCTGGTGCATGTGCCAACCCTCGTGTCGTGGCAGGTGATCAGGACTTCGAACACCCCAAGTATTATCGACAAACAGTAGCAACAAACCAACAGTGCTGCAGTAAATGAAATGGACAACCTCGACAAGCCTCTAGTCACCTGTACCTGCTGTCAACAATAACGAGAAGATGGGGCGCCTTTCAAGATACCAGTAAGCATGGCTCATTCTTCTTTTGCTGCCTGTTGATAAAGTCGTGCATAGGTACATTTGTTCTTGCTCGTTTCATCACGGGCGATGAACTCGAAGCCATCACCAATTGGCAATGAAGTGGATTTGAAGGCTGTCTTTGAATCTCTATGAACGAGCCTTGTAGCATGCTGCATTTGATAGTAAGCTTTTGTAAAACTTTTCGCGTCAGACCAGCTTGTTTAAGATTGCGAGAGAATGCAGGAGTCTGAAGGACTGATAATGATATCGTACTCGAATGTAAGCCATGTGCACACTTCATCAAGGTATAAGTCTGACTCCCCTGCAAAAAGGTCTCGACGGTTGTCAAGAATGTCCGTGTGATGGATAAGAAGAGTGTGCTCTATGAGAGGTCTTCGAAGGAGGCTTCTCGGCAGCGCCATCATGATGTTCTTCGAATATCCGTCGCCAGCGAAACCAGCTTCTACGTGAGACACCGCCAGCCTCATGGATGTAAGTATTCTAACTCACATTCTTTCATGTCTCTGCTGGTCCGCCGGTTGACCATGGCTGTGAAACTAACTGATACAAATGAGATTCTAGCTCTGTTGACTGGATAGTCAAGATTTTGTACACCAATCTGTTCTGAGAGTGTCAACTAATCTTCCTTATAGGCCTACTGACCCACTGCTTCGACCACTTACCCCCAACTCGTACTGTAACCTTCTTCTTCTGCCCCAAGACTTCTTCCTCTGCGTCGCTTGCTGGTCTAGATTTCATTCTACTAGTGTTTATTGCCATTGTAACTCATTCCTCTTTCATTATTGTCTTTATTCTATGCATGGTTACAATCTCCATTCAAATTTATGCTATGTACTGTATACACGTAATAGTACGGACCCCCCGGGAAATGAATAATGTACAAAATTTATGCGACATATAACGTTGAGATCTCTATCTACACCATATTTCGAGTCCTCAATTTCTTCTCAGCCTTGCTTCGTCCCCGGTGTGCATGTACCATGCCTGAACGACGACGTGCTCGGGGGTGGGGCTGTGAAAGCATTGGCAGATGAATTAAATTGAGCGCTTGGCGGGAATGCGGTGGTTATCCCATAGGAATATGTCGGGTTCGAAGGTGGCAACATCATCATGCCGCTGGCCCCCAGACTTGGTCGCATCCAATAGTAATGTGCCCCAGGAAGAGGCTGGAACCCGACACCAGAGGGCACCCGAGCAGCATGCTGGACCCCGGCATGCTGTATCCCGACATTAGAAGGAGTCCAAGCATAATGTCGCCCCATAGGAGGCTGAAATCCGACACTAGAGGGCATCCGAACATCATGCTGGACTCCGGGATGATGTATCCCGACGTAAGAGGGCATCCAAGCATCATTCTGGATCGCAGGATGCTGCATCCCGACGTTAGAGGACATCCGAGCATTATGCGGGACCTCGGGATACTGTATCCCAATATTAGAGGGAGTAGAAGCATAGTGCCGCCCCACAGGAGGTTGGAACTCGACACTAGAGGGCATTGGAGCGTCGTGCTGAACCTCGGGATGCTGTAGCCCGACATTAGAGGGAGTCCAAGTATAATGCTGCCCTGCAGGAGGCTGCGATCCAACATTAAGGAACACTGTGTGATCCTGTGGCAAACTTGCAGGTGTCGACGCTTCATTGATCATGGAGTCTGTTTCATCCGAGTCCCCGAAAAGGGAAGACTCTTCGCTGATAGTGTGGTCTGTCTCGTCGTCATCAAAAAGGGAAGACTGCTCGCTGATGGAGTGGTTCGTCTTGTCCCAAAACAAAGAAGATCCTTCGTTGATGGACTCAACTCTCTCATCATTCTCGTGTGACTGGGTCCGATAGGTCTGTTTGTCTTGTAGGTGCTGAGGGCGGACTGGACGTGACAGCAGAAACGGTTGGAGTTCGGAGGGGAGCGACTCCGAGATATTCTCAGGCCACAAAGGGTTCAACCTGTAATGACTGTCCTCCAAGTTGTCCCACTTCACATCTGTCAGAGACGGTTGCTCATCTGACTCCGTGCTGGAAGTGCTTATAGTGCCCCAGTCCGGGATTGCGTGCAAACGGCCGATGATCATTTGTGAATCAGCAAGGTCTTGTAGTTAGGAATTGAGTAAGGAAGGCCGGAATGTAAAATGACTTGTCAGTCTTAGAAGTTAAAGATGCGGACACTGGAAAATGGCAATGCGAGCCTTTTGTAGGGTCTCGGGAAAGGTCCACATCCACAGTTTAATCAAGTGGCGCATTGTGGACTGCGCGACTTGGAGTGTTCATTGTTAGGAGAATTGAGCAAACTTAATATTTTTCAACTTACTTTAGCTTCAGCTTGTGCGGAGTCTTCTTCTCGTGAAGTTCCTTTGGTCCAGCAGGTTGTGGCATAAACTGCAAGGACATTGGTGTAGATGTTGTCCCGATGGAGAGTCGCTACCACCCTAAGTGGACTTTTTCGGGTCTGGATCATCATATGGTCGTGACGGTAACAGATGCGCTGCTCCTACACGGCGATCGGCCTGTTCTCATGGAAGGTGAACTGCCAAGGCTGGCAGCTCGATTTCGTCATGTTCTGCGTCAGGTCTGCAATGTGGCGCAAACACATTGATATTAAAACTGACCTAGAAATGATTCAAACCATCGTAGCCTATTAATGCATTTGGTTGCTGCCGCAGTAGATACAAAATCTAGTTGTTTGGGAGTCATGCGCAGGGCCTGTCACATATTGATGTGTGATGACAACAAGTCGTCGTTTGAACTTGTTCCAGCACACCTCTGGCATTTCATCCGAGTCACATGTGGAAGACGACCAGTAGAAGGGTGTGTTACGGAGGTATCTCAACTCGAAAGGCGATGAGTGGAATATCATTAGAGATCAAGGTGGTGCAGAACGTGAAAGAACGTACCCCAGTTTCGTGTTTTCAGATCTGATGCCGTATAGTACTAACGTTAACAGATCAAACTACTTGCTCAGAACGTGGAGTTCTCAGGTCCATCATCGAACGATTTTTTGTGCGCTCTCGTAAGTTCCGCAGCTACTAATCGGTTCAGCATCGAAGGTCGGCTCATATGTGCGGGTAGTATGGCTTAGTGTTTCTCTTAGTACTACGTTCTCCCTATACTGGGCAGTTGCGAGGTATGTAATGAATATCACGAGAGTGGGGCGTCCTGACTCCTTACACCCTATTACAGTGTCTAAACAAGCCCTACAGGGTTGCCCACACCGATTTTGTAGTCGCCAACCTCGAGAAACTTAACCACTTATTGTGCTTCCAGACTTCAATTCGTCACGATCGTGCTCATCACCCGTCATCATCATGAAAGTTACCTCTGCTCTCGTCCTTGCGTTCGTTGCTGGTGTGCAGGCTCAACCCTCAGTCAATATCTCAGCACTACCCAGTGGTACTACGCCCCCGACGTAAGTACCCTCCCCCCTTCAGCTGTCATAAGCTGCTAGATTGACTGTGATCCCTATAGCTTCACCATCCCTCCGCCCCCCTCAATGACTTTATCTTCGTTGACTTTAACCGGTCCGACTTTAACACTGCCTAGTGGCATGTCATTCGGGCCTAATACGACGACGTCCACGTCCACGTCGACGAGTGCAACCGCCAAGTCTACGGGCGCAGCAATGGCACTGGCAGGCTCGTATGCTGACACTGAATTGGTAATGGGAGCTATGGCAGGGTTCTTCGGCGTTTTTGCCTTTCTAGTGTGAAAACTAGTTTATCCATGGACCATAGTGAGAACGGCCATGCGCGCATTTTTACGATAGAGGCTATATCTAGATAGAGGAATAGACTAGTTTATGCATTGTGCTATGCTACCATTTAGCCGTGATAAGGTATACTAGTGAAAAGAATCATTTGTGTTATGCATGGGCGCACAACATGACTGCAAGATAAATAACAAGTTTAGCCGCCAGTTTTACGCTCGTGCCAAGGCGCGCAGAACACTTTCACGAGAGAAAATAGAATAGAAAGGTGACATGTCCGCGCTTTCGGATTAAGTTTTCATCCCAAACAACTACGAAAATGGGCAATCAGCAACCGTAGTGAGGGATAATATGATATCATACAGTCTTGATTTCCTTAACGCTCATCTTCTGTAGCTTCGTTCCCGCGCCCTCGCCGAGCGCGGCATCCGCAAGGTCACTTTTAACCTCCTGAAGGCGGAGCATTCTGCAAAGTTGTTGTGAGGGAGATAGAAAGTCGGTAAGATAAAAACAGTGGTCCTGAGTTAGCGTTCGAATAACGGAAACTGTCGACTCACCGCTCCTCTATCGTATTTTTGACAACAAGTCGCTTGACAAAGACATCTTTCTCTTGTCCCAGACGATGTACGCGGTCGTATGCTTGTGACTCGGACGCATAATTCCAGGATAGATCCAAACTATTCATCATCATAGTTTTTAGCAATCATGATGTAAATGGTTCAAACCCTGTGACTTACTTGATGATGCGATTTGCCACAACCAGATTCAAACCTACACTACCACACTTCGTGCTGATGAGGATGACCTTGGGTCCATCAGGTCGTTTGAATGTCGCAAGGGTATTATCCCGCGATATCCGGTTCATGGAACCATCATACCGCAGGCTGCGGATCCCATATCGCGAGAATAGCGTTTCGATGAGGTCAAGCATCGAGGTCCCTGTGTGATACTGTGTCAACAATAACTTGTAGAATTTGAGGTACGAACACTGTGAATAGCAGATTGTCTTGTCCCCGCTCTCGTCCCATGACTTGAGGAAATTGATGAGGGCGAGCATCTTCGTACTTGGTTCCAGGTCGTAATCACCTTTTCGCCACATGGCAATAAGTGCGTCGGAAGGGGCGCCAGGGACTTCCAAATTTGCCTTCTCTGCACTTTGCGATGGAGGTTTCTCCTCGTCGTCCCTCATGGGTGCTTTCCCTTTTCCATTATCATAGTGCTTCTTCGAGGACCGCACGGCATGCCCCCTTCCGAGCTTAATGTCGGAACCATCAAGGTAATCCGACACATCACCCACAGTCAAATCAAGCACTTCGTCCTGTAGTACACACCGCATAGTCAAACCCAGCACCAACAATGACAAAAGTTATGCGCACGTTTCCAGACTGCTGGCGCGATCGTTTATTCCCCGCTGCCTTCTTGTCCTTCTTCTTGAGTTTTCCTCCATTCGCGAATAGCTGTGAGAAGTCTGGCATATCGTCGTCGGAGCTGTCGACCTCTGGCGTCGCACCCCTGAAGCGTGAAGGCACAGATAACTCGATTTCCGAATCTGAGTCAGATGACTCTTCACTTGAAACTGTACCCTGGCGCACGGGCTTCTCTTGCACAACCCGGCGAGCGTGCTTACGAGCGCGATTTGCCTCCTCGACTTCATCCTCCTCTGGCTCGAATGCAATGGACTTGAACACCTTCGTTGGGTCGTTCATCTTCTTGCACGTAGGGCCTGCGCGAATGAGCGAGAGTACAGCGTGACGAAGAAAAGAGGGATACGCACAAGGCCGGTGACCTTTCGCAGCAGCAGCTTCATACTCACGTTCGGCACGGAGATTTTCTTTCTCATTTCCATGACCACTGGGTAATGGTTTAGATGTAACAGAAGGAGTAGTACTTAGGAGCTTACAATTCTCCGTCATGGGTAATCGGCGAATTTGAAAGTATGAGCATACAATCTAGAGAAACAAGAGCGCGATCAAAACACAACGACGATGGTATGATGAGGGTCCACTGACCAAAGCAAATCTCATGGCCACAGGTAAGGACACGACCAGCGTTGTTGACGTACACTTTCGCATACATGTGAGGCTTGAGCATCAATCTAGTGAGACACGAGTACATACGATCTTTGCAGACAGGACATGTTGCATCTGCGCCCTCCTCATCCGAGAATGCGAGTAGATTACTCTCTAGTGCGCGTGTCATGAACCTGAGTGTAGTAATTTGTTAGCTTCTTTACCTGTCACACAATAGAGTAAAACTGAACCTCTTCTTGATCTGTAGGCAGATAGTTTAATACTGGCTATGGGTAGACTAACAGTACTCACATCGCCGACCCAGGCCGACCCCATGACTCGGATTGCTCGCGCAAACTCCTTTCCCTTGTCATCGGACATGAGTATGGAGGGGTCCTCGTGCTCTTCTGTGTGACACTGTGGGGTGTGTTAATTCACCTATGTGATCGGAGAACAAAAGACGCACCAGGATTAAGTTCGGATGACAACACAGCTGCCGAAGCCGGAGGATCATCGCCTATAAAATGTATTAAAAATGACCACAAGAATGCAAATGCAAAGAGGTACCAAGATATAAGTTGCACTAGGATGGAAACTGCATTTAGAAAATATAACGCAAAAATAACTGAGTGCATACTTCTTCAACAACGTCCCTCTTTTGATGAAGCGATTGATTTGAATGTGGCTTTTCTTTTCGAAATCATCATACAGCTGTGAGATATGAGTATGTGAAATGTCAGAGTACCCAATCAACGTACCTGTTGCTCGTCTGCTGAGAATTCAAGAGTCACGAGCTCAATGTTTTTTGGGGGCAGCTGAAGAATGAGTTTTCCTTCCTATAAAACTCGTGAGTGAGAATACAGGAATAAGATATCCTATTAGTGATTTACCAATCTAGCTTGTTTTGTGCGACGAAGCAACAGGGGCTTCAGAATCTCCTGCGCTCGCATTGCTATATGATTGAGCCCAAGAACTACATCAGACAAGCAGTTTACTCACCCGCAAGCGGCGCATCCTCTTGCTGCACCTTTGCCTAAACGAAGATGAGAAGCAGAACGTGCAAAAGGCGAAGGAACGCACAATATATTGTTTAAATGACTCCCAGTCATTCCAAGGGCGAAAACGCCCAAAGCGAATAAGCCCATATATGTCAGCACTGGGAATAGTTGGGTAACTAAGAAATGCTGTAAAAAAAATTGGGCATACAGTGTATTCGTGACAGGTGTGCCTGTAAGCATCCACCTATAAGTTGAACGAAGTAGAGCTACACTGCGGCTAGCATGCGTTCCCCTGTTGGGAATGTCAAATGACTCAATACATGGAATAATGCTGAACATACCTGTTTCGAATAAATTGGGCCTCGTCTAAAATCACACGATACCATCTCATGCGACTAAGTACCCCTCTGCAAAGTAGCTGAAGGGGTCGACATAGTACAAATAATGTGTTACCTACCCGTGGTCCTCAAGATATGCCAGTTCATCGCCTTCTTCGATGTCTTTTGGAATAGTAAGCTCCGTGCTCAGGGTTTGATATGTAGTGATGATGACCTAACGATACCTCAGTCACTCTGCGAAGCTGTGATGATTCAGATGACATACGTCTTTAGATCTGACGTCCATCAGGGTGGAAAGCTTATCCCGTCCATGATGTATATGAACGGTAAATAAGTCATTCGACTTCGTCTCGATTTCCTCCTTCCACTGGCAATGGCGTCAACGTGGTCAAAACCGATCAAGGAAAACAAACTAACCTGTTGAAGGAGCGCAGCGGGAACGACGACGAGCGTGGTCTTCACAGCATCAGTGTCCCTGGGCAAATTGGCTGCCATTGTGGCAATCATTTGGACAGTCTTGCCTGAGGCAGAATATTTCGTTACAGATGCATTTTGACGAAGTTAAAACAACTGACCAAGACCCATTTCATCTCTGAGTCAAGTCAATATCATTAAGGTGCATGGGTTGAAGATAAAGTAAAGATACTTACGCTAAGATACCACCCCTGTGAGGGGACTTTTTTTCTTGGTCCACCATCCTGTGCTCTGAAATTGATATATGCACAGAAACCTATATATTAATACTCGTACCAGTTGACACCGATGAGCTGGTGAGGTAAAAGCCGTACTTCGAGACCGGGGAGGAGATCCTTGTCACTATACGACCTCAGTACAACTATTGCGAATGCCATGTTGAATGCACCACGCACCTCTGAAGACCGAGGTTTCGGATAGCATCCTTAACAGACCGTCTATCTCCAAGATTTTCAATAGAGTTATAAACGAATTCTGCCAATCTTATACATGTGTCAACGACGACTGATGTTCCAATGCTCGGACAAAGTACCTCTGTTCTTGATCAGGGCCTCCTTGATCAATGCGAGTAGCAGGAGTTTCGCTGTCGTATCTCAGAGAGAAGCCGGATGTAATGAGCTTGCTTTGAATATTGTTCTTGGTTCTTGATTGAGATCTGCCAGCTCTAGATGAAGCACCTTGTAATGAAGCGCCAGCTGCAGTCGAGTCGTGAGATGATAATAACGGATATCTGCAATTCTCTTACTCGCATGCACAGGCTTGTTAAATTGTGAGTGTGGTACATGAATCGTTGAATCGACGTCTGGGAGAGTCACTGGCGACACAGGAAAGGTATTTGACTCGGATTTACGCTTGCCGAGAATTTGGGATGTTTGGATAGTGGTATGATAATTTGAGGAAGAAGGCATGGAGTAATCCAGCGCAGCCAGGACGCGTGATGTGCTCTTTTGGGTGCTCTTGGATATATCACCCATCTTCGAATATGGCTGAGATGAGCGGCAGCACTTGAAGTATACTAGGTACAGCAACTTGAATTAATTAAACACGGCGTTGCCAAAGAACGCCAAACAAACTCTAAAACATACACGGGAGCAATTCAGAATATATTCGTGGCTGAGCGGACCAAGTTGAAAGTACTTGGTTGTCTCGGATGCGCATCTTCACGCTATTTGTTTCCCTGCTAGCGGAAAGACAAGTTTGCACGATAGGTCACCATTCAGCCAAACGAAAGCAAGGCGGCCTTCCGTGACGGACAATAATGGTTTTTAGCATGTGCTCTCGTATCTCGCCGAGGCACGCGAGATTGATACGCCAATGTGTGTAGAACTGATCGTGTTCTTCTGGTCGGATACACCGTGTTTGACCTCCTCCCACTTGCCTTTTGCAAACCTTGCCATTCCTGCTTACCCTGGCAGTCCATACCCATCTCATCGTTGCCCCTTCCTGAACCTCAAAGCAGTTCCTCCTGGTACACACGCATGTCTCATTGGTGACATTGTGCAGTAGGCTGACGCGCCTGGGCTCAAAACATTGTTCAACTAGTAGGGACAGCCACACTTCGTATCCATGCTTGTTGAACGTTGAATACCAGGCCAATGATCCCTGCGCTGCTCGTAGTAGAGGTAATATACCATGTCACATTTGCCAGCGGAATTGCAAAATTTGCAGAATATCAACTCCACGATTGCATACATAACTGAGTGGCCAAATGAAGTGGCCACAGGCTGAAGCGCTGAAGAAGGGCGATGATCAGCGTTCCTGCCGAGGAGCGACAGCTGTTGGTACTGTATTTGGTTGTACACAGAAAAGTTGCAAGTACTTGAAGTAGAGGCCAAGTTGGTGCCAGCCGATGCGTGTGAACTTGGCAGTCGGCAGGTCAGATATTTTTGAAGCTGAAGCTAAAGCGGCTTCTATTAGCTTCTAGCCCAAGTATAAGTTGTACTTTCTCATCCCCTCCAAGACCACGTCTACAAGGTACTGAGCTGCACCTTTCACAGTCCGACCTTCGAAGTGTAGATTTGATCTGACTGGTAAAATCTCCTCTTGGTTCCAATGTACTGCAGCGCTTGGCTAGAATTCCTGATGAGCCACATACTAAGAGCTACAACACTGGTACAGCTCGCCCAAGAGCTTTTGTACCTTATATTGTCACCTCTTGATGCGTATGACCTAGTCCGGGTACGACAGGTAAGCGAACACATCATTCGTCTTACTCTACTCACCAGCCATACTAGACGTGCAAAACGCTGAAAGCAATAATCGACAATTCAGAGATCCTGCAGTATATGATCGACCTCAGCTATTTCCAAATGATTCCAATGGAAACCTCTGAAATAGACATGCTGCAAGCTACACGCCGCAAGCGAATTTGACAGCATGACGCTGGATGGCAGCGCTTCGAGTACAAGCAGAAGTACACACTCCCCCCAGTGATGTTGGAAACTACACTTGAACTTTCGGGTGGTGTATACGGCATTGTTATTGTTGGGGAGGATTGCATCCCCTTTACGCGTCTACCATCCGCGACCGATTTCAATGATCTACATTGCTGGAGCTGCCCTGTCGACACCACAACCTCGGTGGACTTCACTTTCTGTGCTGTGCAAGATCTACTTGTCGTGGTGGCATATTCGCCAGACCCGTGAGCGTTTACAGTCTTTCGCCCAGTTCATTTTCAGGCTGAACTGCGCTGGAAGCCGGATTCATGCGGACGATATCCATCTGAGGTCCTTGACAACGAACGAGATCCACGCCGATGCAGCGCAACCAATCCTGAAAACAGTCGACAAAGACTGCGAAATAGTCCAATCCACCAATCAATGGAATGCACCGCGAAACTCTCTTTACCTTCTCTCATGGATCATGTTCCATACACAGGGGCAGTCATGGGCGTAAATATAATTCCCACCTCCATGCTTCCATATTCTCAAAAGTCCTACCAACCTACATGCTCATTTCACCCCAGTACGAACGATCAACTCGTAGCCATTCGTGTCTCTGTCACTGGGACAATGGGTCTACCTCGCCCAATCGATTCCCGCCGCTATGGCTTCTTTATGCTGCGCAGTGCCATTGTGGAACTCGAAAACTTCTTCGTCGAGACTTATGGCCAACCGACCTTGAATGATCCCAAGTTACTTTGGTGAATGTGGGGGCCGCAGCATACGTCGCGGTTCCGGGTTCAAAGGGACGAGGACTGGCGGTCTTCACTGTGGTTTCCGTGTTGTTGAGTCCATCAACGACTCTTCTCGAGTGTCACGCATGCCCCAACAGTTACGCATCAGGGATTTCAACCCACATCGCTCGGAATCATCAGGCTGAAGACAGATTAGGCGGGCTTGGTCAATTTGTCGAAGGCGAGCTGACTAGTACCATTTCTTGCCCATTTATGGAACCGCTAGGATCTGCGTTACCTTATCGTGAGATCGTTAGCGAGGAGTTGTTTAATGTGGATAATATTTTGATGGATGAAAGTAGAATTATGCTATTCAAAGTGAGTTGCAACTTATATTTACCAATTCCTTCTGCTTACAACGAAGTGTGGTAGACAAATCTGAAGAATTACAAATCAACACATTGGTATTCTGACCACGCCTCGGGAGGTGTGACCCTCACGCGCCGCTTGTTTCTGTCTTTAATCATCGACCGCGTTAACATGGGTTTTTCGGGTTTTTCACCGAGATCAGGTAGTGACGCCGCACGAGATCACATTCATCTGTGGAAAGCGATTTCTTCATCATATGCTCGTTATATGTCGTGGAACAAAGATTTAATCTTGTGGAACGCTAATGCGCTCCGATACTGGCGAGGTATTCTGCACGTGTTGACTATGTGCATCCCATGGTTCTTGGCGACTTCTCGACATAAACTATTCTGCATAAGTAGGCGAGGTGCGTGAGTGGTTTTGCAGGTCTGGGCGTAGTGTATGCACGGCATGATTGTGGGAGTGAAAAGACAACGCGAACCCTCCTGTTGCGGTAACCTGCATCAAATTTCAAATTTCGTGGGCTAGTATTACTGCTGTTTTCAAAACAGTTGGCACAGCCGCCGAAACGCCACTTTTTCCGACCTTTCGAATATGTAGCATCAAACAATTGTTTCTCAACAACCACTTCTCCAAATGCTATGATTCTTTAATGAAAGATGATCTATTTTATGATGCCCAGGGCATGCCAACAAAATTGGAGCAATTTGGCCACTACTTCGGTATATTGTTTTCATGGTGTTACTTTCTGCCTCGCATAATTTTCCAGCAAGAACAACCAATCCTCTCCACCAACAGACATTCAACTGTTCATTATATATTGTCTCCTGAAGGCATGGCAAAAAAATTGAGAGCTTTAAGTGTGATTTTCATAACCTCAACAGTCCTAGTGACATGCTTGCGAGACAAATTTTGCACCAAATCTCTAGATTTCATTGTTGCGCCCTCGGGAAATGGTACCCAATGAACCCAAAAGTTATCATAGGTTGGGTGAAGAGCTTGTTGTTGCAGGAAAATTCGTCGAGTCAGAATGCAGCCTTATGAAAACAAGATACCAAGATAACAGTCAAATTTCTCCAATTTTGTTGGCATGCCCTGGATACCATAAAATAGATCATCTTTCATTAAAGAATCATAGCATTTGGAGCAGTGGGTGTTGAGAAACAATTGTTTGATGCTACATATTCGAAAGGTCTGAAAAAGTGGCGTTTCGGCGGCTGTGCCAACTGTTTTGAAAACAGCAGTAATCAGTGTGTCATATACTAGTCCAAAAGTTCGATGTACACAGCGCAGTTGGACAACATGTGTAGTGCAAGGTCGGGACATCCGATTGTTGGCTAACCAAAACGTGCGACTGGTAAAACTTGGTGCGTATATGTCCAAGGCTATTGTGTGCAGAGTCCCATATACATCAAATCGAAGGATCGCATCAACAGATCCTCCGCGCAGGGGTGACTTGTACACGGAGAGATCCTAATGCAATGCCACGGCCATCCGATTCCAGAATATTCAGAAACGTGTCACGATTTCGATCTTCAGTGGGGAAGAGTCGGAAGCATGATATTCTGTTCACTGCATCCGAAAGAAGGTCCCACTGACACAGTACAAATCCTGCAAGGCGGTCCGCAGTCCCGACCTCTCAATCACCCTGGATTAATGAAGGCTATGAGGGCGAAGCACGCCCGATGTAGCTTCTGGCCCAACTGCATAGAACAGCACGGACCACTAGCCGATTAGCCAGCCTTGGAGTGAGACATGACACATTCCATCAGAAAGAATGCATCACATATACATAATAACACACACCGATTCAGACGAGAGGCATGCTGTTATCGGAAAGCAACGCTTGAGCAGTCGTTTGCTCGCGATGATAACTACAAGATATGCAATTTGTGTGCAAACTCCTCGTAGCCAATTATGATGATCTGTAGCACCGAAACCTGTCTTCATATCGATCCCGGAGCTATTTCCACGCAGAACATGAGACAATAAATCACAACTTGTCGGTGCAATAGGCTCACAAGCCCTCACCGACTGCGCTCTACGGAATGCTCGACATTAACATTCAACATGATTTTTTGCCAACTCACCGATTCTTTCCTGTTTGTGATTAGCGCGAATATAATTCAAAGACTCGTATCGCTCATAGCAAAGGTTTGACCAGGGGAGATTATCCTGGTAGAGCAACTGATATTAAGGTGTGCCTAAAGTATTGCACGATTAATGCATAGATGAGTATTGTTCAAAGCCAGGGAAACCACTGTTGGCGAGTATGATCGAAGTGACAATTTACAAGGAGTCCGAACACAAACCTCATTAAATTAAATCTGGTAAACCGAAACAAAACAACAGAGATTGCAGAAGTTGTCCGTGAGAATATAAACCAAACGAAAGGATATGTCAGGCAGTAGACTCTATACTACCTTCCCCGTCGCCATCGACTATCATCTTCTGCTTCTCTTCTGGATCTAACCAGCTATCTTCCACTGTGGCTTTCACCCTTCTCACGTACTCCTTCATGTTGTCTCGGTACAATTGCGCAGCTTCTGCATTTGCTGGGCTGTTCGGATTAGGATCGTGCAGGAGACTCTGGATGGAAGTAAGGATGGCGGCGACATCATATGTGGGAGACCAGCGGTTTTGTAGAATGTCCAGACAGAGCTCGCCATTGTTATATACATTTGGATGGAACATTCTGGAAAGAAATTTCACTGTAGGCGGCTTGTTGGGGTAAGATTCATCAAACGTGAGCAGAAGTTTGAATGTGCCGTCCTCAAAGGGTGTATCAGCTGTAAGTAGTGTCAGAGAAGGATAGTTATATACAGAGATAGAAAACTGACAAGGCCCAAATATTACAGCGTTCCAGATCATGATGTTATCCGGACATGGACTTCCAGAAATGCCGCTTGGCGGGTCACTAGAGAGTCGTTTGAAGTCACGGATAAGCCGCCTCCTGCAGGTGGTAGACTATTGAAATCATAAGCGGCAAAGACGATTGGGTTTGATGCTCGCATACCATGTTATCTGGCTGGCTTGTATTTGATTAAAACAGAGGTAAGAATTGCGAGAGAACTAGAAGTACAAGATCAAGAAGGTTCGCAAGGCCACACCCGGTCCGCTGCTAGCCTCAAGCGAATGCTTACAAAGCACACCACAAAATCGGCAATTAGAAAATTCAAATATTTCTCCCCTAATTCTCAGCATCCTTGCAGCCCATCGATGTCTTCGGGCCTGTTTAGCAGTCTCCCTTCCATTCCACCCTCAACCATCACCACTTGTCCAGTGACGTGACCAGAAAGAGTAGACGATGCAAGAACCACAATCTGTGTCGCGATGTCCATTGGCATCGCCACTTTCTTAAGTGGAACCCTGCGGTGGCACGACATTCATATCAACAATGAATCAAATGGTATCGCTTACGTGGCCAATATACGAGACATTGTTTGAGGATCCTTCAAGATGTCTTCAACCATACGCGTCTTGACCCAGCCAGGTGCAACACAGTTGACTCTGCCTTTTGGGGCTATCTTCACGATCTCATTCTTCAGCGTCAGGTTCAAGCCATACATCATTGCTAGAATATCGTGAGTCCATGTCAAAAGTGCTGACAGAAACCATTACTGACCACTCTTAGTCGCGGCGTAGTCCCCGTTGTTGGCTTCACCATACTTCCCAGCAGTACTTCCGACAAGAATAATTGCTGCCTTTTCCTTGATATCCGAGGAAGCCCTTTCCAGATGCTTCAAATACTCTCTGCACACAAGGAATGAAGATGTCAAATTCACAGTTATTGTAGTGTTCCATTGATCCAGCGTCATCCTTGCAATGGGCACAGCTAAACTGTGAGATATAGCGTGATTGATGACGACTACTTGCACGGGACCATGAGGCATAGTAGAGAGCGATTTGAACATGGTTACCACGGCCTCCTCTTCAGACAGATTCGCCTGGACGTGTTGAAAATTGATGTTCGACGCCAAAAGTTCCTGTATCGGACCAAAGTGCGAGTTATAATGTGCGGTCACGTTTGCACCAAGTGCTGGATGCTCTCAACTCAGTGCTCAGATATCTTTTGGGGGATGACTTACTACAAAATAATTTCACAGTCTCGAGCCCGATGCCGCCACTTGCCCCTGTGTAAGTAGTATCAGATCAGCACTCACATGGTAAACGGATACAATTGCAACCTGTGACAAGGACATGCACTCCCTTCAATCCAAGATCCATGGCAAATAATGATAACCAAACTGATCAAAGCTTCAGCTTCAAGCTTAAGAATGTCCAGGTGTGATCACTATACCTGTGTGAAAATATCGAAACGGATCAGGGATATAGTGGTCACCCGGTCGGAACTCCTCCAAAGAGCACACTCATATTAATACTGTCAACGGTCGGCGCCCTCCTCGTCAGTGCTTCCGATGATAAGACTATCAATATTTGGGCCTTCAAGCTTCAAGTCCCAACAGCGATGGCATTGCCAAATCCCTTATATCCTCACCCCGAGTCAACCGATTCACTTCAACTAGCTTACACGTTCTACGATACTAATGATCCCAATACCTATATATGCATCATCGCCCCCGCTCTGCTTACTATAGCGAAAGTACGGTTCACTCCCCCCGAAGTATGCATTCATTTACATGAAACCATCTTCTCTGGATTAACCCGTTTGGATTCGCTGTAACACAAATCTTCTTATCTCTTTCGTGTGTCCTACAGCGTCTTTCTGCTGCCAAATTACGAGAATACGAGAAGGTCAGTGATACCTGGCACCAGACAGAGTCGACTGGCGGGTCGCTGATTGGTTAACATACTTACCCATGGCGTCGAATCTCAGGTAATTGGCACCACCTGGACGATGTATGTCTTAACGTTGTGTCCATGCGCAACCTTGTGAGATCGATTCCTCTCCCGTAAGCATAGTATGGGGGTGCCTGGGCTGTCAATGGACACCTTTAAACTTCGGTTCTAGGGTTCAACGTCAGGATGCGGGTCCATGAAGCCTGCCCCGTCAGTCTGCGTGATTATGACGCTCCAAGGCGAACTTTAATGACGCTACAGTTATATAATTGAATGACTCGATATACGTACGAACGCATAGGTCACTGTCGACTGATATTGAGGTGGACCCACGTTGCAGTGGGGAAGAGCCTGTGAACCGACCAACGGTATGCAGCCTGGTTGCGCCGGGTCACGAGATTTTGGAAACAGATCTGGTTTCTGAAGAGTGAACGTATTCAAAAGCAATTCTCTTAATCATCAGAGACAGACAAAAACAGAGGCCGTAAAACCGTGCCATCCAGTGCACTTTGCCCCGTATCATATGTCAGACCACCTCAAGTGCAAACTAAGTCTACTTCGAATTCATCATCGCTCGGATGTGTGCTTCTCTCGTTGTGTTCACGACTTCAAACGAGCAGTGAAATGGTTCAGGGTGACTTCGGCAGAGTCAGTTGTAGGTTATTGAATACATACTAGATCACCTACATCCCCAAGCCGGTGGTGTACTCCGGTTTCACCTCGATCTTGTCTCCGTTTGAGTCTTTGGCATGATCGATGCGCAAGACGGCGAGTATCGTAGCAAATGCAGTCCACAGACTGTTCTCTGCAAACCAACGACCTGCCAAGGGCATTTGTCATCCTCGACACTGCCAAATCAGCTATGAATCAGCCTACCAGGACAAATACGCCTGCAAGAGTCAGTGGATGATTGAAGATGATAGTAAGGTTGGAAAATTCACCTGCCATGACCAAAGGCAAAATGGTTTACGAAAGGGTTCTTCAGCTTCCCATCGACAGTCAGATGGCGGCTAGGATCGAAGCGCGATGCATCGGGAAATATGTCTTCATCCCGAGACAGCGCCCTGAGCAATGCTCAGCTCAAACCAATACATGCACCCAAGCCCGACATACCACTGATTAACCATGACTATTGTACCTGGCCGAACTACAGGTGAGTCAATGGCAACCTTGACTCTTACGACTTCGAACCTTTGGGTATAAAGTACCCTTCGTAAACATCATCATTTGATGCCGCATGTGCGAATCCTGTGCAAAGTGTCAGCCATGCAAACACAAAACTATATTACTACCGACTAACCTAGGGGGGCGGGAGAATGCCATCTCAGGACCTCGCAAAGAATGGCATCAAGGTAGGTCAGTGACGCCCTGTCATCAAGGCACGGCATGCTGTCATGCCCCACAGCTTGGTCAATTTCTGCACGAGCACGGGATTGGACGTCAGGATGGAGCACCATAGCCAGCACGAATGTCTGCAATGTGGATGCAGTCTGCGAAACATCAAAATAAGAATCAGAAATGTTTCAAGTAATTAAGTAGCGACTCACGGTTTCCATGCCAGCTAAGATGCCGTATTCCCGTCAATAGATGAGCTCCGTCTTGGTGAAAACAAATTCCTACCCATGTATCCCATGAATGCAACAGCCTTCAGAATGTCTTCGTCAGTGTCGTCATGAGCTTGACTGAGAAAGTCAGCGATTAATGAGCGTGAAGCAGTACCATCTGCCTTCACGCAAACAGATCAGGCGAAACTTTCATCCACAAGTCCGCGCGAACGTACTATCTGTGCCTTCACTTCATTAATGGGCTCGTTCAAAAGTTGTTGACTTATTTCTCTACAGCGTCCCATCAGGGAAAATGCTCCACCAAAGCACCAAAACGGCAACTTTTCGACTGCAACCTCATGCTAAATGTTCAAGATCATGTCATCGACAGAGGCACTCACGGAAAGGAAAGGCTGTGAACATGGCAGCCTTCTCAGGAGAGAGAATCTGTTTTGCAATATCAAGTATTTCGTGCGCATGGGAAAGAAATGAGTCTTCATCAGCGAGATGTCCGTATGTCACGGCCATGATTAGGGATCCCGCATATCTGTCACAAGGATTGATCGTCAATTGGACCATACGTCACAACGACATCACTGGATTAGGTACGAACGTTTCAGTGTGTTGCTGCAGTGAGTCACTAGTGGCACCAAAGAGATTGATGACTAGTTCATTTGCATGGCGAGAGTGTATCTCGTGGTACGAGACCGAGACCTCTGCCCTAAGGACTTGATGGTAGATCTTGCGATGTTGTCGTAAAGTCTCCCCATACGGAAGCAGTATAGAATTGAAAGCCAGTCCAGCTCTGTATCGCCAGTAGATGAAGAACAAATTGAATGGAAACCGGTAATGCATACAATTCATTGATGCGACAAACGGGGCGGGTAGAGTAATTCGCAGAACGCTTTTCCAGCAACTCCTGGGCGATGGTTTCGGAGTTTATGATGATCATGTCGATCCCAAGTATGCGGGAGCGGAAGATTTTTCCTACGATCAGGCATGAAGTTAAATCCAGGAGCTTGGCAAAGAGCCTGGTCTACTAGTACCAACCATATGTCTTTCCCCACGCAGTATATGTGAGCCAAGGACGTTTAGTATCCAATTGCAGCGCATTACCCAAAAATGGTAAGGGACGAGGACCAGGTAGCAGAGGGAAAGGGTAGACACGTCTGCGAGAAGTCAGACGCAAAGTGACAAGTAGGGCAACAATGCACGATATCCCTAGAGTGAAGAGCATGGGGAGAGATTGTGGTTGGGCGCAAGGCATGCTGCAAGTTATTAGTTGGTCTTCCCCGTTCAAATTGTCCGAGCACACGGATACTATTTTCTCATGCGCGCCGCGGGCCTTTTTCGTCTAGTGGCACCCTCCCACTTCTTCCTGTCTTTTTGTTAAAAAAAAATCTTGTTTAGTGTCTGCTTGGAACTTAACTCTTCTAAGTCAGATAATGGCAGCTCGCTGCCGCTACGATATCATATTTGCAGCTTGCTTCTTCGTGTACATGTGGAACACATCATGTACCGGTCATCGGTCTGTTACTACATAATTTACGTAGCACTATATTGTTCAAGGCCTGCGATCTACACGGCCAATCGTCAAATTCGCACGTTGAATATTTGACGAAAAATAGTCCAAATGTGTACAATAAAGCCAGATCCTCGAGTTTAATCTTTTCTTTACACAAGTCTAATTGGTCGATACTTTCGAGTTTTCCCATGTGCGGACTGGCCCAGGGTCTACCCCTTTGCCATTGTGGCACGCGCTCTGGGCGCTCTCGGCATGACGCATGTGCTGAGCAATCTCTGTCCTGGCGGAGATTCGTTTTGTTTTCCTAGTGCGTGTGGGCAATTAGGAGGTCCTCGCCTCTTCTGAGTCTTCTCACTTGCCCGTCATTGCACTAGGTATGTTTTCAAGGGTATTCTCATGTTGGCCTCTTCTCACTTACCCGTCATCGCACTAGCATACTTTTTTCGTCACATTTAATAAACATCGCTTTACAAGCTCATCTATGTCGGATTATGAACAACCATCTTCTCAAACTCGATCTTCGGCCCAAAGAGAATCTGGGAATAGTCACACCACCTTTTTCAATCCCAAAGTCGTTGAACGATGTCTCAAAGTTGTCATCGATTTCAGAAGGCACAAAATCTCAAAGGCAAAGGCAGTGCTGGGCATCCAACAAATACTCGCTGAAGCCACACGAGAGGGAGACCCATCCTTTGATAGCGGATTCGCGCATTATCTTGAAGTCCTCGATACCATCAGGTCCGAAGAAGAATCGGAGAGTTTTCGAGGAAGCCCAAGACCGACACGTACGGATAGGGGTGGCGAGTCGCGAGAACCAGAAGAGGAGGTGTTTAGAAGAGCATTTAGGAGGGGAAGAGCACGTAGCAAAGAAACTGAAGTTGATGAAAGGGAATCAGAGTCTGGAGGGAGCAGTAGGATCATACGAGGAAAGCGTCAGAAACTTACCGACGATGAACTCCAATTCTGTCCATGGGTCGATCCATCGCGATTTCGCACCCTCTCTCGCTCACAGGGAATTCAGATGGCCCTGCGGTGCTACGAAGAATGGTCTGACGACCCCAAGTATTACCGGACCAAAGTTACAACAACCCCCGGATGCCCAAAACTTTCCACTTCGCAATGGACCTTGTTACTCGAGGGAAAGGCTGTTGACCTCGACAAAGTCTTCACCAGACGGTATTCCACAGCCATCGATTCAAAACAAACCCAGTCGCTTGGGAAGGGATTCGAGCTTTCGCTCTCCCAACCTACCATTAGTCACAAGGTTAAATCAGCTGGAGATTGGGGAATCGCCACTGACATATGGACTCGAGCACTCACCTTCATCATGCCATGGCGAGAAGAGGAGGTTAGAGAGTATCGAGAGTACATGTCCGATATCTTCGGGAACCACTTTTACACAGTCCATGAACGAGTCCTCGATTTCGACCGGGCCGTTCGACTCCTTGTTGAGCAACAAAAATTCCTCCGACTTGATGACTTCACCAGGTTCGATGGGCTTAAGTCCAGTCACCTTTCAGCCTTTGGAATGGTCGCAATGCAAAGCTCCCATGATTCAGGGGGAAAAACGATCAAAGATTCTGCTAGAGGAAAAAGCCAAACCAGAGGCGGAAGGGGTGAACCCTGTCATAAATGGAACCGAGGAGAGTGCGAGAAAGAGGCCAGGGAGTGTCTCTACTTCCATGTATGCGACCGAGGAAGCTGCAGGGGGAATCATAAGCGGGGAGAGTGCCCATTGGACAAAAGAGGTAAATGAAACAATTGCAAGAGGCCAGCGCTATCGACGTCACTTCGTTTGGGATAAACGAACGTCGATAATCAGTCCGACAGCCCTTTGGACCGAAACAGCAGAAGCCTTACCCAACCCTCCTGCCTCTGAATTCCTCAATGTCGAAGCCATCAATACTATTCACTCTCGTCCAGATCTTTTCCGAGTCGACACTCCCATCAAGGTCGACGTTTTCCAGTCTATGTTGGAAAAGGCGGGTCATCCTAACCCGGGCTTTTACCTTTCTGTTTGCACAGGTCTTCGCCAAGGATTCTGGCCTTGGGCTGACACTCACTATGGCGAGTATCCGACTACATGGGAGGAAGCTACTCCTGTTCCCGCAGTCTCACAAGAGCGGGAATTTCTTCATGATCAGATTGCGAAAGAAGTACGAGTGGGGCGATACTCTGAGGACTTTGGTCCAAACTTACTGCCTGGGATGTACACCATGCCCATACACGCCGTACCAAAGGAAGGAGGGAAGTATAGACTGGTAACCAACCATAGCGCTGGGTCTTTCTCTCTCAATTCTATGATTGCTAAAGCCGATATCGCCGGGGTAACCTTGGACAACGTTCAACACTTGGGGAACGCACTACGTCAATACAGGCAGCACGAAGGAGACGGCCCTATAGTCATTTGGAAGGCAGACGTTTCCGAGGCATATCGGCACATGCCTATGCATCCACTATGGCAAATTAAACAGGTCGTTTCATTTGAAGGACGTCGACACGTTGACAGGGCAAACGTTTTTGGAGGACGTGCCTCCCAACGTATATTTCACGCTTTCATGTCCCTCGTCATCTGGTTGGCTACGTTCGCCCGCTTCATTTTAGCTTATATCTATGTCGACGACTCTTTTTCATACGCCGAACAACACGATCAAGTATTCTACGTCAAGTATCAAAAGTTTTTACCTCGGAACATGGTCAAGCTTCTCCTCCTCTGGGATGAACTCGGAATTCCTCACGAGGAGCGCAAACAAGTGTTTGGATCACCTCTGCTGGTCATCGGCTTTGACGTTGACGCTCAGCTAATGCGCATCACTCTTCGTGATCAAGCGAAGAAGGAACTCATTAATGAGTTAAGAGCGTTTGCACGACATCGCCATCGACGAACCTTACGGGAGTGTGAGCATATCGCCGGATCCCTCAACTGGGCTCTCAACGTGGCTCCTATGCTACGACCTGGACTTGCGGCGCTCTATCAAAAAATGAAGGGAAAGACGCAGTCAAAAGCACTCGTGTGGCTAAATCGCCGAATTGTGCTCGAGATTCTCTGGGCGGCAGAGCATCTCGAGCGTTCAGACGGAGTATACCTCCTCAAGTCTGTTTCCTGGAACCTTCGCCAAATAGTGCACGCTCCAGACGTTCTGCGTGTCTATTGTGACGCATCAGGAGTCGGCATGGGATTCTGGTATCCCTCATTACATCTGGGTTTTCAATCTAATCTTCCAGAGCGCTTGCCGATAAAAGATATTTTCTTTTTTGAAGCATTATGTGTTGTTTCAGCAATCCACGATGCACTCTCACAACTCCCACCGGGTCATTGTTTGGCTGTCTTCACTGACAGTCTCGACACTGTTAGCATTTTCAGCTCGCTCTCAGGAGGCATGGGCTATAATCAGCTACTTATGTTCGTTGTCGACCTCATTCTCGCCACGGAGGTCGATTTCCGTGTATTTCACATTGCTGGAGACAGGAATATCGTCGCAGATCATCTATCGCGCAACAAGGCTAGGGAAGCCTTGTCTTGCGTTCCTCGCCTTCGAATTCTACCCTTTGAACCCCCTCGGAATGCGCTGGGGGAGGTCAAAAAATGATCCCATCCTTACGGCGGGCCAAGCAACCTTCTCGGGAAGCTTGGTCTTTGGAACGTCTCATACACGAGCGTTCCATCAATTTAGGGCTGTCTCTCGATCGTTCTACTAATCATACCTATTCCTCCGCCCTCAATTCCTACCTCACTTTCTGCGAGTTACATCATTTCGCAATCGAACCTACCGCCGACACTTTCTCCTACTTCGTCACCTTCATGGCAGCGCACATTAATCCTCGATCTGTCGACAATTACCTCTCCGGAATCTGTAGCCAATTGGAGGAGTTTTATCCGTCTGTGCGTGAGGTTCGCAAGTCACGCTTGGTATCAAGAACCTTACGTGGGGCGAAGCGGCGGTATGGGACACCAGTTAAGCGTAAACTACCCTTAACGCGAACTGATCTTGCTCGAGTGGTTGATAGTTACAATCACCCATCTCATGACGACAAGCTCTTCGTGTCCCTCCTACTTGATGGATTCCATGGCCTCTTACGCCTGGGAGAGCTTGTTTGGCCTGATGCTTGACATCTACAACTCCGTCATAAACTCACTTTGCGCACGTCAGTGTGCGTCACGTTGACGCATCATTCGTTTGTGCTGCAAACGCACAAAGTCGATCCTCAGTTTGAGGGTGCAACTATCGTCATTCAACGTTCACACGTTCATCCCGACCCGCACGCTCTCTTCAAGGACTACCTTGTGTCACGTGACGCAATGTTTCCTTTTCATTCCACACTTTGGCTTCGGTCCAATGGGACCGTTCCTACACGGGCGTGGTTTTTAGCTCGCCTACGAAAATTTTGCCCTCCTACAATCGCAGGTCATTCCATGCGTGCTGGAGGGGCCACTTCTCTTGCGGCAGCAGGAGTCCCCGCAATGGAAGTGCAAGCTATCGGGCGCTGGTCTTCCGACTCTTTTCGCTCATACATCCGTAAAAATCCAACCCTTTTGCACGCTCTCATATTTAATGGTCAATCCGCACATGACGGGCGTGATCCGTTCGCGCTCGTCCATTAAAAGATATGTTTTTTCTTATTTTCTCTCTTTACCTTCATCAATACTTATTGCCCTCCCTCCCTCCCTCCCAAACACACACATTACGGCTTCTTTTCACGCACAAACGCGCACGCGTTCGCGCATCCTGGAGTTGCTCTTTATATCTATCTATGGTCTCCGCTATTTGTCCTTAGCTACCTTGTCTATTCATCGGATTTTCCCGGGCTCGCGTCCGGGAAAATCCTTATGCTGGCTAATCCTCGCAGCCTGCGCTTCCGCGAGGCTAAGTGAGACCAATTAGTGATGTATAAGTGGTACATCTGTGATAAATAATAAATTTATTTGACAATTATCCCAAATCAAGTGAACATAAAATATCTAGTTCAGGACATTCATCTGACCTCGGAAATACACTGAATCAGCATATGAGATTAGCATGTTCCCGGGTTGGGAGTAAAGTATCGGCAAGGCAACGACACCAATAAACGCACAGCGAATGAAACAAGATATAGGATTAATATACGAAAGGTGTACGATATGTACAATGCAAGTATAGAAACCATAACAGCAGCCTTACTTGTATAGCATAGGATGCAAGATACATAATTTTCACATGACAAGTATAGGGCGTTATAGACGTGTTCTACCACAGTTATTATGCTTCGCATTGCAAATCACGAGGGAACACGATCATGAAGTCCAGCTTGTCTTTGAATATACATATTTATTTAAACACAACATATAGCCATAATACAATATATGGTATCCTATATATCACGCCGAGTGTTCCGAAATGTTGAATGGGAGAAAATCACGAAGTAGCAACTAAAGGATAGGGATAGAAAAGTGCGATGTGTCTCGAAAATTTGGACCAAATGTAGTCCAGAGTATCACTGTGTGTGGAAACAATGGCGAGCTCTTCTTCAGTATCTCTGATGGTCATACTGATATCACCACCGCCCCCCACCCACTCCTCAATAAATTGGCCCTCGAGGGGAATGCTGGGATCCCAGAAAGACCACTTCCCGCTTGGGAAGTCAGGATGGGTAGCGATGAATGCATACCAGAATGCTTCCCGACCCCAAGTCCATTCAGGCATTGTCGGATCCGCAGATTTCACGAGCCATGTTTGAATGTTGCCCAAGAGTTCTGCCCAGTGGTCCGAATCGGCATGATCGAATGTCGGTGGCAGTGGGAGGAAGGAAAACGACATGTCATCATCAGGCACAGAGGGAGATTGACGGAAGTTTATGAACTTCGAATGCATTAAGGTCAGTTGCATTGCCAAAGTCTGTGCAGATACATACATTATTCAAGAGATGAGGCTTTTGAGACGCTATCTCGATTACCGGTACCGTGAATGATTTAAATTCGTCCTTCAGAGCCACGGTGATTTCAATGGGCTAAATTTTCATCAGTATAAATAGCCATTATCCAAGAAAGATCACATACAATATTCGAACGAGCGATGTGACGAGGTACTGCACCTGAAAACCATATTGAGACTGACAAAGGCTGTAGAATCACATCTTCTGATTCAGCGACTCGCATATCTGGATAGAATGTCGAGCTTGAAAATTGGTGAGCTTTGAGAGCTGTTGTGTTTGACATGGTCGTGTTTCCAGTCTTCAACACTTCACTGTTGTTGGGGTTGAACGTTGTTGAACAAATTCGGAACAGATGTGAGTCACGTGCTAACATGTCAAGCTTTTAAATCTCAGTCTTCGATCACACTCAACAATCAGCATCATGTCATCCATGCTGCAGGCTATTGACGGTATAAGTAAGTGTTTAACTCAACGTGAATAGCATGTACTGATGCTTTAATGCAGTCTTGCAGTTTCGTGGAGCATCTCAGGTTGTGTGCAACGTGTGCCCGAAGCGTGATAATGCTTTGCGCACAATGCATCCTAAGCATGTGTGGAAGCACATTGACACTGGTATTCATCAGCGTCATGCCAGGATCTGGGCTTCCACATGCTCGAAGACTCCCTCCAAACGGCAACACCATCATCATGAAGCAGAACCTCCACCTTCACCTGTCGACGACGGAGACAACATGTTCGCCTCGAGTGCCATGGACATCGACAATACTGTCTATACTCAGGAGCCACATCCAATACGATCAGACCATGAAATAGTACCAGTCGCTGATCTCTGGAACACCATCTCAAGCAGCCCTTTCTATCAAGCCAACGAAACATACGATTTGTATGAGGAGCTGCAGTCTGCCCTGGCTTCGGGGGAACAATTATTTTCTATGCCACTTGCCCCAGTGAGCGAAGAAATTGGCTTCGATGACGAGACAGAATCAAACTTTGGAATTGAACTTCCAGGTGAGACGTTGTTTGATTCCTTGGCAGAGACTTATTCACATTGTTAGACGACTGTCCATTGACCACTTCATGTCATGTAAATCTAAACAGTCCAGTTGCACCTGATAATCCGACATATCCATGGCCATCAAAGGCTGTACATTTCAATATCTTCGTGCATTTTCACTGCTAACTGATCATTCAAGCACTATATTACTGCCTTATTATTCAGTTCTCCGAGGCACAGAAAAAGGCAGTTCTATCTTGGGCAAAGGAGCTTGGCGCTCGTGATGTCCCATCGCTATATGCATTGAACCAATGTCAGGAATCGGTTCGAACACTTGTCGGCAATCCAACGGAAAAGATCACTGCACGTTCGGGAAATATATTTTATCTTAACAATGTTGGAAAAGCAATTGCCAAGGTACGCAGAATCTCACGTGAACTCATCTCTCAATACTAACTTTGAATGTTCTCATTTAGGACTATGCGAACCCTCTCACACGTCTTGCAATGCAGGATTACCCTGAAGATGGAGGCAAGGGAATGTCTCAGGTGTTCAACGGAGAGAAAATGTTGTTCGAACGCCCTTCGCCTCCTGCAGCTAAAGTCAACGGGAGATCTACTTTGTGAATGAGCTCTTGCAGGATGCGTCAGGGGACTACTTTATACCTGAGCGCTTCTTTCTTGCGTCGTACACATCGACGGGTGATAATTCGGATAAGCAGCTATATGCGCTTGGCCGTACTGTACAACGAACAGAGGTGAACCTATTCTTTAAATACATTCAACTTTGCTGATAGACCTAGGATGGCTTTATTGTCAGTGATGAGCAAGAAATAATTCCAACGTGTAACTTTCGAAGGTCGTTTCGAGAAATATCTGCCAATGACGACGAACTTGCTTGCGGGCTAATGGAGTCGTCAAGGAAATACACAAAGCTAGTGCCAAATCAATTGCGCACAAAATCTCAAGGACGTATGGTGTACTCGGTCCCTCTTATCGTCTTCATGGATGATGTATCCGGAAATATATCCAAGCAATGGAATAAGCACCACGCAATATACATGTCTAACGCGAATCTACCTCGTAAAATGCTTGAGAAAGAGTTTTGTATTTGATTTGTCACATCTTCTCCTCACGCAGCCCCAATGGAAATGATGAGCGCCATGCAAGAATCAATTAGGTATGTGATACATTATAATTCATTATAGTGAAACATGATACTAGTGATCGTAGCAAGGCTACAGAATCTGGGGTCTTTACTTGGGACTGCAAGTATGAAGAAGAAGTTATGCTGGAGTTATATGGTCTGTTTCTCGGTGGCGACAACCCTATGCAAGCCGAGGAATGCAGCCATGCAGGGTTGCATTGCAACTACTTCTGCAGGACATGCGAAGTCGGTGGAACAAAGGAGTACAAGGCGTCAGATGAGGGCTACAAGAGCATCTTTGCAGTATGTATCATATTTTTGCACTCTCTGTCGTCATATTCACTGACTGTCTGAGTAGCCAGGAAAGCTTCACACTCCTGCAGGAACGGCAGAAGAGATTCATGCACAATTCGCTTCTGCACTCTGTTCAGGCGCTTCGGAGAAGATTAAGAAATCTGTTGCTTCATCGGGTGTGAAGGACACGACAACTGGCTACATTCTTGAAACGGTTGTTGAACTGGGGAAGAAACTGCGCAAACGGAGTGCTGGCATTCAAGCAAAACCAGAGAGCAAAATCAAGGCTATTCTAGAGAAGCAGCTTGAAGACCTCCTGCAAGGGAGCAAACTCGAGGATGCAATCAATCCATTACTAGGCATTGAAGGTAAGACTCGGGTTTGCATTTTCAGCTGTACATTGACCTTTTGTCAGGTTTTAACGTTCATTAGGACATGCTGACAGAAATTCTCCATATAGTGTTATTGGGGGTTGTAAAATACTTTTGGGGTCAATCAGTATATCTTCTCGAGAAGGCAAAGGTTCTGGATGTTTTTCAAATGCGTCTCGACTCTATTGAGAAAGATGGGCTCAATGCTCCGTGTCTCAATGCTGATTATATTTGCCACTATAAGGGCGGACTTATAGGGAAACACTTCAAAAGTTTGGCGCAGGTCATGCCATATCTTATTCAAGACTTACTGCCGAGAACAGTACTTGATGGGTGGATGAGTATCGGTGAGCTCATTGTGTATGTTTGGCACACAAATATAGATGATATGGAGGTGTATTTGGTATGATGACACACTGACTCTGCTGTGCCAATGTTGATTGTATCACAGGCAAAGCTTTCCCGGACAATTGACGATTTTCTGAATGTTACGGCAAAATGCGCACCAAGCATTCTCATCTCAAAGCCGAAGTTTCACTTTTTGGTCCATCTTCCTGCATATATCCGACGCTTTGGACCAGCCATTCTCTTTTCCACCGAACGATACAAGTCATTCAACCACGTGTTCCGGCTGGCATGTATACATAGCAATCGACAGGGACCAAGCCAGGATACATGCAAGGTATTCGCGAGACAAGATATCATCAAGCATATGGTGACTGGGGGCTACTGGTTTGATAATGCTAGCAAAAAGTGGGTTCAGGCAGGTGATGCAGTTTTGAGCTATCTCGATGAGCATCCAGAGCAAGCACAGCTTTTGGGGATTTGCACACGAGAACCCCCTGCGACAGGTAATGTATTTAAATACCTGCCTGGCATTGTCGATTGTAATGTCTGTTACTGAAAGGAACCGGCCAACTCAAGAAGGTCGCCATCAAAAATGGACGACCCATTCCAGCAAAGCCTGTGCTGTGGACAGCAACACACTGCGCAAAGGCCCTCGAGCTCCCGCAACCTGCTCATCATACTCAATACCACCATGGCATCTCGTTAATTCTCGGCAATGGTGAGAAAGTGTCCTTAGAAGGACATGTCATTTTTCACAACTCTGCGACATCTTGCTCAGATATTGGGCGCATTCGGGAGATCTTGATCTCAAACTCTCGCAAAGTTGTGCAGCATGTCACCATTCAAAAACTTGCTTTCGGACCTGCTTTACATCCCTTGCTTCACATCCCCACTCTTGAGCTCACGGAACATGAAGTCGTTATTAGCCCACAAGTAAGTTTAGACACAATCCTTCAACCAGACTTATTGATGTGCTTACATGGTGAATTTAGGACATTGTTTGTATCGTAAATGTCCAGCACGACTGTGTTAAATCACAGTGCTCAGACGTTAGCCAATGTCACATTCGCCAAGAGCGAACCGAGACTGCACGTACGAAGTCCATTTTTCAGCACAAATCCTCACCATTTTACTTGCTCAATGCTTATTCGATTCACAATTATGCTCAGATTCAATTGGTCATTCCTCAGTTGCTCCGTGAGACACCATTGAGGGTCAGTGATGCAGCAGATGTTTGTTTGGCAGCAGCTCGTCAAATCCAGGAGAAGAAAGTAGCTAAGAACTCAGGCGAAACATCAGGTACTGAACCTGCAAGTGCACCACCTGCAGCGTTCGACTGCCCGGCAACAAAGGCAGCAAGCAAGTCGAAGAAAACGCAGAAAGCAAAAGAGAAGGCACCTCAGCCGCAAGCAAATCCACAACAATGTACAATCATACAGGCAGCCGCATCTTCAAGTTACCATATCCCAACACCCCACACAGCGCCAGCCACCAGCCACTCTTCACATATCCCATCACTGTCGCCAGCGCCAGCACTCGTGCCTTCTCATCTTCGATCGCTGCATCCTCCCACAACTGTACCTTTGCAGTGGCAGCAATCTCCTGTGTATTCATATAGAGCTCCCCCTTCGCATCACCCGCTGCAACCACCCCCAACAGTATTGACGTGGCAAACATCTCCTGCACCTGGTCCATCCAGACCTCTTTCTTCTCATCCCTGGCCATTGAACTCACCTTCCATTGTGCCGCCGATGTATGCTGGGCAATACGTTGTCCCACCATATCAACACTCTTTAGGGTTTCCCTTGCAACCGTCTGTGCCAGTGATGACTCCGCACATCTGGCACCCTCAAGCTCCACATCACGACCAGTCTGGCAGATGGTACTAGACTCTCCTTCGACAAGTTTGTCCTCAAAATTCTTCCTTCAGTGTTCGAGGTTCGCCAGGTTCGTCCTTCATTGTCTTTAAAATTTTTCCTCCAGCGCTCAAGTTCTTCCTTCCTTGTCTTTGAAATTTTTCCTCCAGTGTTCGAGGTTTCCCAGGTTTGTCTCTTTGTTTTTCCTCCAGCATTTGAGGCTCACCAAATTAGCGTGTTTGTCTTTGAGATTTTTCCTCCAGCATTCAAGGTTTCCCAGGTTCGTCTCTTTGTTTTTCCTCCAGTGTTCGAGGCTCACCAAATTAGTGTGTTTGTCTTTGAAGTTTTTCCTCCAGCATTTGAGGTTTCCCAGGTTCGTCTCTTTGTTTTTCCTCCAGCGTTCGAGGCTCACCAAATTAGCGTGTTTGTCTTTGAAGTTTTTCCTCCAGCATTCAAGGTTTCCCAGGTTCGTCTCTTTGTCTTTAAAATTCTTCCTCCAGCGTTCGAGGCTCACCAAATTAGCGTGTTTGTCTTTGAAATTTTTCCTCCAGCACTCAAGTTCGTCCTTTCTTGTCTTTGAAATTTTCCTCCAGCGTTCAAGTTCGGCCTTCCTTGTCTTTGAGGTTCTTCCTCCAGCGTTCGAGGCTCGCCAGGTTCGTCTGTTTGTCTTTGAAATTTTTCCTCCAGCACTCAAGTTCGTCCTGTCTTGTCTTTGAAATTTTTTCTCCAGCGTTCAAGTTCGGCCTTCCTTGTCTTTGAAGTTCTTCCTCCAGTGTTCGAGGCTCGCCAGGTTCGTCTGTTTGTCTTTGAAATTTTTCCTCCAGCGCTTAAGTTCGTCCTTCCTTCACTTTAAAATTCTTCCTCCAGCGTTCAAGGTCGAAAGTGTCCTCATTGCTGGAAGCTGCACCAGGTGGTGTCATTAGATGGCACAATTTATATGTACTTTATCTCGTAGACACCTTACATACCAACACCCTAATACCATGATATTTTGCTTCTGCTCAGAGGATATTCATGAGGCCTGATTTTTATTTACCGATAACTCGAAGACAAATAAACTCAAATGCTTATTTCCGACAACGTGTTCGGTTCAGTCAACTCCGGAGTGTCACGGAAATTACCAACCTCAGGCAAGAGCAGCCACCACGTCCTTTGCTTGTGACAATGTTTCAACGTGGTTATCATCTGCGCCTGTCCACTGGTTCAGGACAAGCAGACCAGTTGCCGAGGTCACAGTCAAACACAGGAGCTTCGCAAGCAGGATCCGCCAGGAATTGGAACATAAGTACTACACCTGACCCAAGCAGCGGCAGATCATCTAACCAACTGTCTATTGGAGGACATGGAAGTAGGTCCTCGGATGCAAGCTCTAGTTTGACTTAACGATATACTTCACAGATACTATGTCCCATCCCCAAAGTTCTCGCTCTACAAGTGGCGAAGTCCCAGTGATACCCGAACTCGAAATACAGCCTCCCTCCAGCCCGACATCATCGTTGAATGAGCCGATTAGTGCAGGAGTTCGTCGACGCAGGGACAGCAGAACTTCGGATCCCATCAAGCTCACACCCCAATGCACGAAACACTTGAAAATGTATGCCAAGAAGCTGTGTGAAGACAATGATGTTCCAACTGGAGAAGTCATGTGTTTCATTGATGTAGGTTCTCATCGAAGTATTGAGGTTACTGTCGGCTGACCTGATGCAGTCTGGCGACATTTTCTATATGCTCATAGACCTGAAGGTTACCCTCATCAAACTTTGCGAAGGAAACAAGGCCAGCAAAATGCAAGAGTTGAAGGATGCCTTGGAATCGAAGGACTTTGAGGTAATGACAAGGTACTTTGCGTTCCGTATCATTCCATACTAATTTGGACCGGAAGAATGGACTATTCAACCGATTGTTTGCATGCATGCTGTCGCCGAATATCATGGCATACGTCACTGATACTCAGTCTCATATAATGGTGCAGTTTTAATGCTTGCTATTCTGAGTGACACCACTAAATTATTTCAGGACTTCATTACCAGTCATTGTGATGTCTTCAAAATCCCCCTTGGAATACTCGAGGACGTCGAACTCAGAGCTCAGCTGGGCAAGTCGGTCACAAAGCTACTTACAAGTATTCGTAGCGCCATCAAGACTGCTGCAAGTTTCTACTTTTTTGCTGCGACCTTGATTATAATAATTGCTGTGTAGCTCACCACATCGATCATCAAGCACACAAGCATCGCTGATGTGACTAGGGCACTCGCACGCAGCGGATCTGGCATGGAAGTTGATTCTACGCATTGGAACAGGGTCGCTCTACTGGTAAGTGATACTACGTCTATTCATTATTAAAATTAACACTAGTTGGTACGGGGACAGCGACATCTTCTCCGGATTTTTCTCATTGGCATCAGCGATTACAAAAGTGCCTCCCTCGAAGAATTATTCTCTGCTTACCTTCTTCCGTCACTCAAGCAGGACATGCGGGCCAAAATCGGATGTGAACTTGATGTCAACATCGAACAGCTTGAGAGAGATTTGTTCAACGATAATCGCGCGCCTGGGTTCAATGATCAAGCCCTCCCAGAAACTCGAGCCAATGTCAATTGTGCACCCGGTGTTAGGAATACGAATGGTACTAACCTGGATGGCGAAGAGCTTGGGGACCAAACTCGAGCACAGCTGGATGGTGGGGATGCTGACGGAGAGGACGAGGAGTTGAATGGGCCTGGGAACAACATTGAGAGTACCACAGTCTTACAGGACGACCCACTCGATTCTGGATTCGGACTGGTTGAAGGTATTCCGGCACAATACAACAATACCATCAGATTCTGGAACTTTGTCGACCACTCACTCTTAACCATGCGCCAAACAGTTAAGGAGTCCTTCCCGATCCCTGCCGAGCAAGAGAAGGAGTTGCAGAAGTATGTATTCATTGGCTTGTGCAGTTATAGAAACTGATTTTTGATTAGGTTGTTTATCGAAATATTTCAAGCTGATCTCGCTGAGTTTCCTGGTGGCAAGAAGGTCTCGAAACTAATTTCAAAGACGAATCCTCGTTGGCAGACTGCTATTCAAAACGGACTCATTTGGGCCACATAAGATTTTATACATTTCCATTCGTTTTCACCGCCCCTACACTGCATCCCTCATTTTAATCATAACTGTCATTATTTGATACAAGAATAATACATTTGCATGCTTTCTATGACCCTGTGTATTGTGCTCTGTGTGATCTCTCGATGGCGCAAAATATATTCAGATGACGGTCCCCATACAGCATGTCAATAAGTATATACTCTAGTACATATGCTCAAGTGTCGTACATATGCCAGAAATATATAGCATGTACACCAGCCAACCAGTACATTACCGATACCTAGGTCTCAGTATACGAGCTATGTTGACAAGCCAGCATAATTCCAGTGCTAGGTCTCAGTACATAATATGCACCCGAAAACAGCCGGTGGGTTTATACCCCACCAGCCTCGCAATCACACTTTTGGCATCACTGATATTATGTCAGCCTATGAATCCAGCAAAATTGTATTATATAATTATATACAATACATGCGACAAAAGTTGATGTGTGGAGATCGGACCGACGTAAAATCTATAACCCTATTTTTAGGCATAGATTCTATGATTTTTTCGATTGGCCGTGTAGTACCAGGACCTAGAATAGGTACTGGTTTAACAAATTTAATTGTCTGTCCGCACGATCATCCCGGGCCTTCAGGGCCCGGCCTTAGTCATCATTCGATCATCTTCTTTCTCTCATTCGTTTTGACCATCAGCTTCTGCTGTCTGTGATATATTTTCAACATACAATACTTGCATCCTCTATGGCATCTAGTTCATCGATTGCAGAGCCCTCTCTCTTGGTTCCTCCTGCTTTGCTTGTGGTTTCTGATCAAGAGTTTCCTGACGACGGGAATTCTATTGTGACATCATGCGTTTTACGCAAGTACTTTGGGTTTTCTGAGATTTCTCGAGAGCGTCTATTGGCGTCGAGACAGTATCCTGCGGGTGTTTTTTTTTTTTTTTGTTCCAATTATTGTCCATTGGGGTAAAGTACCCTATGTCGGACAGTGCTAATCTAGTCTAAAGGGGCCCCTGCCCCTACTACATCTCTGGAATCACGAATGCCCCAGCGTGGGGTTGACCCCGCTGGTCCGCCGTTCCCGCCGGCCGTTTTAGACGTGCATTCCTGCGAAGATGAGAGACTTGTCTCTCTGAATCGGCTTTGGTTTGGGTGTCTCTATCGTTTGGTTTCGTGTCTGAAGCGCGTACACGACCGCCTGGGCGGTCAGTACATGAAGCTATGAAAAGAGGGTTGTTTAGTGTCACGGAGTGGGGGTTCGTGTAGGGTGCAGGTGTTTTGAAGATGGTCGTTGGGTGGTGGTCTGTTGGGAGGGTTTCGTCGTCAACGATTCTTCCTTCTCTCTTGTCTTCTTTCGACCGCTGCCTTCGTCTATCTGTTTAGCCTCCACCTGTTGCCCTGGTCCCTCTCTATGTCGTTCTAGTGTTCCTCTAATGGCTTGCTAAGGCCGATGTCTTCATGAAGGGAGTGTTTGAATAGATAATTAAGTTGAAAGCATTGAATAAGTTATTTTGTCGTTTGTGATTGTCATGATTGTCGTGATTGTCGTGGTTGGGAATAGCGTGGTCTCGGCGGTCTGTTTCTAGGGTGAACTGTGCAAATGGCAAGATTACTGTCTATCAGGTGATCCTGCGGGTGTTTTGTTGCCTGTTGCTGTTGCGAGTCTCCGACAACTCATGGAGAATTTCCCAATGTTTACTAGGGAGCAATATACTTCGATTGCCTCTGCACATGCGGTTCGCGTCATGTCCATATATCGTAAGGATCATATTCGTGATCTGTTGCGTGTGCATGCATGTAACGCGGATTGTATATCTAATCTACTTGTTTTCAAGCTCTTGAAAGTTCCGCGGAGAGATTTCTCGAATCAGATTCTCCCTGAGCCTTTCTGCAGCAGTTCTCGCCAGGCAAATACAGTCGCGCATCGTGAGGCTCGTGCAGGGCTCAGTGAAACACAACGTCTAGAGATTTTGGCTCGAGATGCGGAATCCCATTACGAAAGTTGTCAAGTGCATGCTCATTCAGTTTCGGATAGTATTGACTTTCCCTCCATTCGCACCTTTGAAGAAAAGCGGGATATTATCTCGGAGTTTCAAGACAAAATGTCTCCTCAAGTGCTGAAACGAGGAGCGTGTGCTGTTTGTGCGCACAATGTCCTCGTCAGTGATCTTTATTGTGTCGATATTCATAAAGTGCCTCTCCATCTGCTGCGTAACGATTGTTTACCAGAACACATGCTGCCACGCAGTTATGATTTGGAGATGTACAGTCGCGCAATATTGTATCCCAAAGGCATGAGATCTTGTTGGGCACTCTCTGACTTATTCATGTGCCATGCGTGTCGCGCCGTGCTGATGAATAAGCGACCAAGGCAACCTGTCAACTCATTGGCCAATTTTCAGTACTACGCTCATGATAGATTGCCGGACGACATTCGACACGCATTTGCACATGCCTCCGTGTATGATTTGATGCTCATTGCTCGCGCCCGTGCATCACAGATCACCCATTTTTACAGTTACAAGCCGTCGATGGCACAGTATCATCCAGTCGAAGAGATCTCCCAACGGTATAATAAAGGAAATGTGGCTGTCAGACCCCAAGATTTTGTCGAGCTTTATTCTATGTTGCCTCTGAGTTACAACGAGCTTCAAGATGCGATGTGCGTCGTGTTTAGTGGTCAGAGAGACCGGCCTTCATGTGACACGGTGAAGCGATTGCGCCCTATATTAGTCACCAAGAGTTGGGTGTGCTTGCTTATTGAATTTTTGATAACTAACAATCCATGGTATCAGAAAAGTGGTGTGGCTTACAGTTCACGAAATATGGACTCACTATTCGACGATGACGACGCAAACATTGACTGCAGTGTTCCTGCAACATTGGAAGTGTGTCATTTGCCGCGTGAGCGTGACACGTACGACGAGACATGTTTTGAAGGCCTTGAATCATGAGATGTTGATCTACTGGAAGATAGTGCATCAGAGGATATTATTATGGAAGCAGTAGGCTTCACTCAAGGGGATCATTCATTGCAGAGCAGAGAAAAGATGAAACTTCATGTGTTGGCTTATGTATTAGACCATAAGCGCTTTCTTCTTTCTCGGAGTGGTGCTAGTTTTGTTGCGGATAACGATCCTGGGTTAATGTCTTACCTATTTCCGCATCTCGATCCTTGGGACATTGGCGGATTTTTTCATTGTGGACGTACATCGAAGCAACACCTTTCGATGGAAGCTCAGGTGCGCAATCTACTGCTTCAAGATGATTCTCTGTTTCGAAAAGATGCCAATTTTGCGTTCGTATGTTGGAATATGATTCAAAAGAGAGAAGTCAGTATGAATACGACTTTCGAGTCAGTGCATCTCAGCAACAGAGTTTGGTAAAAGAATTGAAAGACGTTGGTCCATCTCTAACAGCTTTGGCTGAGAAATGGACGCATTCAGTCAATGAGAAACCATCTACCACTCAAGAAAAAAAAGCTGCGCGTATTTTGCATCGTCTCCAATCGTCGACAAAGAATCTAAGAGGAAGTATTGGATATAAGTTATGCCACCGCAACGAGATTCGTGCTCTTATGAAAAAATACTGCACACCAGCATTATTTGTGACACTCAATCCACATGATTTAACCAGTCATGTGCTTTCTTCAATCGTTGATATAGAATTAGATGAATGGATCACTATGTCATCGTTTGAGCGCACCAAGATGGTCACTGTTCGACCAGATGCTGCAGCACTCGCATTCGACTTACAAATTCAGGCATTCTTAGATATCATTTTGAGGTATAAGCATGGACCAGGCATTTTTGGCCATTGTCAAGCGTATTACGGTATGGTTGAAGCGCAAGGAAGAGGGACATTGCATTGCCATATGTTGATATGGATTGCAGGGAATCCGAGTCCACAGGTATTGCATGAGTTTCTGATGCAAGCTTCAAAACTAATATGTTTCAATGGCTGGAGAACATCATTAGCTGTGAACTTCCATATGACAAGGGCCCCATACCTGAAAGATCACCTAACGATGCGCGAAAACCTATACGCACAGACGAACTCGACCCCAGGTTAGAACGACCGCCACAAGTGGCGGAAATGGATGCAGAGTCCTTTGAACACGAGTATACAAAGTTCTTAAGTCGTCTTGCCATAGAATGTAACTGGCATGTTCATAACGATGCATGCTATAAGCATCTCAAAGATGGACAGAAAAGAGGAGACTCGACTTGTTGAATGCGTGTTGATGGCTCTGTGCAGGAGGTTACAACTGCTGATGTTAAAACTGGTTCTATTGAGTTGAGACGATGGAGAAGTTGAGTGAATAACTTTACGGACATCATATTATTTCTCCTGCAGTGCAACACAGATACTCAGATTATTGGGTCGGGGGAAGCTGCGAAGGCAGCAGTGTTTTACATCACCGAATACATCACTAAAGGAGATTTGCCAATGCATGTCGCTTTGCAAGCGTTGGAGTACGCAACTAAGATGCATGATGCCAAATATATCACAAGTTCAGAAGTCGATCCGAAGAAAAAAGATTGTAATTTACTCACTAAGTCTGTGAATGCGATGATGGGTCGACAAGAGATGTCTCATCAGCAGGTAATGAGTTACTTAATAGGCGGAGGTGATTATTATACCAGTCATACTTTTGAGACTGTTAAATGGTATGAGTTTATACACGCAGCGGATAGATTTGATCTTGAAGGTACTGACTCTGACGATGGTGACCAAACATCTGATCAAGAAGTAGATACATCATTGATGGATGGGCAGGTGATTATGAGTGTCTCATCCGATAAAGTTGAGTTTTCTAGTGATATGGCAGATTATATATTGCATCCTACGACCCAGGAGTTCACAGACCTTTGTCTTTGGCAATTCGTTGAAAATACTATCAAAATCAAAGGAAATATATCAGTGGACAAAGAGAGTGATGAGGAGTATGATGAGGATATTGTAGACGGTGCTAAACCGGCAAGAAGACGAGGTCGTAAGGCTTTGCCACGTGCTAAATTCCTTGCCCAACATAGTCAGTTCGACACACATATATTGCGTTTACGAAAGAAAAAAGTCATACCTGTATTATTAGGCAATGCATTGCCTCATCCAGATCGCTCAGAGGAAGAATACGAGAAATACTGTCGTGCTATGATGTTGTTGTTCAAGCCATGGAGGGATTTAGGCATGCTGAAGGATAAGCATATGTCTTGGAGAGGAGCATTTGATAATATGACATTTGACCCTGCTATATCGTCTATTATTCGAAATATGAACATCGAGAATGAGTGTAAGGAAGCACGAGATACACATGCTGCTGCTGTCAAAGAAAATCGTCGTAAACCGCATATGTTTGGCAACAATGTGACTGAAGATATAGAGACTCAACTAGATATTGACACATTTGATGATGCTTTATTGTCGAATACAGCTCTTGATGAAGATGAATTCGATGACATCGACAAAGGCATGCTTTTCGAAGGTGAGATAGGCGATAAAAACTCGGGAGACTGTTAAGAACGTGCTCAAGGGTCGGATCCGAAGGGCTTGGCTTCAGCTCGTGTGCTGCGCCCCTTACCCGAGTACGTGCCCCTAACTTCCGAAGGCTGTCGAACGATGTCCGAAGGTTACCGGATGATGTCCAGAGGGTGTTGGGCGATGTCCGGAGTCCGATGTCCGATGCGCGGGAATTCTGGCGGACGTTTGGGAACAAGAGATAAGACTAATCCGGACGAAGTCCGAACTAGAAAGGAAACAGTGGAGGACTACCAAAGGTAGAGGCGGAGGTGATAAGTCTATAGGAGTCAATCCTAAGACGAGCGGAGGTCGACGAGAGAGAAACTCAAGTCGGACGGAGGAGGTAATGAGCAGAGTCTAAGATGATATTTGAACTAAGGATGTACATAGATTCTACAGGGTTTATATACTACTGAGGACTTATCGGAGAACAGAGATGCGCAGTCTGAAGCTATACAAAGCTGTGGACAGAGCGTATAGAAAAGTCAAACACTAGTCTATCGGAAAATAGTAAATGAACCCGGAGATTAGAACAGATGAAAATAAAGGCGGAAATGAAATGAGGTACGGAAAATGATATAGTCTAACTGGAGTAGGAACGTACAAAGGGATAAGGCACGGAAGTTAGATGCGGGTCGGATCCGGACATAGATAGACGTCGGCCGGATCCGGACTTCCGGAAATGATGTGTGTGATAGGTCCGGGTCCGGAACACGGGATATGACAGAGACATAAGCCATTGTCTACGAGCGGCCAAAGACGGCGGATTGTTTGATGTGTCGCTCAATGATGAGGTAAACGATATAGCACATCCAGCTTGTGGTGCAGAAATTGCAGACAAGACCAGTGAGGGACGTTTGCATGAGTACGAATCAATCATGAAAGCTGCGAGAAAGCGTAAAAGACCAATCGATGTTGGGTCCAATGACACAGAATCTAAGCGGGCACATTTAAATCCAGAAACAGGTAAACCTCACATTACGCTAGAACAGTTAGAAGAAAACGTGGATATCACTTCAGTATATTACAAACCCGAACTCACACAGAACAAACGAGAGGAAATCTTGTCAGAGGTTATCACAGAATTCAGACTATCGGAAAATCCTGAGCAAGAGATGAATCTAAGGATCATTAGCGAACATTTTATTCGTGGAGAGGTCAAACAACTACTAATGTTTATAACTGGGATTGGGGGCTCAGGAAAAGCCATGTCATTCGGGCTACTGTTGAAATGTTTCGGAGGTGCAGGGCACCTGAAAAATTGACACTAAGCGCACCTACAGGCAGTGCAGCGGTCTTGATAGACGGATATACTATTCATGCACTGATGTTCTTGCCAAAAAGAGAAGCTCCTATCAAACAACAGGATTTAGAGTATATATGGAAGACAGTTGAGTACTTAATCTTAGATGAAGCTTCGTTGATGTCTGCAGAACTATTGAGTCAGGTCTCGCATTGAATATGTCAGGCAAAGTCGTGGGATGAGTCTGTGAGAAATAAACCTTTTGGCGGTGTCAATCTTATTTTCGCCGGTGATTTAGGTCAGTTGCGTCCTCCGAAATCGAATGCACTATATAGTTATAAATTAGTCAAGCAATTATCTCCTGCCACGATCGGCACCTTGAAAGGCCAGACAGCGTTACATGGTGCTTTTCTGTGGCAACAAGTGGATACCGTTGTCGAGCTAAATGTTAAGAACATGCTCAAGGGTCAGATCCGAAGGGCTTGGCTTCAGCTCGTGCGCTGCGCCCCTTACCCGAGTACGTGCCCCTAACTTCCGAAGGCTGTTGAACGATGTCCGAAGGTTACCGGACGATGTCCGGAGGGCGTCGGGCGATGTCCGGAGTCCGATGTCCGATGCGCGGGAATTCCGGCGGACGTTTGGGAACAAGAGATAAGACTAATCCGGACGAAGTCCGAACTAGAAAGGAAACAGCGGAGGACTACCAAAGGTAGAGGCGGAGGTGATAAGTCTATAGGAGTCAATCCTAAGACGAGCGGAGGTCGACGAGAGAGAAACTCAAGTCGGACGGAGGAGAGAATGAGCAGAGTCTAAGATGATATTCGAACTGAGGAAACTACAGAGATTGTACAGGGGTTTATATACTACTGAGGACATAACGGAGAACAGTAAGTGCAGTGCGAAGCTATGTAAAGCTATGAAGAAAACATATGGGACGACTATCACTAGTCTATCGGAACTTAGTAAAATGAAGACGGAAATGAATAAGGAACGGAAAATAAAGCGTACTAACTGATAAGGGAAATACCAAAGGGATAAGGCATGGAAGTTAGACGCGGGTCGGATCCGGACAACACATAGAAGTCGGCCGGATCCGGAAATCCGGAAATGATGAGTGTGATAGGTCCGGGTCCGGAACGCAGGATATGACACTAAAGCAAAATTGGCAAGCTAAAGACGATGCAGAATTCGTCAGTCTGTTAAATCGAATTCGATTGGGAAAAGCATGCAGAAATGGCCTACCAGATAATCATCTTAGTGATTATGAATTACTGAAGACAAGGATTCTTAGCACAATCAAAGTGCGCGCGCCTGATGAATTCAACAGTTTTAAGGACGCACCAATCGTTGTCACTCGGAAGTATTTAAGAGACGCTATCAACACATCCAAAGGTCGCACATTTGCTGCAGAAAATGGCCAGGATTTTCACGTATATTGTGCACGAGACAAAATTGGTGGAAAAGCCATGACAGTGGATCAACAATGAAGACTATGGAGAATGCAAGCAAGTCATACCAATGACGCCATTGGTAGATTGCCACTAATTCCTCAAATGCCAGTGATGATTACTGAGAATGCAGCGACAAGCTGTAAAATTGTCAATGGCAGCAGAGGCGTTTTAGTATCGATCACTTATGAAGTTGATGCTGAGCAAAATAGATATCCAGCATGTGCTTTAGTAAATATTCCGGAAAGTACTTTGCACATTCCAGGATTGGATAGCGGCATAATCCCGATATTTCCAGTGACAAGCAATTTCTCTGTGCCTACAAATCATAAGAAAATTAATGTTCGAAGAACGCAATTACCCATACTTCCCGGTTGGGCGTTCATGGATTTCAAGGTACAAGGAAGTTACTTACCGAAAGTCGTAGTTGATTTGGCTGGTGCAAAATCGTTGCAGAGCATTTATGTCATGTTGTCATGTGCCTCACAACTTCGAAATATAGCAATATTGCGATGGTTTTCATTGAAAACATTGCATGCTGAGCTACAAGGTGATGCACATGTTGAACTAAGACGTTTACACGATATTGAAATGAGCACACGAGATGAATATTGGAGAAATCATACGGGAAGTGAACAAGTCTAAACACGGGAACGGATGACAAATAATGTGTTCGTCTATATCACGTGATGGACAACAAAAATCCATGGACAAAGTCCATGAATATACTGAACACAATTGATTGACGGCTGCTGTCATACCAAGTGGTCGAAATAAATCAGGTTTGTCTTTATCATCATTCTGATTCACTTTATATGATCTAAGCATAGACTTGCTAAAATCCAAACGTCATCAAAACTCAGACATGGGCTTCAACAGGCTCACTAAATATCATTGAAGCTGATCTTTACCAACATCGAGAAAGTAACCCTCATCTTGGCGACAAATTTGCCTCCGCTTCTCCAGATCTAAAGCCCTCCTTGCTCACGTTGTTTGGATTGTTTCTGAAGCTATAGCTTCCGTCTTAAATGCCCCGCTTTCCCAAGGTGACTTATACTTCATGTCCACTACGTGGATTTATCAGATCAAACATGGTTCATTTTACAAACACTGTTGGGCGACACAGCTGCTACTGCAGATACCCATAGATTTGGTCAGTTTGAGGGGTGAACTAGTCAGTATATTCAGCTGAAGTTGATTTTTCTAGGTTCCTTCGACATTAATTTGGATACAGTCAGTGACAACTCACGTGATGCTAACATGTGACAAATATATGACGTATGTGATGACAATGTTGCGGCCTATCTGTCTGACAAATCTCCAATGTTGATCCAATGTCCCAAGGTCTACCTCAATGTCTTTCTTATTGGGTTAGTAGTATTCTGTCACTTTGGATTTGACATTGACTAATGAAATATATATTGGACATTATCCACATCTAGCATGTGATTTGTGGCCAATCGCTGTCACCAAAGAGCTACAAAAACTACGAGGATCTAAAGAACTGACTGCGTGGCAAGTGTTTCCGTCGACACTATCGCAGATGGCAGATTGGGCCGATGTGTATAAAGACCCGGAGCGCACCGACCCATCCAGAAATCGCATACTCATCTATAAAAATATGCCAAATGCAATGTCAGAAACAATCTTTCCCGTCGCAGTTCGATTGCAAGGCTTGTTATGCCAATTTTGTATAGATAGGTTTGGAAATTGGACTGGGTACGTAATGTTATACTTGCGCACGAATACAAAATACTGAAATCAACTTAGACATGAAAACGAGGTACTCCGAGCAGTCCAACATGTCACCCTATCCTCTGGCGGACATAAAAATATGTGGGACTCTACAATATCATCCATTAATCTAGCCGGAGAATACGTGAGCCGGCGCTTGCACATTCCTATGCAAGGGATGGTATACGACAAAGATTTATACTTACAAAGACACGCATTTATTAAGGTAGGTAGTGTATGTCTCTAATATGGAAATATTGACTCGCGATGTAGAGAAGCGAACTGTTGAAAATGAAGGAACAAATACTTAAGGTCACCGAAGATCCGGAAGATAAGTACTTTTGCATCCAGGAGTGTTGGATCCCTCAGGACCCATTGCGGGTAGCGCAACTGACAGAGACTGGAAAAGTTGTGCCTATGAATGCAGTGTTATTAACAGAAGGAGACTTGGTGGACGTTGGAGCCAAAATAGACTTTGTGATACACAGAGATCGGCACGCACAGACAACTCTCAAGTGTTTTCTGACCTGCACATATATCATGTGCATAATCTCAACAGATGAGATTGAAAAGATGAATCTTGTGAGTACTCAAAACATTGTGTAGATTGTATCTCTCTCATCATCGCAAACAGGACAACAAAAGCGTTAAATGCAAGCGCCAAGCAACACCACTCAAAACTGAAAAGCCTGCTAAAAAGCACCATACTACAGTGGAATTTGACGAGACATAAAATATGACGCAGCGATTGATATTTGTATGATTATATTTGTTTTTTCGTGTTTGTCTTATTAGGAGACATTGAAAATAGAGCGATTTTATCTGCTCCTCACTGCGACCAATATCTTCCTGACAATGACAAAATCCAAGATCGACGCACACACTGAGAACAAGACTGCAACTGAAGGTCGACTGAGCAAACACACAAGGCTCACGAGTACGGGTAAGAGGCATGATATATTCATCAGATTTTAGCTAATATTAAATGCAAATGCAATAGCAACTGAAAGCGCAGACAACATAGGTTTAGATGGACCTAGGACATCGGAGAATATAGAATCGATGACAGATGGCAGTGGGTAAGTGAATAGCTTATCAGCTAGCGAGAGTTTGCATAACATTAATATATAATAGATCCAAGACGACCGTGGATACATCCTTCAGAGAGACGTCACAAGAAAAAACTAAAGAAGATAGGATTGTGGCATCTGGAAGTTCCACGTCACCACTTAAGCAGAGCAATAAAGGTGCACAGCCGGCTCTGACTGTCCGCTCCGTCGTACCTAATCCTACCAAGCAGTTGATTGATGAAGAAGAGGTGGATGAATTCGATGATACATTGTTGACGTCAGTGTTTCTTCAATATATAAGTAGGCTTACTCACACATTCTCAACAGACGCCTCCATAAATTATTGGAATATACAAATTCAAAGGCCAATATCTATGCCCTTGGAAGATTGCTGCCGACTGCTACCTGGGGCCAATACAAGCCAGTCAATGATCATAGCAAGGTTTTATGTGACCCTGCGACTGGAGATCCGATCACTATCTGGGTCGTCAGATGCATCACCAAAATGTGGTTCATGAAATTCAGTAATCCTGAGAACCAGGCCAGTTTGACTATCATGCCGCTGTCAAAAACACTAGCACAACAAAGTGCACATTTATTGGCCAAATTTTCGAGCCCAGTGTTGAGTGAGTACTGACATCGCTTGATTATCAAAGTTAACATAAATCTAGACTTCACGCAGCAAACTTCAACAATCATTCGAGCCATTAAATGGCAAAATGCGAAGACTAGTGATGGGACAAGTGAGGTAAGGTTGGCGTGAACCAACTGTGTTACAAAAATAACATATTATGTCAGCCAATTCTATTTGACGCTGTCTATGACGCACGACAGGAGGGATTGCTCAAGTCTTACAGCGAGCGACCCCTCTGGAATCTCACGGACCTCAAACCTGGAGACCTCGTCTTGTTGGAGACTAAGATGACGCATTATTCTAAGAAGCAAGAGGACAACAAATGGCATTCTCGTGCTCAATACGAAATGATCGCAATATCGCTCCTCGACATTGCTGAAGTGCCCGAAGAAACTCCTCAAGGAGCAATGCAGATAGACGGATTAGCTATCTAAAGATGTAATGCCGAGTTCATTGACATCGTCTGTAATATATATTTGAAGTTTGATGCACCTTGTTGAGAGCATAACATAGCATGGGATCAGCATGGGCCACTACTCACTGGCAAAAATCTCTATACTTCATAAAATCAGAGAGATTGAAAGTAAACAAGCCCTAACAGAACGTCATCGCCCTGATGATGTCATAGAAATCCCTAATTATAAAATTGTCGAGAAATGGTGTAATTGGATATAAGCATGATTACATAATCTGAAGTTGCCAGGTAGAATGGGGGGGACGAAAGGAAAAATTAGCGTAAACGATAAATGATCTTTTATCGGCTGACTATGCTACTGATATAATTCAGATACTACATATAGAAGTGCCTCATCAGTTCCTCGAAATAAATAGTCACTATGAATGTGACTGCAAATACCGCAAATGTCTAAGCAAATCAAACACACGTTCAGCCTTGCCGACTGTTGGATTTGTAGTACACTTGTACATCCCCCATATTTGCCCTGCCAAACAAATGCTGGCCTCATACACTAGCAAAGTCCAGTTGGTGTAATCTCGCATAGAGCTGTGCCAATGCTGAGTATGTGTATGGTGTCCACACATAAGGATGGTCCGGTGATGCATGCAAGTCATAAAGAGGCAGTGCGAGGGTACGATCAGGTACGAAGGTCGGATCAGCTGCAGTGCAATTGGAGAATATGTGAGTAAGCAATGATGGCAGAGGACATTACCCAGACTCTCGAGGTTCTCAAGACACTTTGCCTTGGCTACTTCAACTGCCTTCACAAGACCAGAAAGTGTCAAGATGGCAAGAAGGAACCAAGTGCCCAAGTCAATGCCAGAACAGTGTACGACAACCAAAACTTACTAATAGAGTCACCGCCACTTAAAAGCACAGACCTGAAACGACGTGATATCCATCTGGAGAGAATACATCGGGCGTAAGATGTCCACTGGGGCCTTCAGGAATGGCACACAATTCCTCGCCAGTATTCATATCCCATAACAAGATCGTCCTGTCATACAAACCACACACAACTGGAGTATCTTCACCATCTGAGGCCAATTGTTGACATGGCCAGTGACGATGTGAGGGGTGCAAGGAAACTTTGAGGTGAACTTGTGAAACATTCTCGAGTGAGTTGGTGCGAACAGTGAAACGGACAAGTATAAATGGAGAGCACTGCGTGAAATGGTGGTTGCGAAAGTTCAGACGAAACACAGAGTATCCCTGATGGCATCACGAACATGCACAAACTTGGGATGATTCTATGACTACCCCACTCATAAGAATTCATTTGGCAATGAATGGGCTGGAACTACGCACCAAAAACCAATCTGCAATAAATGATGGAGTCGCTATAGAGTTGCTGAGGCCTTTCATCAAAGGCAGAACCTCCAACCACCAAAGAAGGCGCTCTCCATCGAAGAATGCTTCAATTTCCTTGGTGAATGATGATTCGAAGGACGTGGAGCATGAAGTTGAACAAAGAGCAAATTATGAAGTCAATATGAATGTATAGTACAGACTTCTGCGGGATCACAGAGGATGCACGGAGACCTCCAGCCATAGCAGGGCTCTCCCCCACAGAAGGGAAATCAAATGAAAACTGAGTTTGCGAAAAACGATGACAAACAATGTTTGAATTGCGAATTTCAATCTTTGGCCAACTATGCTCACATAAGCTTAAACTTAAACACAAAATCACGTGATAATGCACACGAGAATTGAGTAATAGCGAGAATGACCTTATCCGTGATGGATCTAAACTCCAACAAACGTAGTACATACTGCCATATATTTGTTTGGAAGAAAATCAAGGTGGAAGTCATCGCTCACAACACACAGGGCAAACGGGCGGTGTGTGAAAAGGCTTGACGGCAAATGTATGACTAATACCCCTCAGCAAGTCGGGCAGCGAACTTTGCCACTTTAGATGGCGCTACATACTTATAAAATTGCCTAGACATTTGAACGTGACTAGACCCACCCTACTTGAGGAAATACGAGAAACGAAATCATGACAACTTTACCTTCAAAGACAGAACTCATGATGGCTATTGCGGAGGCTGAAGAATCCAATCGACGCACACATCACCAGGTATATGAGGAATTGAGACAAAGACACCCAAGCTGGAGTCTAAATATCAGAGTGAGTAGAGATAGAAACCCCTAGAGAACTTGAACTCAATGATAATAGAGAATTAAGAAGCTGCGAGGGAAGCAAAAAGATGATAAAGAAGAGAAACCATGCATCGCCATGAGGATATTGGGCAATATCATACTCTCAGCAAGCGTAACTCAGGGATTACTGCTATTACTGGAAAATCTTGAGCCAATTAGGCATCGCAGGCCAAATTCCAATGTTAAAGCACTAGCACTAGTGGAAGAATTATTGCCTGAAGGCCGACCTGAACATCCACTTGTGTTATTTCCAAAGGATCAGCACATATCATGCTGGTACTACCACATCTACTATACCGCAAGGGCACACGATGAATGTGCTTATCATCCTGTGATGTTGGCGATATACGGTCGAAAATATTGCCCTCGAGGAGACATGATAATCGTGAAAAACGGGGAAGGATTTACACCCCAATCAGCTGAATTTGACGTAGAGAGAGAGGAACTAGGAAAGACTCTATGGTGGTATATCAGAAGTGGGATAGATCCACTGAGAGAGACTCAAGAGAGGCGCATGATGCGATATATAGAACAACTTTAATTCACAGACTACCAAACCACAAATAATACACCGAAAAAATGATACTAATCAGGAGAGAATAAAAAAGGAGAAAGACTATATTGCAGACAAAGAGAATCAGAAATGACAATGAAAGACAAAGACGAACGACTGACCTTGCCAAAAAAGCATCTACAAGAGCTTTTTCATCAAACTCCATGGATTGCAGCAGACGATAATCATGGCCTGCGTGTTTGACAACTAATATGTCGCCAAGCCACTGAGGAGCAGATTCAACGACGATGGAGGAAGCCAAAGCACGGTTGACAGGTAATTTGGAACCACGTCCAAAGAAAATGACACTATAAGCGTCAGGAAAAATGCTATATCGTGAACCAGGGAATCCGCCAACAGAAACAGAGCGGGGAGAGGCATCACCAGAACAGGACCAATGACCTCCACCTATCCACATTTGCGCACGGACAACTCCATCTAAATCTTCAGGTACATAGGTGGGAATAGCCTCATCACAATCAGTACCATAGAACATGGCACGATGGTATGTTCGGCCCACCTACGAGAGGATTAGATGAATAAATGTATATCCCAAAGGAAAAAAAAGGATAGACGTGCCGGCTCATGAGAGAACATATAGTTCTCTATTGCATTCACATCAAGAGAATTCGTAGATTGGCATGCAAACATGAAGGCTGACAGTATGAGGGTCACGACAAAGAGAAAGACAACATAAATAATGTGACAAATAAATGATGAGTTTATCACATGACATGGAAGGAACACAGCAAAACATGATGTATGACAACAATGACGAAAGATATTTAAGGAGAGGGAGGCAAATAAAACTGCCCACAATCATGTCGTCTCACACTAACAAAACGAAGCAAATCTTGGTTTTGGCTTGCTTCTACTCATTTGCGGAACCTAACAGATTTCTGGAGGTCTGCATCAAAGCAGAGGAAGATGGTCAGATCCATCTTACAAGACCTCACATATATTTTCAGGACGAAGCCAATGTCAAAGAAGATCGCATAGCCATTGCTGATGAGGAATTCGACGAACCCACCCTCTTCAGTGTCTTTTATGACAGCACATTGCATGGGACACCACATTGTCCTTACTTGGTATTCAAAATCACCAACAAAACTGATATAGTAGATATTTTAAGAAAAGACTACATAGCAATGACGAAAGCAGTGGAACAGTGAGCTGTAATTCATCCTCCTCTGCCAGACCATCTAACTAATCAAAACAATTCAGCGTCATGCGAGAGATGCCTCATTGCGATGAAGCTCAATGAATAGAGAGAGAAACAGAAAGACTGGTATAACAGAGATTATAGCAACTCCTTATCCAACATCGTGTATTTCAGGATGGAGACTTCAAAATGTATCTTGAGTAAAGTCAACTATCTACTGCAAGGTGCGACTATAAGTTTGATGCGCGAAAATGTCACATGCTAGATCAGGAGGTCAATAAGTGCCATCACTGAGTCCCTATTAATCATCAAAGCATAGGAGTAAAATAAAAATGAGCTCGCGATACAGAGATACTAAAGAAATCATAAACCACTACTTCACAACGTCCAATAATCCATATCAGACAACCGCAACATGACAAACCTAAATGGCGACTTAGACAAGCTATGCGCTGAGTTACAATGCATGATAATGGATCACCTCGCACTCCCAGACCTCATAGAACTAGGCAAAACCAGGCAAGAGAATAACGAAGGAGTAAGAGAATATGTCGAAGAATGATGAATGGTCTTACTTAAGGCCTTCATAGAAGACACCAGTACATTCATCGGCGTAATTGAATGCACCGGATCCATCATTGCGGGATCTAGCGCGCTGCATCTGTTCCAAGCCAAATCAGAAGCGCTTGCACTCCAAGACTTGGACATATATGCCACACAAGAGTTTGAAGAAACATTGCTGGAGCATTTCAAGGGCAAAGAAGGATACAAGGGGACCCAGGACAATCACCAGGAAGAAAGAATATGATTCATCAGCTATAGCGAAGGTCCACAAACTCCAAAACGGAGAGAGAAAGGTCGACATCGTCATCACAGACTGGGCAAGTGCAATTGTACCCATCATTCAATATCATTCTACCGCTGTAATAAACTACATCACCACCCGTACCTTCGTATCACTCTATCCGGAGTGGACTAAAGAGAAAAAAAGCTTTGTAAATCCCATCACATACATGGACGACAGGGCCCTGAAGGCCCAGGATGATCGTGCGGACAGACAATTAAATTTGTTAAACCAGTACCTATTCTAGGTCCTGGTACTAGATCACAGGCCTTGCACCTGTACTTGCTGGGCTTAAGCATAAAACTGTCTGATTAGACACACACCTTTATGCAAAAATGCGTCTAATCCTCGATATTAAGCATCACCGCCGAGATAACTGTACTACAGCGTGATAGTGTTTGAGCTTCAAGCATCACCATACAGACCGTGCTGACATCAGGCCTTGCACTACCTAATCTTGCCCAGATCTTGCCCAATCTTGCCCAGATCTCGAGCAGTGTTCTGGATCTGTGTTCCTGATCTTGTCAGTGTCCTACTCTTCTCATACATCAAACAGAAGCCATCAAAACAGGTTAATATGTAAGCATGAATATTCTATGGGGCGACAGGCGACGGTAACTGCAGGTACGAGGGTCAGCCGCCAGTGCTTTGCACATATGTCCAGCACACGTCAGCAAATGCTGACGTGACTCGAACATATGTGGATGGCACAGTGTTAGTGCTGCCGAAGTCCGGTTCAGTCCGGTTCGCGTTTGAACCAGGTTCGACCAAGCTTGCAGATGATGGGCTGGAGCTCCACCACGAACACCATGCGCAAACGCCCAGTGCATGTCAGCAACTGCTGACATGGCTCAGACGAGTGCGGACGACAGACGAGAGTAGGAGGAGGGAAGAAGACGAGGAGATCTCGTGAAGGGTAAGTGGGCATTGGGAACACGGTCTGAGAAGCAGCTGACACTTACCCTGGCCATAGGCTTCCCTGCATTGCCGTTCTGGTCACTCTGACATATCATAAGTGCGACAGCGCTACCACAGCCAGTGCAGTCAACAGCCAGACCAATGGTCATCATGCGCCACAGTACACCAGAAATATTGGGCAATCGAAGGGCGGGACTGAATGATGTGGCACCCGACATGGTGCCCACGGTTCAAGTATAGGTGGTGGGCAATGAGGGCGGCAGCAGGAAAACGAGAGAGGGTGGCAGGAAGGACTGCAGGCAATGAGAAAGGTGGCGCACAAATGAGAGAGATGGCGGGCAATGAGAGAGATGGCGGGCAATGAGAGAGGTGGCACACAATGAGGGAGAAGATCATCATGGCACTAGAAGGAGGAGTGGAGGCACAGGCGAGTGCAGACATGTGCAGACAGGTTGAAGTGAGCCACACGCGTGATGTCGGAAACAAAACACATACCTTGTCCAACAAACATATCAGTGCCCCACCCAGAGTTGAGTCCAAATGAGCGCGAACAAGTGTAAATGAGCACGAACAACTTCGAACAAGCGAGAACAAGCGCAAATGAGCAAGAACAAGCGGCGGTGCACTTGAGCTCAGATGGACTTGTGCATAGGACAAACAAGCATTTTGAGAATTAGATGTGCAGAATGATACAAATGACATAGACCTTTCATAACATCTTCATTTATGAAGAAGTGTCGCTAACAATCTGTTATGCAAATGAATGAACATTGAAATTTGAAGCTTCACATGAGGTCACTCACCGTAACAGTTGGGCTTAAATGGGACACTCGCTGTACCAGCACTTCGGGACAAATGAATGCGGGCAAGATCACATCTTTTCGAGCTTTCTGGGGTTATCGTGATGATGAGAATATCATTTTATAAATTATATACAACGACGTAGTAAAAGGAGATAGGGCAGGATGACGCAGACTATCACAACTATGGATCACCACTCGCTAACCACGCATTCATTAACTGTACAGTAGGGTTCCCACGCATCGGCGTATAGGTGCCTGAACGTTTGGATCCGACAAGAGTCAGGGAAGCTATTATTGGAACACATCGGGGAGAGAGAAGCTGCAAAGGGACAACAGAAGCTGCAAAGGGGAAGGAAGAAGCTGCAAAGGGCAGGGAGAAGCCGCAAAGGGGGAAAGGGCTGTCTTAGCCTACCAAAAAAGGGATTTTATGCATCATCGCAGACACAAGAAGCTTGAAGCATAAAGCAAGCATGTGGAAGAAGCCTTTAAGCATCAAGATACAAACATCAGGGAACTAGACAGTTTAAGCATAAAGGTCTGTGTCTAATCAGACACTTTTATGCTTAAATCTGACACTATAGCCTGGGCCTTGAACAATATAGTGCTACATAAATTATGTAGTAACAGACCAATGACCGGTACATGATGTGTTCCACATGTACACGAAGAAGCAAGCTGCAAATATGATATCGTAGCGGCAGCGAGCTGCCATTATCTGACTTAGAAGAGTTAAGTCCCAAGCAGACACTAAAATCTAGTCTACACTTGGGGTGACAGCATGACGGGTTTGTGACGGGTCGCCCATATATAGAAGCTTACTCAGGCAATTCCGGAGGATTCGGAGAGAGATTAACTTACAATGAATGATCATGAGCATCATTGCAACACAATGACATCTTCGATCCGTATCGTGACCATAACGAGTGGACAATGCCAGGAAACAGAATGCAACTATCAAAGTTTAGTGCTTAGCTTCCGAGTCAAATGACACCGCCAAGACAATCCACGAACTCGATGCTCCAGCGACCAACTAGTATGACGGACACGAGCAGACAACAATATTCACTTGATTTCTTTTGTTTCTTTATGGGCCAAATGTCGAGGGAGCTAAGGTGACTTTGTTGCTGACATCACACCAATACGCTGACATTTGTGCAAGAATCTGACGTTGCAGACTGTTGTTTCGATACTGAATAGCACGAAATCGTCAGAGATAAATAACGTCATGAAAGTACTCTCCCAGGATGCTCAGGGCATTCTGATGAAGGAGCTTTACAAGTGTACTATGGGGATGCCAGGCTGGGGTGATGTAAGTGGCAGCGTGCTCTTGGGGTGGCATGAGAAGGTGTGTCTAAAGCTCTCTTCCATATAAATTTTCTGACCATAAATTTGCAGCTGACAGAAGTTGCCGGCACTGACTGTTACTCAACGGACAGGCAGAGTGGACTGGCGGGTCGCCGATTGGTTAATTTACTTACCCATGGCATCGAATCTCAGGTAATCACCACCTGGACAATGTGTGTGTCTTATCGCTGTGTTCATGCGCAACCTCAGCCTTATGCGATTGATTCCTCTCCCGTAAGCATAGCATGAAGGTGCCTGGGCTGTCAATAGACGCCTCTAAGCTTCAACCCCAGGATTCAACGTCCAGATGTGGGCCCATCGGGTCTGTCTCGTCAGTTAGGGTGATTACAACACTCCAGAGCGAACTTTAATGAATTGTGTTACAGTTGCATCCTTGAATGACTCAATATATGTATGCTGTAGTACGAGTGCATCCACTGATAGAGGTGGACCAACAGGAAGGGCCCATGAACCAATCAATGGTATGCAGCTTGGTTGTGCCGGTTCACAAGATTATGGAAATGGGTTTATGAAGGGTCAGTGTATTTGAAAGCAATTTTCTTGTTCATCAAAGACAGGCCGTAAAACTGTGCCATCCAGTGCAGTTTGCACCATATCATATGTCATACCACCTCAAGTACAAACTAAGTCTACCTCGAATTCATCATCGCTCGGATGTGTGCTTCTCTCGTTGTGTTCACGACTTCAAAAGAGCAGGGAAACGGTTTAGGGCGACTTCGGCAGGGTCAGTTGTAGGTTATTGAATACATACTAGATCACTTACATCCCCACGCCGGTGGTGTACTCCGGCTTCACCTCAATCTTGTCTCCATTCGAGTCTTTGGCATGATCGATGCGCAAGACGGCGAGTATCGTAGCGAATGCAGTCCACAGACCGTTCTCTGCAAACCAATGACCTGCCAAGTGCATTTGTCATCCTCGACATTGCCAAAATCAGCCATGAATCAGCCTACCAGGACAAATACGCCTGCAAGGGTCAGTGGATGATTGAAGATGATAGTAAGGTTGAAAAATTCACCTGCCATGACCAAAGGCAAAATGGTTTACGAAAGGGTTCTTCAGCTTCCCATTGACAGTCAGATGGCGGCTAGGATCGAAGCGCGATGCATCAGGAAATATGTCTTCATCCCGAGACAGCGCCCTGAGCAATGATCAGCTCAAACCAATATATGCATCCAAGGCCGATATACCACTGATTAACCATCACTATCGCACCTGACGAACTATATATGAGTCGATGCCAACCTTGATTCGTACGACTTCGAACCTTTGGGTATGAAGTGCCCTTCGTAAACATCGTCATTTGATGTCACATGTGCGATTCCTGTGCGAGGGGTCAGCCATGCAAACACAAAGCTATATTACCACCGGCTAACCTAGGGGGGCAGGAGGATACCATCTCAAGACCTCGTGGAGAATGGCATCAAGGTAGGGCAGTGACGCCCTGTCATCAAGGCACGGCATGCTGTCATGCCCCACAGCTTGGTCAATTTCTGCACGAGCACGGGATTGGACGTCAGGATGGAGCAGCATAGCCAACAGGAATGTCTGCAATATGGATGCAGTCTGCGGGACATCAAAATAAGAATCAGCGCTACTGTAAGTGCTCAAGTAGCGACTCATGGTTTCCATGCCAGCTAAGATGCCGCATTCCCGTCAATGGATGAACTCCATCCAGATAAAAACAAACTCTTACCTACGTATCCCGTCAACGCAACAGCCTTCATCATGTCTTCGCCAGTGTCGTTGTGAGCTTGATTGAGAAAGTCGGCGACTAATGAGCGCGAAGCAGTACCATCTGCCTTCACACAAACAGATCAGGCGAAAATTACATCCACAAGTCTGCACGAGCGTACTATCTGTACCTTCACTTCATTAAAGGGCTCGTCAAAAAGTTGTTGACTTAATTCTCTGGAACGTCCTATCAGGGCAAATGCTCCACCAAAGCACCAGAACGGCAACTTTTCGACTGCAACCTCATGCTGAATGCTCAAGATGATGTCGTTGACGGAGGCACTCACGGAAAGGAAAGGTTGTGTTGTGAACATGACAGCCTTCTCGGGAGAGACAATCTGTTTCACAATATCAAAGAGTTCGTGCACACGGGAAAGAAGTGAGCCTTCATTTGCAAGGTGTCCGTATGTCACGGTCATGATCAGGGATCCCGAGTATCTGTCACAAGGATTGATCGTCAACTGGACCATACATCACAATGACATCATTGGATTAGGTACGAACGCTTCAACGTGTTGCTGCAGTGAGTCACTAGTGACATCTAAGAGATCGATGACTAGTCCATTTGCATGGCGAGAGTATATCTCGTGGTACGAGATTAAAACTTCGGCCCTAAGGACTTGATGGTATATCTTGCGATGTTGTCGTAAAGTCTCCCCATACGGAAGCATTACAGAATTGAAACCCATTCCAACTCTGTATCGTCGGTGGATAAAGAATAAATTGAATGAAAACAGTAATACATACAATTCATTGGTGCGAATAACTGGACGGGTTGAGTAATTCGCAGAACGCTTTTCCAGCAACTCATGTGTGATGGTTTCTGAGTTTATGATGATCATGTCGATCCCAAGTATGCGGGAGCGGAAGATTTTTCCTACGATCAGGCATGAAGTTAAATCCAGGAGGTTGGAAAAGAGCCTGGTATGCTACCAACCATATGTCTTTCCCCACGCAGTATATGTGAGCCAAGGACGTTTAGTATCCAATTGCAGCGCGTTACCCAAAAATGGTATGGGCCAAGGTCCGGGTAGCAGAGGTAAAGGGTAGACACGTCTGCGAGACAGACCCAAAGCGACAAGCAGGGCAACAATGCACGATATCCCTAGAGTGAAGAGCATGGTAAGGGATTATAGTTGAACACAAGGCATGCTGCAAGTTAGTTGATCTCATTATATTGGCAGCTTGCTGCGCTATACTTCGTGTGAAAAACTGACGGTTGTGTCACTATTACAGTGTACGAAGCACTAGAGTGCCGTCTCCGTAGGGAGCTTAATCGTACAAATTTCTATGTTCAATGAAAATTCTATAAGGAAACAAGCAAAAAGCAGCAATTTTTCGAAATTTCCCATTTTGTTTCAAATTTTCCCATGAGAACAAATTTACCCCATGCTCCATAGACCCTGTTCATCTCCCTCGGACCCTGTTCATATTACCACATATAGTATTACATCGAGAGCTGCAGGCACATTTGCCTTTTTCTTCCAAAGTTCCATTGCGAACTGAACCCCATTGAGATGCTTTGGGGATATGCTAAGTACCGTCAGTTTTTTCTTGGTTTTCTGTCGTGATTTTGATTCATTGATATTCCTGCGTGGCACAGGCTATCGAAATGTCACTGACGGCAAATTCTCGACGGCAAAAACACTGGTTCCGCAATGTCTCAACATGTGCGATGTTTTGACTATTCACCATTTTTTCCGCAAAGCTTGGCGCTATATGGATGCCTACCGGTACATTTATCGTTGTTTTCGAGTGATCATGCAGCGCTGAAGTTCAAACAGTAAAGGACTCGATGCCCGACAAGCAGCCTTCGCAGTTAAGAAGTACCATTCCCACCGTCGTGTTGGGATTGCAACAGAGATTTTGGCCATACTGGATGCTGAAACTGCAAGCAGAGGGCTTCTGTAGATCGTATTTACCATCTGCTTGCTTGTATACCTGCCCAGTTACCCATAAATACCATTTCTTGCAACATGTTTCAAATTTCGACGGAAAATTTTTCAACCCTTCGATTTTCAAAATTCTAACGAGGTAGCTTTAATCTACAAGTCAAAAGACTGCATTTGCACTACTCTATGGTACAAAGCAGTCAAATTTCAAGGACTAGATACATTTTCAAGTTCAGGCTAATCCGAGAGGCTGGAAAAGTGCTTCGTACACTGTAATATCAAGAGGATTATAGAAGCTTAGTCAGGATATGTACAACGTTCAACGTTCAGCGCTCAGCCACCAAGACAATCTACGAACTCGATAATGAAGACTATCGCACCATCAACTAGCCTACACCAAGTGGAAATGACTTTGTGTCATTATGAATAGCCCTCAAAGTGTACATACTAGGACGCCATGCTAGCGCTAGCTCCACCCTTGGCAGCACTTAAGCACCCGTCTCACGATCTATCAGGTGGGGTTTCTATGTTGCAGCAAACCCACCTGTGAGGTATGCCTCTCCATAGAGGCTCCCTGTAATTGCCACAAGAGGTCCATGCCCTTTCCTTAGTGTACTGCCTCTGTACTCCCAGAGGTTCACAAGGGTAGGTATAAACCATGCGAGGCCATGCGGCACCCTCGCTGTTTAAAATAGTTGGTTTATATGTTTTAGAACACATGTTTTGAACACAGTGAATCTCAATACTATCATGATGGTGCGACAGACAATATATTTGGTGTGAAAGGGACAGAGACACTAACAACTCAAAAGACATGAACATGAAAGGGACACAATAAGACATCCAAACCACAAAGAAAATACACTTGTTATCCCTCTCTATCAGGCCATCTCTACTCATCATCCCCTGATTATGCCGGTCCTGATATTCACAAATCACAGACAAGCTTATATTGTGCTTGAGCATGTGGGCGGATGGAAGATTGTAACATTTCAGACAATGGTGAAGGGACACAGTAAGATAGAAGGCAATATGTGATGCTGCACTTGAATCAATAAGATCACATGCACGAATGCTGTGCCATATCAATGATTAGTACATGCTGTGATGGGAGGCTCATGAGGATGTAATGGAGGTTTGCGAGGGTCGAGCAGAGGCTCCTGAGGGTCACATTAATTTTGTGAACATCAGAGGGAGGCTCGAGAGGCTCACAGATTATGTTTGTTCCTGCAGCTGCGAACTGAAAAGCTCATCAATTTCTCCTTTGTCCTCGGTAGTGGCATTGCTGACTGCGTCTTCATCATTAATAGTGTCGTCCTTGATAGTGTTGTCCTTGATAGTGGTGATCTCTGGGACAAGGTCGCTATGATTGGGTTCAATGACCGGTGAACGTTGCTGAATCGCCTTCAACCTCCAAGAGGGTGGCGCAAGTGGTACTTCTATGAACACACGGAGTCTGCGCCAATTAGATGATGTGGCACCAGATTTTGAAGGTGAAGTGTTGCCCAGACAGGTCAGGCCAAACCTATCAATCCGTCCATTGGCAAACTCTTGTCACCCACGAGTGTGAAGAGAATTTGCAATGGGCACTTCTCCAACAATGACAGGGACACGTGAGGTCCTAAGACTATTGCAGGTGTCTGTTGCAACCGATTTAACGGTGAGGGCATCATTCTTGAGGGTATCCGCAAGTTTGAAGCGCTCATGGATAGTGAGGTTGTGTATACCCTTGCTCTTTGCAAGTGTTGAACGTCTCTCGCCGGGCACAAGGATGTCTTCTGGGTAGTTTTCGAGGATACAGCCACAATGGGCTAGAATGGTAGGTAGGGTCTTCCATGGGAAGTTTCCCCCTCGTCCTTCGAGGGTCCCTGTAACATATTTAGCTGTTCTACACTATGATCTGACTGTGACACTTACTGAGAAGCGCTGTCAACCCTCCAACAATGCAAGGTATACCTTCGAGGAGCCTCCATCCCTCAGGATCATGGACCTCTCGCTTCTCCAACCATTTGTCCAACACCTCCTGTGCGTCCACCTTGTAGCGCGATGCCACGCGCTCGAGAATGTAGTCGAGCTGGGTGAAATCCATGAATCCAATGAAGGTATAGAAAGAGGGAGGAGTGTAGAGGAACGACATCGATAATACATTGAGAAGATGTGTGCCCCAGCCCCCCATCAATAATTGATTCCGTTGATGATCGATGGCCTCGTTGACAATCAACAGAAGACATCCCACGAAGTAATGGAATGCCAAATGCCTTCATATATTATGGGCACGCTGCATAGTCAGAGGCATGGTGGTGAAGTGGTAGTGGTGTTGTGATTTTGGCAGACTCTTAAGTTCGATCCTTTGACTATGCATTCTTTCATCTGTTAATTGATTTTTTAAAAAATTTTACTATGGCATCCACACTCAAGTACTCACACCCCACCTTCGATGGTTTGTGCTCATTTTCGCTGATGGGCGACAAACTCGACAAGGAGAAGGGCTGGTATGATTCCTTTCATTCATCCCACAGCATCTTACACTAATCTGAATCTTTTGAAGCACCTGGTTTCAAATGAAACACTTCAACTGACCTCATCCATCAATGAGCCGTCCAACACGAACATTCCCTTCCCGAGAGGCTTCCCCTGGCTCATTCTCAGCAACCTCATCTTCATCCCACACCTCTGGTAAAGGCTCCACCCCCACCCACTCTGTAATAATAGTATTCGTACATTTGAACCACATACCACAGTTCAGAGCAATTCGATTTATTTGCATTCCATGCCCCATGCAAACCTCTAGGATCCAGTGGAACCTGGACATCACGTGAATGCGACACCTGACCATAAGACCGCTTGGTTTAACAGTTCTAAGTGTTGGGTCTCATGCAGCGCCTGCACAAACAGTTGATTAAACACTGACTTGGACGAATGTGCTACTTACTGAATGCTGGTTGGCCATGATTGAGCTGTTGATACATGTGCCAGGCCATCCTTGGGATTCTTGGACGAAAAATTTATTATCAGGGATGAGAACTCAGGAGGCAGCTTGCAGGCATAACATTGGCTGGGTGTGATATACAAGAATTCACTAAAACAGTTTTTTCAGAAGGAGGCACTACATCCAATCTGATGCAATGCGCAAGGTAACAAAATGACAGTCACTACACTAAAAGGGCAAGAGAGAAATGTTAGTAGGTATCAGCGGCGGTCTGCCCATCTATTGTTATCCCCATAGTACCTCCGGTCATGACTGCGCATGTCTTGATAGTAGGAGTCTGATGGATACCTGTGGTCATCATAGTGGTCGTCATATCCTTCAGCAGGCAAGCCATAACGAGAAGGATAACCTGGATGGTTGAATCCCATAAGTGCATGACCGTACTGAGCTTCTTCAATATTACGGGTGCATGGAAGGCCATGGGGATTGAGGATACCAGGAGGATGAGGATGGGTGCGAGGGGGACCATTGCGATCATAGAGTGTGTCATGTGCATCACGATAGTGAGCATCATCGTGTGGGTAGGAGGGTCCCTCACGAGGGCGCACAGAGTGATCATGAGGGTGTACAGAGCAATCTTGCAATGGCACAGAAGGCTCATGAGGATGAGGCAGAGGCTCTTGCAGTGGCACGGAAGGCTCACGAGGATGAAGCAGAGGCTCTTGCAGTGGCACAGAAGGCTCGCAAGGATGAAGCAGAGGCTCTCGCAGTGGCATGGAAGGCTCACGAGGATGACTGGGAAGCTTGTGCATGTGTAAAGAAGCCTCGCGTGGGATGGGAGCCTCATGTGGAAACAATGGAGAATGTGCATAGTGGTCGGCTCCCTCGATATGAGAATCAGTCTGAAGCGGCTCAGACTGTGGAAGGGGTATCTGCCCAGCAGGACATGAAGATGGATGGTTGATAGATTGAGCTTGGGAATTTCCATTCTCCTCATTGCCAGGTGTGAAAGGGGAAGACGTTGTCTGGATCGTACCGTTTGAGGGTTGGGGTTGCTCAGAGCTCTTAGGTTGTGAAGCCACACTGGGCATGACTTCCGGTGGCCCGGAGACATTGTCCTGCAGTGGGATCTTGTCCTCTGTAGTAGAGGCCAGTGTAATCGGGGTAGGGTTCACTGGCTGAGCTGCAGCATCGAGCTGAGGGTCTGCAAGCATGGTAGCACCTTTTCCAGCATCCGCTGTGGCCTCCAAGTCAATTCGACCTGGAGCATCCTCCTCTTCCGAATCGACCGTATACATCCTTCAGTGTACACGGTGCATGGCTGTCCGTGATTCCTTTGCCACACGTTTTGGTTTTGGGGGTGCTGTAGTAAACAAGTCAGTGACGAGTAAATCCAAAAACACAGATACATACCCTTGAATTTTGGCTGCACTTTGGAAGTACTGTCCCGGATGTGAATTGCAGGTTGAACTGGCTGGGCAGCTGAATAAGATGGTGAGCAAGGAAAGACATATGACACATTGTCTTCTTAGATAGATGATCTATAGATAAACACCTATAAAAACAAATATCTCCACGGTCAGTGATTCAGACAAACACCAATGACTGATAATGTGGTCGTTCATGGGTGGCTAGTTGTATACTTCCCAAGATATGTTCAGCTAAAGGTACTTCTGCAAGATCAGTAAATATGATGGTCAATCCAATCTATGGACTTTGACAGAAAAACAAACAAACAATGGTCAGCCCAACAGTATGGCAATGACCAAAAGAATATACAGAATTCTTCCTCAAGTTTCCCTTCAACAACAGTGCCTCGTACCAACTATACTCCAAAAAGAATGGTGCAGAATTACAATGATTAACCCCCCTCAGCACAAAACAGGTAGAATCAAAGGTCAAGACTAGTCGAATGCTTTATTGTAGAACTCTTAGCTTAATATTGAACCTGCTGTCAAGGAACTCTTCTTTGAGTATTCAAACAGACTCAGGAATGGACGTCCTTGGATTTACTACCAAGTCCCCTCTTCAACAGCTAAAGCCTAGCAGGCACAGAATATCTTGGCTCAGTATCCCTACTCAGATGAGTGAGGTCAAGCTTCACTATCAACTCCTAAAGTCTCCCCACTAACCTACTCTTGGTCTTAGGTGGACGTAGAGACAACATGAATGTTTTGGAATATATTTTTGGAAAAAGAACACCAAAGGTTGGTGAAAGTAAAATAAAAGAAAAAGAGAATAGAAATTTGAGTATAACTGTGGCTGTACCTTGCTTGCTGGTTGTTGCACACAGTGAGCTCAAAGCTGGTCGTTTGGTATGATGAGCTTGCAGTATTTACTGTTTCTTGAGAATGTTCCTCTCAGTCTTGGCACAGTTCTTGACACTGGTACTGACACTTATCACACCTTACTCACAACTTAGTGTTAGATGGGCTGAAAAACACCCACTTACTACCTGCTGCTTATTATTTCAAAAACTGGGGTCATTATATACACAATAAATGTGGCTGTGCTACTAGTGTATTCAAGAGTCATCAAGAGTCATAATGAGTCATGTATTCATATGGCTGAGTCATCCTGGCTTGTTGCTAGCCATGTGACCTATTCAACTCCTGATGACAAATCCAGAAAGAAAGTGAGAAATATCACATGATGTGAATCCTTTGTGTGTCTATCTTTTTCTTTGTTTTGCTGGGTGAAACTGATGCGAGCCTAGTATTTAGGGGTTTGCTAATGTTTTTCCAGGACAACATATGTGGGAAATATTTTTCACAGTCACCTGACAGGTGTGGGATTTTGTCTGGGTCATCACCATGGCTGACTAAGCAAAACTCATCACGGAATTAAATGTATTAAAATATTCAGGCTGCTTGCATACAAGCTTTGAAAAACAAAAAGAAAGGCGAAAAATATTCCCTTAGCCTCAGTCCAACTTCAGATAAAAGAAACAGGGTTTCATAGTGACATTCTGGGGCATAGGACTCATGGGAGAGTATTAGTTATCCATGCACCAAACCAGTTTGGTGCAGGTCAACGTGTAGCACAAACCTTCATTGCCAGATGAGTGTTCTTCGTCAACTGAAGAAGACCCCACTGTTAATGGTGACAGTGGACCCCCCTTCAATGGAGAGGCATCGGAAGGAGATGGTTTCAGTGGTTTCACCTTGAAACGCACACCTTCCTTCTTTGGTTCAATGATAGCCTCTGAGGAAGCACACTTCTTGGATGTCCGAGAGGAATTTCCTGACTTTAATTTCCGTTTTTTCCCATGTAAATCATCTTCATATTCAGTGTCCAGTTCCTCTGCTGTTGTGTCCTTCGAGCCTTCTGAAGCTGATGTGAGTTCGATGACTTCCTGCATGGCAGCCTTAGGAGCCATTGGCACAGCTGACTTAACAGCGGCCTGAAAGGGACAAGCGGGAGGGGGAGTTTGTTGGTTGGCAATGAACCTAGCAATGACCTTAAAGGGACGAGAAGGAGGGGTGGCCTAGCAATGCTGTTGGCAATGAACTTAACGGGACGAGCAGAAAGGCGAGGATACATAACCCCTTCTGGATGCTCAGGATCACGAGCTTTTGATGCCTTATTTTTTTTTAGTCTGGTCTGTGCGGCGCTTGTCCCCACACGATCCAGGCCACTATAATCTGTATGCTGATCAGCAAACATGCGATGAGCACATGGGTACTCCCAGGTGGACAGAGGAGCTTCCCTGATGATAACTGGCATTTTTGATTCGATCAAGGACACTACAAAAACATTGTTAAAATTGGGCTACTGAATAGAGACAAAACTTACTGTGTGTATTGGAAGACTTGACCATGCGCATAGTGCCAGCCTTGTAAGCATCAACAAGTGCTGCAACCTCTATACATCAATACACCTATCCCCTTGTTATTTTTGGACGTCAAATCATGAGATTCACCCGGCATGAGGCACTTGTGCGTGGGGTACCCTTCAATGTTCAGGCTGCCAGATGCTAAGGAGCTTGGCATCGTTTTCCAGGGGAAATTCTTATCGGATGCAAACTTCCCACCAAGGTCAGCTAAATGAGCATGTCAGACTGAACTGAAAAAGAACTAGAATAGCTACTTACTGACTCATTTCACGATTTCTCTCTTGAACCACCAGAGAGATTCATCACGACCCTCAACTTCAGTTGAAGGAATCGGGTCAGCATCCTTAGAAGAGGCTTCTTCGTCATCTTCGGGCAAGTCGTCGAAGGCATCTTCTACCACTGCCAGTGAACTTTTATTACTGTTTGGAAGATGAGTAAGAAAAAGATAATGGTAAGACGCAGAATGAGACTTACTAGACATGAGCTTTGAGGTGACCAATGATGGTGTCACCATCAGCTCAGCATCGCATACTCCAGAACTAGCAAACCAGCATTAGCGATCAAAGTGTTGAATATCACTCTCAAGATACTTACCTCTGCAGTGCCTGGTGTAGTATGAACTTGACCAAGGGAGGCATATTGGTTGACAATTCCACCACAGATGACCATTGCGGTCTCAAACCCGAATTTAGCAGCAGTGCCATCAGCCTATAATGAAAGACAGTCAGGGCACAGTGAGCAGCGAGGCACCAGGGAAGTATACTTACAATGCTAAACATCCTTCGGTAGTATTTTTGAAACTCTTGTCCACGCTGAGAGACTGTTTGAGGGGCAGCAGATAGGATCATCACCTCATCGTGGACAGAGAGAATATCTTTGTATGTGTCTGGAAAAGCCTCTTTGAAGAGGTCGTAGCATTTTGTCTGAATTGACATACCTAAAATTCACGATGGAATCATAAGTACCGCATCAACATATATGATCATAACTTACCCGGAGAGCCTCCATCTGCCGGAAGCTCAAGTCCAACTCGTGCAAGTTCTTGTTCTGTGTGATCCTTGAAGTAACTGCGAGCGTATAGATTCCAGAAGTTAGTGCTGACTGTCGTCCGACCTCGACTTTTCAAGAACCAGTTGATGACTTGCTGTACGGGAATTGATGTTGACCCTGAGAGCTCGAGGAATGATTGCTCAATCTCGACGAAAGCAGCTTCAAGGATTGCACTGGTGTCAGCAGACTTCTGTCCAGGGACAAATGACTGGCCTGATGTCAAGACAGGCGCATCTTTGCTGTCCCAAGGATTAGAGAGCAAGTCATCGACATTTCCAGTATCGATGAAAGCACCACACTCATGCAGGGAGGCATGAGGAGGGGGGCCAGCATCCTTTAGTGGTGTTGGTGGGATGATATTGGTAATCATAGGTGTGATCTGGCTAGAACTTCCTCCGACACTTTGAGGCACCGGAGGGTCACAAGAGGGTGCATGTAAGGAGGGTGGCTGGTTAGCAAAACCCGAGCCAACATCAGAAGACATAAAATGTTCCTGCATCTCCATGAGCAGTGCCGTAAACGATGCATCATCCATCACTCCAAAGGAATGAGATTGCTGTGCCAACCATCCACTGGATTGTGCCTCCATGGGATTGTAAAACATGTCCTGTAGAGGTGCAGGACATGGAGGCTCGGGAGCATGGGGATGTGGAGATGTATGTCAAATATTGCCCTGAGGAAGAGCAGACGATGCATCACCTCCCACAACACTATTATCGTGGATAGGATGCAGAGGTGCAGATTCTGGGGGCGCTGAGGGACTGGTTAGAGTGTTGGGTGAGAATGAGCTTCCCTGACACTGGATGGTGGCCTCTTTGACTATGCCAACATTGCGCTGCGTAGCCTTGATCCTACTCCAAAGTCTGGTAGGAGTTAACTCCACCAGAGGGCTCTTGGCACGACGCCCTCCACCATACTGTTCCTGAATATAATCTCCACCAGGAGAAAGACGCATAGATTGAGATGAGGTGCTATAACTTTGAGGGGGTGGCACGTTTGGTTTGAGGGGGAATGAGTAGTCATTGAATGTATGAGTCATAGCTGTGGGATTGTAAGATGCACTGCAAGGTTGCTGTAGGATGAACATACAGAGTTGAGCACCGTTAATATTTGATGGTGAAAATTGAGAGCAGAAAAGGGCAAGAATGCTGAGTGGGTAGCGGGTAGTGTGTTAGTAAAGGAGAATTGAACAAAGTGAGGAGCAACTGGACATACCACAAAAAAAAAGAATCGAAGCGGGCAAAAAAAATTGGTAGACACTAGATGTATTTCAGTATGGTTTCAAAGATAAATACTGTAATAACTTACATTGGTCTGGAGGGACTGTACGTTCAAAGCTGCTGATGGTCTGAGTGTTGATTCAGAGATAAATGATATTGCCAGAGCGGAAGTGCACAATCTAGCCTTCAGAGACAGTCAGATTTTGAGGAAGGTGAAGGGGAGAGGAACAATAGAACCTACCTTGATCTTAAGAGCAAGCATTTTAATTTTATTGCAAGGAGTTTAAATTCCTGCATGCAGGGAGTTTTAATCCTACATGAATGGAATGATTCCATTGAGATACATGTTATGCTAAAGTCAGTAAAACCAGTGGACATTTGAAATAGGGACCCACCTATGCTGTAATAGAGGCTCGCAGATATCATGGCTAGAGGGGGAGAGGCGCCACAGTAACCTTTAATGCAGGGGGTCTGGTGGTCTGCAGACGAGTAGGAAACTTAAGACCAATCACAATGCTTAAACATATCATACTACTTACGATATGAAAGAAGCAAGGATATTTGATAGAACAATTTAAAATTTCACTGACGCAAATGCTGTAATGGAGGCCCGTACGCAATGTTAGAGGCTCACAAGGGTGATGTTGAGGGTGATGTTGAGGGTGATGTGTCAACACTGAGTGCTGAGCCTCGGGAGCCTCCGAGAGTGTTTAGAACCAATCACATTGTGAATACAATTCGTGCTACAGTTGAAAGACAAATACAGCGCCTTACAGTGCTCCAATATCATTTGAAACAAGCTCAGATAACTCTCATGGAGTGCGCTTTGGCCTTAGTATAAGAGAACTAAGGAGTATGGGCAGTGAAATATGCTGCAATACAACCAGTAGCATTTAATGTGTGATGTCATACTAAGTACTTTACATTGCTTTGTAGTACTTTACACTGAACCGATGGGTTGTAGAGCAAAATACTTCACACTTGAGGAGAAAAACGCTGCCTTATGCCAACAGAAGATTTCATACTCAAGGACAGAACAGTGACTCCCTCTATTGATCTTTCTGTGCTGATTGTTTAACAAACTACAGGGGAAAAGCTGCTTGATGAATGCAAAATGCTCGTGCTAATGCCAAACTCCGTGGACGGAAGAGGACCAATACTGCTGGATCCCTCAGCAATACAAAACTTCCCCAGTCTCTCATCACACTGGCAGCGCTTCCCTTGCCCAACTCATTTCTGTTCCAACAAGCATATTCTGGGTCGGAGTTGATTGACGAGTCCGATGTATTCCAGTGGGACAAGCCACCACCATATGATTCCCCTCCTCCTCCAAATTCACCACATGAGGCTCGCTTTACCCGCAATCTTGTGGATGTCATGCATGGCAGACAGTGTCGTTTGGAAGAAGAGACCCGGGCACGCTATGCTCAAATGTTCGCAGCAGCGAATGTGGACGTCATCCTGCAGGAAATTCAGGCAGCGGAAAGAAAACTGATGGGTAACTAGAATAAGCTCAATGAGTATGTATCGTGCATGCAGGGTTGTGAAAGGCACAGGGTAATGGCAAAGTGTTATGTGCAATGGCAGGCAAGGAAGATTTTCAACTATCATCGAGAGGCAGACTTGATAATTTGTGGCCGGAACCCATACAAGTAGTTGTATGGGCATATATATTACACATGATATAGTTATAATCTAGCTGCACGGTATAGAAAGAACAAGAGCTCGTAGATGATGCCGAAGATGGCGCATATCATCCTAATTGCTGCCAATACCCATACTCCACAGTCATAACTGTTGGTCTGGACAGGCGTGATCTCAAAAGAAAGTTCAGATGTATGTACCGAAAGACTCAAAATTGCTACTAACTTTCAATGGTCACGCTATCCATCCATCAAGTTCTGTTGTGACATGATGATGCTGTTGGCGTGCAATAGCAAGGAGACAAGCAATCAGCTTCATGACATCCTTGGAGTACATGAGCCTCGTGTAAAATCTTTGACATAAGTAAACTTACCTTGATATCATTTTTCCAAGGTTTTTTCTCGGCTAGACTATTGAAGAGGTGCAATTCTTTGCTGGAGAAGCGAATGACACACAGCACCCAATGGCCAATATTGGAGGGACAATGAATAGGAAGAATCCAGATATCTTTCTCCCAGTAACATGTGTATGATATGTTACACCACAGAATGTCATCTGATGCATTATATCGAATGTGAGGGAGGTCGTGGGATGTTAACAAAGTGCAGTGGCCAGTGATGACACTTTTCAGTTCACAAAACAGTAAAACGGTGCACCCATTGATACAAGTATCATTAAGACATGCTGTAGGTGAGGCGAGCAAGGCAGTGTCCTTCAGCTCGAAGGTTTGATGAGGGTATCCATCTCGTGATGGTTGATCCCTTCTGGAAGCTATTCCTGGGACAATGACACACTCCTCCTTACGTGGGACATAGGAGTCATCCATCAGTACACCCTAGAGTCAGATTAACATTAAAATGGTTCCTAACAACAGACTGATGTACCTCGGGGGCTTCCCACACAATGATAGCACGAGTGTCATTGACATAATCCATTGAATCGAAGTCTCCAACCTCTTCTCCACCCAAATCACCCTCAAGGACATCAGTGAGAGCGGTATGCTCAGATTCTGCTGCTGGCAGGTCATGAGGCTCAGCAAACTGTACATTGGTTAGTTCTCCCTCAGGATCGGGTACTTCCAGTAATGTCGTGCTGAGCCAGTGCATGTTCGGTGTTTGGGCACTGCCTGAAAGAGTGATGGCAATCTCTAGCGCATCCTTGGCACGGGACGTGAAGCGAAGGGAAGAGGCTAATGGGTTCACCCAGCAGGTTTGAAGTCTGAGTATTTGGTTGTGACACTGTCTCAGCAAGACAGATATAAGTTCACCTGTCTATGTGTTGAAAGCGAAATTCTACTGTAACAATGAAGAGAACCTACATCCTGGTGTGCAGAGTGCAAGTTCGAGTGCAGCAAGTTCATCTCCAAAGAAACGACAAAGATTGTCCACCTCAATACCGAGTCGCTTCTGTTCTTCTCGGCAGTGCTCGTGTTTCAGAAGTGCATGGATGCCATCTCTAACATCAGCATCTTCCAACCATTGAGGAACCTGTCCCATTGACGGCATAATCCACACATCCTCCATCAGACTGGGATCACCACGCAGCTCTGCAAGTTTGGTCGGGAGAGGACTAGGTAAAGGAATACCCCAAGAAGGATCATATGATGCTTCTAAGTGTTCACAGTAAGTATTAAACTTCCTGAGTGCAGTTAACAGGGCTGGTTGGCATTTCGCAATGGCTTTTTGGGTTTGTTGATGTAGTTTTGTGCCTGAATGACATCAGTTAATTGATTGCAAATCACAGGTAGGGATGATTTACCTAATGCCTGCTGAGCACCACTGACCACATGATCAAGTTTATCCCATTTGAAAAAGCTTGTGATTGCCCATTTGTGAGTGTTCATTTTCAAGTCACGCGCCATCAGAAGAAGCTGGACAAAGTCCAAATTGATGCCTTCTAGTTCAAGGAATTGGTCATGAATATTGAGGGATGCATATAAAATTTTGACTTTGGCCATAAGGTGATCATGGCCTTTCTCAAGAGCCTCGAGAGCCCTGAGAGTGTCTTTCAAGGCAGCTCCTTTCTCAAGCATCAGCCTGGTGGATTGTAGGGCTGTATTAGAGGTATCAAGGTCGGCCTGTAGGGTCAAAACGGTATCTAGCTCCTTCTTAAGGCGAGCAGGGGCGTCTATGAACAAATTTAATTCATAGTGTATTCAAAATCAACTGAAAACACTTACATGCACAGACTGAGAGCTGTGAACTTCGTTGTTGGGACCATTCTGACTCAAGATCCTTGATGGAAAGTTCACACTGATCCAGAACCTCTTGAGCAGCAGTTCCTTGGTCGTTAATACCACACTTTAGGTGTCGTTGTATCCAATCACCCAAGTCAGATTGCATTTCGGATCCTATAGCTGCAGCCTGACGATCAATCAACCAGAGACAGCACTGACGCTGGCATTATGCAATAAGACTTGAATCAGTAACAAGAACAAGAGTGAAAAAGCTGCACCAATGATGACCTTTCAACACCGATTAGGCGTACGAAGCGAGACCAGAGCCTCTTGGTTCCTTCTCCATCTGAAAGACCAAGCCCAATGCACATCCATGGGTTGTCCACTAGCTGGCATGCCCACTCATGCCCGTATGCATGCATGGCAGTGGTTGCTAAGCGCAAATGTGAGACAATACTGCTAGGGAGAATGTTGTACTACAAATGATGAGTAAATAAATCTAAATGGAGATCAGATAAACTTACCTTGCTAAGGGATCGGGCAAGGACACACCCGACATCATACAAAGCTACAACTGTGGCATGAGGTGGGATCAACAAGAACAAATGTTCCAGGAGGGCCACAGAATATTTTTGCTGTTCTCCTGGAGAGTCAATATTAGCAAAAAACAGAGAAATGTCGTGACGGCATATGAGTGCCATGATGCCAGTATCATCAAAGCTATCCATTGCCACCTTCTGTTTTTTCCCATCAGCTGCTTCACATGCTGTTTCACATTGGTCAATAGCCTCATCGGGAACAAGGAGTACAGGTGACTTGGCAGGCCTCTTACATTGAGCCTCTATGTGGTGGCCAATGTGATCGATGTACTCTTTGGGAAGGAAATAAGTGGGGTCATAGAAGTGGGGGCAATCCCCTGCTGCGCGCCGATGGCGGTGGTGGAAGTTGCCATCTGTGGCAGTGTGAATATCTCCTCCTTCAGCAGTAGGTTTCCCAAACATCGTCCCAGCAAAACATGCAGGACACCGTTGAATAAGTATGGGTGCACACCGACCTCTATGTAGGGTAGACAAAGTTGAGGTGTAATCCTCTGTTTGAGAATGAAGGGTCGCCACCCGGTTACGGCTATTCTGCACAGCTTCTTCAACTCGATGTTCTATTTGGACTTGAAGAATGTCATACCACTGTATGGCATAGCCCAGGCCTTGACGAAAAGGATCCTGTATAATTTCCCCCTTGTGTAACAAATTAGCCTAGATACATGCCATCACGAATTACTTACTCAGGCATCTGTCATAATGAAACCTCTGCGAGAGTAGTGAGTTTTGAGAGCCGACGCCAAGGCATTGATGGCATCACAAGACCGTTCGAAAAGTGCCTGATAGAATGATAGTAGTTCGACGGAGACAGCCATATGAGGCTGTGAGGGAGCAGTTGGAAACAGACCATGGTGAAGCAGCACTTGGGGAAGCATGGAACATCTACAACTGAGGACATCAATAGACATAAATCCTGAATGTGTATGTTCATTCATTAACATGGTGTATACTCAAAGATAAGAAGACTTACTGTCAAAAAATAAACACGCAATTGTTGTTCGCTTTTGAGGGCACAAACGTGTGGCGCATGCAGAGATGACCTCGGGGGTAATCTCCAGTGCTGTCGCTAGCGTTCGTGCAGAATACTTGAGATGTGGTTCAACAAGGAAGGGTAGCAACGTTTTCCAACTGCTATACAATGAGTCTGTGGCCTTGTCAGGCAAAATGCGACGTTTAATCTGAGATTCTTGCGCAAGTGTGTCGGAAGAAGGTTCTGATGGTATTTCAAAGTCTGGATCAGGAATTTCGGCCAAGGCATCAGTCTGACTGGTATCAGAGACAGTTTCAACTGCATCTACAGCATGAACTTTGGTCTGTTTGTGCTCTGGTTTCATCAGTTGTTGCATACGAGCTAGCAGTTGACGGCATTTGACTTGCGCGCCAGGTAACTCAACATGTGTCTGAGATTTTTTCTTATCTCTGGATTTCTTCGGGCTGACGAAATGGTGGCCTAGTCCAGATGATACACATTGAGCTCCACAAGTAGGAGCAAGAGCACTGGTTGAGACCATGGTGAAAGGGAGAGAGTGAGTCGCAAGGAAGACTCACTAACAACACAAACTTAGTGATAGTGTCATATCCCGTATTCCGGACCTACATCCGACAATATTCCCACGCCTCATCCGGACCTTCGGACGCCCTATCCATGTCTCCAGTCCTCTACCCATCCGGATCCCTGCACCTCTGCACATCCACATCCGCGCATCCATGTCCAGATCCCTTTACCTCCGTACATCACACCTCCATACCTCCACAGCTAGCCTGCATCATTCATCCTTTGTCCTATTGCCCTAATATCATATCCCGTATATCCACGCTTCTTGTCCGGACATCCGGTCCGGTCTGGTCCGATCTGATCCGATATACGATAAGCTTCCTAATTCATTTCCTGTGCATATAACGTTGACACAGCCTATTCCTCTAATTCGGTATTCCTTGTCCTCGGTATCTCGGTTATACTTACTACCGGTACGCTTACTGATCCGTTAACCTATGCTTCATTTCCGACTCGCGCTTGATAACTTTGCTTATGCTTCATACATAGCCTCGGACGCTTGCTTACTGATCTTTCCGTTATTTCCTTAGTATATAAACTCTTGTATATGTCCTGTAGTTCCTCAGTCTGAATATCATATTAGTCCTCGCACTAGATCTCACTCTAAGTCCTCACATCAGTTCTAGTCTATTGACTTAGTCAATATCCATCTCGGGCCTAGGGAGAAATTCCCTAGGCCAGAGCTCCGCTGTCTTGTTACTTGAGGGTCTTATATGTTTTCGTGTAAAATGCAGTGACACCACAACTACACTTTGATAAGACAAAAGCTGCCAACTCCTCAAGTACATGGTCAACGGATTTTCTACTTCTCGGTTGATAACGTGCTGTTCGTTGGAGGCAAGACTATACAGTTGGTCGTTTGGTTGAAGCGATGGACTGCTGAAATAAGATAGACAATGACTAGTATAGGTAAAATCCTATGAGAGTCACTGAAATATATTGAAGAAGGTAATGGACAGTGATATAAGAAACTATCCTAAATGAGTAGGCTGAACACAAAGATACTTCAAGCTGGAAGGATGTGAGAACCTATGACTAAGCTGGACCTCAGGCTGTGGCTGAAAGGTCTTGCAAACAAAAAAATGGGAATGCTGACTAAGCTTTTCCCAGACAAATCCTTGCTGATGTAATCACAACAAGAATACAACAGATCTAGACCACCTAAGGACTAGATAACTAAATACAAGTGATAGACTAGCTGGAGTCTAACAATAGTGAGTAAATACAAGACTAAGATTACCTAATCTTAGTGTAGACTAACTGAGGGAAATACTGGTCCCTTGCACTTCCTGTGACAGACAGGTGAAGTGGGAATTCTCCTCTGTGAGAGACAGATAAAGTGGAAAATCTCTTTTTTTTCAGTGGAGAAGAGGCCCTCCTTTTATACATTTGGCGTGGGAAAGATACCTAGGTGCCAAATGAATATCTGGAATATCCTGCTCCACTTATTTGTAATTAAATATTACATGTATACTATTAAAATAAAAATAGAACTGACTCAGTCTGATCGATCTGATCACCAATATGCAAATGGTGGTGCTAGACGACAAATTGAGCAGAGAAAGAGAGTTCATGAGTCATCAGATTTGACTAAGCTTGATCTTGCCAATTTCTGAATAATCACATGTGAACTCATTATGTAAGTTTTTCCCTAGAAGAGAAAACTAACATGATGAATGTAAACAACTCATAAATATGAAACATGGATAAACAATTGCAATCATAGACCAATGAAAAAGATTATGTAAGAAACACAGTCTTCAGACATTCAGCAAACAAAATTAAACCAGATCCTAATACAAATTACTCAAGTCTTTCTGCTTCTTTTCTTCAACTTCCTATATATCGCCTCTAAGCAAGCCTCCCATGGACAAAGCTAATAGGCTCGATTGCTGTAGGCTTTTATATATATATCTGAATATGTCCATGTATGATATCCATATCATGCATGACACCGCTTATCCGCTCATCCGATCCTCCGAAGTTTCTGGATGTTCGTCCGAAACTTTCCCGCGGTCCTCCGGACCTATTCTGCTTCGGACTTTGTCCTTGCAGCCTTTCCTCTGTTTGCTTCTACTTAGGACTTGTCCTAAGTAGCCATTACACATATCCGTATCAGGACGAAACCTCATTGTAATTTCCGGAAGTTCCTCCGGAACTTTCCCGCACTCGTCCGGAAAGTCCTTCCGAACTTTCCCGCGCTTCGGACGTCCTTGGACTTTCTTCGGACATCATTCTGAAATTAAGGGCACATACTCGGGTAAGGGGCGCAGCGCACGAGCTGAAGCCAAGCCCCTCAGAATCAGTCCTACCCTTTGTGCACGGTCTTAACAGATAGACACTGTGACGAGGGTTTGATTCCTGTGGTGCGAGGGCCCCAAGAGCATATAGAGGCCAGTGCGCCCTGGGAATGCTGGAGGTGCGCAATAACGAATGGAGGATAGGTTTGAGCGGCACAGACGGCACATGAGCCATGCCAGGAGGTGCTGGATGTAATGTATGAGGCACGTTATTAATAGAATGGTGGGAGGGTGCACCTCAGAGGTAAGTTTCCCACAACATAGAAACCCTACCTCAAAGGTCTCTATTGAGACCGAGAAGTAATGCCTGAGGTGGCTAGCTCAAGTGAAGCTTTTCAAGTCCGCGGTGACAGGTACCATGAGAAGTTCACGTAGTTAAGAGTTGAATGGAATATTTTCACCTTCTCTCAGCTTCCACTGCAATAAGGCCAGACATGGACGCTTTGTCTTCCATCGTAAATGTATCTGCGATGTCTCTCCATGTTTCGCTTCTCGCCATCGCTTTTAACCCAACAGCTTGGAACATTGTGGCCCAGAATGGTAAAGGAATTCATAACTTTCACCCAACTTGTATTAACACGTGTTTACATCTTGCAGAGTACAGAAACAAGACAATTACCCGCATCTTTGGTGGTAATGCTTGCTATGGATGCTGTTACAATACGTTACACGAGTCCCCTCTGCCACCCCGCACGGCAACAGAATGATACCCGGGTCTCACCAGCCCTATGACGATGAACTAGGCCAGAAGGCCTTGACGAATAGAAGAGAAGCCCGGGAGATGCTGGCTTAGATAAGCGGTCTGGACCGCTGATGACATTATGACGACATAGGTCTAGATGACCTATTTACGATATCAAGATAGAAGGCAGGCCTCGTGCTGCCTCATGGACAGATAGAAGGCAAGCCTCGCGTTGCCTCGAGTATTGATAGAAGGACACCTCGTGGTCCTATCTTAGATAGAAGCCCTACCTCATGGACGGTATCTCTGACTCGATAGATAAGCAGATTAGAACCCAGCTTCAGGCTGAGCTTAGATACGATAGAGTAACCTTATATAAGGTCGAAGATTAAAGTAGATGTTCCTTACTTTAATCCTACTTGGTTTTCCCTTGAACTCCTTGTCTTCGCATAAAGTTACCTTGCTTCGACATCGACTCATACCTTCGGAAGGCCCACCATAACCTTCTGTCTGTAAACGCTATAATCGCCCGTAACCCCTCGTTAACCACCACGAGCTACGCCAGCATACGCAACTCTTGCTTGTTTGTAAGAGCCGACGAACCTCAGCACTCGGTACCACTGTCGTGGTTGTCGCTGAGCAGAACCATCCAAGTTGCACACGACCGTTTGTCGTAACAGATGCTACTTGTTAACCATCATGATATTTTCATTTGGGATGCTTTGTGATCATCTGTAGGTTCAAGATAAACGATAGCTCCAGTAGACGTTGTAGGGATTCATTTCTGGCTGGGCTTGTAGAGACTGTTTTTACCTTACCTTATGTTGGCACTTTGTAGCTTACATAATAAAGTTATCTTTCCACCAGTTACCAGTATGAGTCTGAGTATTCAGCAAGTTTTGATGATATTTCCTCTCCTCTGAGCCTTGAGCCTGGTTCAGAAACCCTTTAGGGTCGAATAGCAGCTAGGTTCTGCAAGACCCAACATTGTTCAGACTCACCATCTGAATTGTTGTACCTTCAACATTCTTGACATCTGGCAGATATCAGCGCGCTTTGAGCGACCAGCCTCAAGTTCCTATGCTCTCTGCGCCATATGACATTCTGATACCAGTTCTTCTGTTTGCTATCGGCCAGCTGTTTGTTGTCACTTCCACTTGGGCCCTTGGAAAAACTGGAACTTTCCTCGGGGACTACTTTGGTATTTTGATGGATCATCACGTACAGGGTTTCCCATTCAATGAGCTGAGGAATCCTATGTATGTTGGAAGTATGATGTGCTTTATTGTGATGGCCTTGTGGTATTTGTGTTGTCCTGCATTTCAGCACGATCTAAATCTGTTGTGACAGGTATGAATGGCCAGCCGGACTCCTCGTGAGTTTGTACATATATATCGTTTACCTGATTGCACTACAATTTGAAGGGTAAGTTTCTTACTTCATCATTTCTGTCAGCGTTTCTGAAGGACAATGCTAGACCATTCACTGACATGATCTACTCTAAACGAGCCTCTACAAAGAAGGTGTTGTGATCACGACACCTGATTGACACATGGACATGCACATTAGCATTTACTTGTCACCAATACCATGGCAACTTTCCGCATCCTGCCAAGCAAAAATTGTGCTTTTACATAGCATTGATAATTGTTTGAATGTTAAAGTCACACAAGTTGGCGTTAAAGTTTGTTATTGGCTGCGCCGCTACATGATTTCAGCGAACATATGCCGTGGCACTGGTGGTATGATGAATTATCATCTTGTCACATCTTGGATCTTGAGTTTCAACTGTCATCTTTCAAATAACAGATTGTGCAGTGAGTCCACTACAAAAATTACTTTTTTTCAATGTTTTGACAGGAAAAATGAGGGGAAATTTCTATCTTCTCAATCAATGTTTTTTTGGATGTTTGGTGGAGGAAAATGAGAAAATGCCTGCAGTGATTGTGGCCTGGAATGGTGAAGGAATTGATAATTGTACCCACTGATATCTGCCAGATGTCAATCAGTCTACCAGAGCTATAGTGCAACTTGGACATACAAATGATCATGAAGCATCCCAAATGAAAATATCATGATAGCCAAGAAATAACATCCATGGCGAGCATTACCACTGAATAGGCGAGTAATCATCTTGTTTGTGTACTCTGCAAGATGTAAACACAAGTTGGGTACAAGTTATAAATTGCTTCACCATTCCGGGCCACAATGTTCCAAGCTGTTGGATTAAAAGTGATGGCGAGAAGTGAAACATGCAGAGACGTCGCAGATACATTTACAATAGCAGCCAAAGTGTCCATGTCTGGCCTTATTGCAGTGGAAGCTGAGAGAAGGTGAAAATATTCAACCATTCAACTCTTAACTTCTACGCGAACTTCTCATGGTACCTGTCACCACGGACTCAAAAAGCCACACACAGAACATCATTGAAACATGAATTACTTTTTTTTAATGTTTTGACAGAAAAATGAGGGGAAATTTCTATCTTCTCAATCAATGTTTTTTTGGATGTTTGGTGGAGGAAAATGAGAAAATGCCTGCAGTGAATGTTCCAAGCTGTTGGGTTAAATGCAATGGCGAGAAGTGAAACATGGAGAGACATCACAGATGCATCTACAATGGTAGAAAAAGTGTCCATGTATGGCCTTGTTGCAGTTGAAGCTGAGAGAAGACTCAAAAAGTTTCACTTGGCCCGAAAGGCACCAGCACTAGCATGGCATCCTATGTACAAGTGCTATTCATAATGATACAGATTCATTTCCACTTGGTGTAGGCCAGTTGGTGGTGTGATAGTCTTCAGCATTGAGTTCATAAATTGTCTTGGTGGCTGAATGTCCAAACATTGTTGAATGTTGTACTTTGTTTTGCATATCTCAAATGGCCTGACTAAGCTTCTATAATCCACTCCACGTACGAGACTACGCCTCTTGATATTAATATACTATTGTTCCATGGGAAATGCACAATTTTCACTTATTGCTAAATAACAACACAACAACAACACATATTCATATTGGGTCTACTGTAGTGTATACCTTAGGTCTCTGCACATTAGGCCCAACAAGAATTTTTTTATTTTGTTGTGAGCTCATTGCAGTGGCAGCACTGGAAGTTGAGATATTAAAAAACAATAGAAATGCATAGATATGACAGGACAGGACATAGGGAGGACAAGTGCGTGGGAAAATATCGGGTCCAATGCGGCCTAAACCCCAGTGAAAACTGACTGTGACGGGAGAGGGCAGGATATGTTGAGATGTGAATTACCATATTAGTAATGTGTCAGGATGTGCTCCTTTCTTATCTCTTCGACATTACCTTTGCAAAGTTCGACAAATTCCATCTCACAAAGTGCAAACTGTGCATCGCAAACACAAACTTTGCATCACTGAGTGCAACCTTTGTCTCGCGAAGCCCAAATATAGCATTGCAAGCTGCGAAGGACCCCAAATTTGTTGCCCCAAAGCAACCCCAAAGCTGCAAAAATCGTTGGGGCCAAGTTTCTGTTGCCTCACCGGCACCTTTCTTCCTCCCCACCATCTTCCCACATCCAAGTGAAGGGTCACGCCACTCTCCTCTACTGGTTCTGGCTTCAACTCATGTGTCCTTTATTCAAAGGTATGATTACACTAACCATGCGAGTTTCAAAGTTAGAACAGCGCTGTACTGGGACAGTGTAAGGCTGCAGTATGTCATAACATCATCTTCACGCGCATATATTCATGTCTATTGCAGGAATATGACGAGGAGATGATGTTTCTTGTATTGATTCATTCACACTGACTGATAGGGATATGATGAGAAAGCAACTCCTCTCATAAGTACTTCATTCTCTCAATTGACACCTTTCTAAATCATCATCTAGGTTGTTAGCGATACATGGAACAAATCTGTCTGTGATGGACAGCTTTATTAGATTTCAGCACCATCTGACTCTGCACGATCCGGCATATGCATTTCCTACACCATCACGTTTTCGAGCCACTGTCCGCATTTTTTTAGCTCTTTTTGTACCACTTTTGTACCCCCATTATCTGCGCGTGCGCGCTAGCTATTGTAGTGTCTAATATTATTCAAGCATATTTGCACACATTTTCAACTATCTGGCGAGGGGAGCGAGTATGTGCGTTCATATGCGCAAATATGTTTTACATTAGCTACAATATGCCTGTATATGTTTTTGACTCATGGGAGCGCCAGAGACACTGCCCCAGCTAATGTTTTTCGTCCGGCTACGGGGCGAGGCAGGGAAACATGCGTTCATATGTGTTTTTCTTCTCAGGGTCGCATCTCAACATATCCTGCCCTCTCCCATCAGTCAGTTTTCACTGGGCCTAAACATCAGCTCGAGTGCTACAGCGCTTTGAGTGACCAGCCTCAAGTTCCTATGCTCTCTACACCATATGATATTCTGATACTAGTTGTTCTGTTTGCCATTGGCCAGCTGTTTGTTGTCACTTCCACTTGGGCCCTCGGAATCACTGGAACTTTCCTTGGGGACTACTTCGGTATTTTGATGGATCATTGTGTACAGGGTTTCCCATTCAATGTCCTGAGGGATCCTATGTATGTTGGAAGTATGATGTGCTTTATTGCGATGGCCTTGTGGTATTTTTGATTCTATATTTCGGCACGATCTAAATATGTTGTGCACAGGTACGAGCGGCCAGCCGGACTTCTCGTGAGTTTATACATGTATATTGTTTACCTGATTGCACTACGATTTAATGTGTGTCTTATTGCTGTGTTCATGAGCAACGTTGTGAGATCGATTCCTCTCCCGTAAGCATAGCATGAGGGTGACTGGGCTGTCAATGGACGCCTGTAAGTTTCAACCCCAGAATGCGCGCAGCGGGCCCATGAGGTCTGCCCCATCAGTCTGAGTGATTATGATGCTCCAGAGCGAACTTAAATGAATTGCGCTACGGTTGCATCGTTGAATGACTCTATATGTGTGCTGTAGCACGAGTGCATGGATTACTATCCACCAATAGAGGTGGACCAACGGGAGGGGCCTGTGAACCAATTAATGGTATGCAGCTTGGTTGCGCCGGTTCACGAGATTTTGGACATGCGTCTATTTTTTGATGAGTCAATGAATTCAAAAGCAATTTTCTTGTTCATCAGAGACAGAAAAAAACAGAGGCCGTAAACCTGTGCCATCTCGTACACTTCGCGCTATATCATATGGTAGACCACCTTGAGCACAAACTAAGTCTACTTCAAATTCATCATCGCTCGGATGTGTGCTGCTCTCGTTGTGTTCACGACTTCGAACGAGCAGGGAAATGGTTTAGGGCAACTTCGGCAGGGTCAGTTTAGGTTATTGAATACATACTACTACTGGATCACTTACATCACCGAACCGGTGGTGTACTCCGGCGTCACCTCGATCTTGTCTCCATTTGAGTCTTTGGCATGATCAATGCGCAAGACGGCGAGTATGGTGGAAAATGCAGTCCACAGACCGTTCTCTGCAAACCAACGACCTGCCAAGTGCATTTGTCATCCTCGACATTGCCAAAATCAGCCATGAATCAGCCTACCAGGACAAATACGCCTGCAAGGGTCAGTGGATGATTGAAGATGATAGTAAGGTTGGAGTATTCACCTGCCATGACCAAAGGCAAAATGGTTTACGAAAGGGTTCTTCAGCTTCCCATCGACAGTCAGATGGCGGCTAGGATCGAAGCGCGATGCATCGGGAAATATGTCTTCATCCCGAGACAGCGCCCTGAGCAATGATCAGCTCAAACCAATATATGCATCCAAGGCCGATATACCACTGATTAACCATCACTATCGCACCTGACGAACTACATATGAGTCAACGATAACCTTGATTCGTACGACTTCGAACCTTTGGGTATGAAGTGCCCTTCGTAAACATCGTCATTTGATGTCGCATGTGCGACGCCTGTGCAAGGGGTCAGCCATGCAAACACAAAACTATATTACCACCAGCTAACCTAGGGGTGCGGGAGGATACCATCTCACGACCTCGCAAAGAATGGCATCAAGGTAGGGCAGTGACGCCCTGTTATCAAGGCACGGCATGCTGTCATGCTCCACAGCTTGGTCAATTTCTGCACGAGTACGGGATTGGACGTCAGGATAGAGCACCATGGCCAACAGGAATGTCTGCAATGCGGATGCAGTCTGCGGGACATCAAAGTAAGAATCAGAACTGCTTTAAGTGCTCAAGTAGCGACTCACGGTTTCTATGCCAGCTAAGATGCCGCATTCCCGTCAATGGATGAACTCCATCCTGATAAAAACAAACTCTTGCCTATGTATCCCGTCAACGCAACAGCCTTCATCGTGTCTTCGCCAGTGTCGTCGCGAGCTTGACTGAGAAAGTCGGCGACTAATGAGCGCGAAGCAGTACCATCTGCCTTCACGCAAACAGATCAGGCGAAAATTACATCCACAAGTCTGCACGAACGTACCATCTGTGCCTTCACTTCGTTAAAGGGCTCGTCAAAAAGTTGTTGACTTAATTCTCTGGAACGTCCTATCAGGGCAAATGCTCCACCAAAGCACCAGAACGGTAACTTTTCGACTGCAACCTCATGCTGAATGCTCAAGATGATGTCGTCGACGGAGGCACTCACGGAAAGGAAAGGCCGTGAACATGGCAGCCTTCTCGGGAGTGATAGTCTGTTTTCCGATATCAAAGAGTTCGTGCACACGGGAAAGAAGTGAGCCTTCATTAGCGAGGTGTCCGTATGTCACGGTCATGATCAGGGATCCCGAGTATCTGTCACAAGGATTGATCGTCAACTGGACCATACGTCACAAAGACATCCTTGGATTAGGTACGAACGCTTCAACGTGTTGCTGCAGTGAGTCACTAGTGACATCTAAGAGATCGATGACTAGTCCATTTGCATGGCGAGAGTATATCTCGTGGTACGAGATTAAAACTTCGGCCCTAAGGACTTGATGGTATATCTTGCGATGTTGTCGTAAAGTCTCCCCATACGGAAGCATCACAGAATTGAAAGCCAGTCCAACTCTGTATCGTCAGTGGATGAAGAATAAATTGAATGAAAACGGTAATACATACAATTCGTTGGTGCGAATAACTGGACGGGTAGAGTAATTCGCAGAACGCTTTTCCAGCAACTCATGCGCGATGGTTTCGGAGTTTATGATGATCATGTCGATCCCAAGTATGCGGGAGCGGAAGATTTTTCCTACGATCAGGCATGAAGTTAAATCCAGGAGCTTGGAAAAGAGCCTGTGTGCTACCAACCATGTCTTTCCCCACGCAGCATATGTGAGCCAAGGACGTTTAGTATCCAATTGCAGCGCGTTACCCAAAAATGGTATGGGCCGAGGTCCGCCGGGTAGCAGAGGTAAAGGGTAGACACGTCTGCGAGACAGGCCCAAAGCGACAAGCAGGGCAACAATGCACGATATAGTACCTAGAGTGAAAAGCATGGGAAGGGATGGAGTGTGACACACCTTGATTATAGAAGCTTATATCCCTACTCAATAGCAGTTTTATTTGGCCATTTTATTTCGTGACAGTTCGTGCAAAAGCTTGCAAAATAAAATGCAAATAAAATGAACAAGCAGGGCTGCTCAATTCATTCAGTTCTCGTTCACCTGGGAGCCGAGTTCGGCCGGTCAAGCTTTAAGCGCTGCCAAGCCTGTCCTAAACGGGACTTGTGCCTAAACCTTACGGCGCGCAGCGCCAACACCCAGTGTAGTACAGGCTACTACAAGCAGCCTATACTCGATGGAAAGGGTCAGGAATGTTAAGGGTTAGGCATTGAATGCGACTCACGGGGTTTAGGGAGGTTTAGGATGTGCTTTAAGACTGATTTACTGCACCAAGTGTTGGCGTTGCGCGCTGTAAGGTTTAATTGAGCAGCCCTAGTAACACGTTCGGCACGCACATAGCGGCGCTTGAAATCAGCTAAGGGAGGCGCAGGGGTTTTGACTGTGCTCATCAGCGCAGGCGTCGTTGAAACACGTTCACGCCACCATGACAGATAGTTCCCCGCATGCCATCATTTTACTGGCTGATGCAGAGACACCGGATGATCGACTAGTATTTGCAGCAAAAATTGCACTGCAAGCACTCGACGCGAAACAACGAGGCGCTAAGGGGTGTTGTCACTGTTGTGGTGACCATATGCACTTTCTTGCTGGTCGAGCCGGATCTCCCCCAGTCGGCATTTCGGCAGCTGTCTCTCATATCAAACTCCGTACTCGACCGAGTGCGAAATAAAATGGCAAATGTGCCTATTTTGTTTGTTGACTGTCATCATGCGTATTGAATAAAATCGTTATTGAGTAGGGCTACAAAGTTTAACATTCAACAACGTTTAGCCAAGAACTCTATGCTGAAGATTATCGCACTAACTATATATAGCGGTGGCGCCTTTGAAGCTTTTCAAGTCCGCGGTGATAGGTACCGTGAGAAATTCGCGTAGAAGTTGAATGGAATATTTTCACCTTCTCTCAGCTTCAGTTGCAATAAGGCCAGACAATGGACGCCTTTTCTATCATTGTAAATGCATCTGCGACGTCTCTTCATATTTCCCTTCTCGCCATCGCGTTTAACCCAATAGCTTGGAACATCGTGGCCCGGAATGGTAAAGGAATTCATAATCGTACCTAACTCGTATTAACACCTGTTTATATCTTGCAGAGTACAAAAACAAGACAATTACTCACATATTTGGTGGTAATGCTCGCTACGGATGTTATTTTTTAGCCATCATGATATTTTCATTTGGGATGCTTCGTGATAATTTGTATGTCCAAATTGCACGATAGCTCTGGTAGACCTTGCTTGACATCCAGCAGATATCAGCGCGCCTTGAGCGATCAACCTCGAGTTCCTATGCTCTCTGCGCCATATGACATTCTGATACCGGTTGTTCTGTTTGCCATCGGCCAGCTGTTTGTTGTCACTTCCACTTGGGCCCTCGGAATCACTGGAACTTTCCTTGGGGACTACTTCGGTATTTTGATGGATCATCGCGTACAGGGTTTCCCGTTCAATGTCCTGAGGGATCCTATGTATGTTGGAAGTACGATGTGCTTTATTGCGACGGCCTTATGGTATTTTTTTTTGGTTCTACATTTCGGCACGATCTAAATATGTTGTGCACAGGTACGAGCGGCCAGCCGGACTTCTCGTGAGTTTGTACGTGTATATCGTTTACCTGATTGCACTACGGTTTGAAGGGTAAGTTCATTACTTCGCCAATTGTATCAGCGTTTCTGAAGGACAATGTTAGACCATTCACTGACATGATCTACTCCAAACGAGCCTCTACAAAGAAGGCGTTATGATCACGACACCTGAATGGCATACGGACACGCACATCATCATTTGCTTGGTCACCAATATACTATGGTAACTTGCTCTATCTGGCCAAGCTAGAATTGTGCTTTTACATAGCGTTGATAATTGATTGAATGTTAAGGTCATACAAGTTGGCGTCAAAGTTTATCATTCATCGTGCCGCCGCATGATTCCAGCGACCATATGCCGTGATACTGGTATGAATAAATTGTCATGTCACATCTCTCATCTTTCGAATGACAAATTGTGCGGCGAATTCACCTGGCTTTCGAGTATGATTCCCAAAACCTCGCTGGATGTGTCTTACTCTTAGCTTTGAGAATCTACGGTTCACCCAGGTCCAAGTACATGCTTCGGACCTGAAAGTTTTTACCCAACAATTATCTCTTCAAACATATAATCCGTCCGTCATTTCTGTAGCCGCTGAGCCACGCTACGCATAGGGGACGGGTTGAAGAGGTATACTCTGGTTCATCTTGCGCTACGCTGGACAGACCAAGACCGCCAGAATTTCCAGAACATCATGGAATTTGTATAGCTAAGCCACATGATACGCCCTGCATTGTTTTCAATAGTGCCGATGTGGCGCAATTACCATATAGTTGGGTGGTATTGTTACTTGGCACCGTTGCAAGTTCACAAATGACGATACAGATTGCTTTTGCT